AATACCAAATTTTATTGCCTTATGTTACGTAGTTTTAATGTTATATTGTTAGTATACAAGTGCCTCTCACAAATGCAAGTATGGAATTCAAACTCTTTAAAATATTATAAAAGAAAATTTTAAGGTTAAAATCATCGTAATAATTTTATGACTATGTACTTAATATTTAAATTATTTACTTTTGATATATTTTATTTGACTTTGAATATACAAACACACGCACATACACATACATATGTATAAGACAACTTCATATCATAAATTTCTGGATATCTAAATGGTCAACAAAAAAAAAGAATATACTTAGTAAGTAATTATTATTCTGAGAACATTAATTTTCATTTTTCAAACACATCAATATAATACCTGGCATAAGAACCAGAGTAAAATATATACTGTATCTATTTCGTTTGAAATTTCATATTTTATTTATTTTCCTCTAGTTTCTTTGAGGGCATTTATATATTTATATTGGTCTGCTATGACAACTGACGTGGCTGTGGTCGTATGTCTATTTTTGTTTATATTAAAAGATACTTCCTGTTACTTCACAGTTCACCCGGATTCACGATCTAGTTTATAAAAACAATAATACGTATATAAGTTACGACATTATTTTTACTATAGGTACTTCACTTCCTTCTCACACCCCGGAAAAAATCTCTATGGATCTAAAAGCTATAGTTAGTCAATTATAACTATAGTTTTATTATCATTTTCATAGAAAATAATGGGCCCATAATTATAGTTTATTCTAATGTCTATTGATAATACTGAAGTCTATTGAAATTCCAGTTTGAGATACTATCGCTTGAATTTGTAAAATTCGCTTTGTATATTGTAGAGAATCTTGAGAAAGGCCTGCACCTAAGTTATTTAGTTCACTACTTTAGATTTGACCAAAATTTTACTAAAATGTAGATTAAGTAAAATAAAATAATATTTTCTTTAATTATATTGTTCTTGCTCTTTAGTTTATACAAAAAAGTACATTTAGTTACATACATGTCAAATGATTTTTTTATTATTACAATCGAATGGTAATGTTTTTAGAAGATTCTAAGCCGTATGTTGCCTTTAAAAATCTTATGTCAATAGATATTTATAAAGGAATAGGTTTCACGGATTACTCCAAGAATGACTGAAAAATTAAAACTGTTTTTTCATATCACGTACATAAAAAAATGCACTTAAGTATCAAAGTTTGAGAGTATAAATTTATAATTTAATTTCGTTTACACGTATGAGTTTATGGAGGGAAAACTGTGATTAAAATTTTAATTGATTGCATTTCCTTTTAAAAATTTTATTGCACATTTAATTTCCAATAAACTATTCGTGGCTCTTTATACAGTTATTTCATTATTTCATTGGTATGGTCAGTTAAATTACATTTTTATTTTTTAAATAAAACTTAATGTATTTTATGGAAGTTTATGTGGTGTTAGATTTTAAAATAATTACAAAGGATTAATGAATTAAAACAAGCATTCCCAGCTCTGTTAAACGTTCAGTGTGTTAGTAAAACAAAATATTTAATAATAAATACTTGGATATGATTTAATAGTTTCTGTTCCTTAGCTTTAAAGTTCATGTAAATGAATTATATATTTTTTAATATTTAAAGGCATTGTTTATTTTTAATTATACTACATACTACTTAAAATAAGTCACATGTAATTAATAAAAATAATATATTTTGTTATTAACTAATTACTTATTAATTAAAAGGATTCTACATTATTCATTGTTCATCAATAAAAAACATACTGTTTTTTTTATTTAATATGAAAATGACATTATAAAGATAGTATTTATTTATTATATGCGTTCATAGGTTTGTCTTTGAAGGCAAAAAATTTAGTTATTACTGAGACATACCTCGTGACCTTAGACGTTGGTCAAAAAGACCCAATGATTTTTTAAAACTTTCACAAGAACCTACTTATATGTATATGAGATTTTTTAGAATACATATTTTAATAATAAGAAATTTCCATTTCGTCTGCCCGTGACCACGGTAGCTAAAAAGTAATTGAAACGCCTTGATAATGTAGAAATTAAATAGAAAACGCGCAGCTTCTAAAAAACTTGGGTTAATTGTTCGTGTACCAAGTAATTTCCATTAAAATAACTCAAAAATAAATAATCATGATTATTATTATTATTAAAAGCGAATTTGTTATAATTATGTGACTAAAAACTCCGAACACAACGTTGATAAATAAATATCACTAAATTAAGAATATATATAAATTTGATAACAAATAATTAATTTAATTATTTGTTATCAAATTTATATGATAACAAATAATTAAATTAATTATTATGTTTCTACATATTCAATTAGTAAGTATAGTTCAAACAAAACTGCTTTATGGTTAGCACAAGTTTGTATCGTCACAGTACATTCGAAGCGTTTCCTGATTCTCATATTTTTATATGCATAATACATAGTAGTATAGTAAGTCAGTGGTGGCCTTGTGGTTAAAGGACCCTCCTCTAGTTGCCGAAGGCGCGGGTTCGATCCTGGCAAGTACCAATGTGATTTTTCCGAGTCATATGTACTTTCTAAGAGTATTTAGACATCACTGACAGACGACGAAGGAAAACATCGTGAGGAAATCTGGACTTATAATTTCACAATTATAAGTTTGAAATCTTGAGCAAGCGTTGTGATTAATGCTTAACCTTTTCCATGAGAGAAAGAGACCCTTGCTCAGCAGTGGGCTCTGAGAGGCTAAAAAGAAAAACAAAATTGTATTACTCTTATAAGCATTAAAGATCGGCTGTCGAACCAACCAACAACTAAATTTCTTAAAAAATCCTTGAAAATTCGACTCATGACTAGTCATAAAATAATATATAGTTTTTTTTTCATTATGCAGTAAAGTCTCATGACTTATATAAGACAAAACATCACATTCTATTTATATACTATCAGAAACCTAGGTAACGTTTACACACCTCGATATAATATTTGAAATAATGTATCTCATTATCATTACTGTAATACATACATACACACAACAAGCTATTGTCTTCATCGATCTGTTTTCATCTCAACGAAATTTATGTTTAAAGTCTAAGCCAGCTTATCCCTACTAATATTATAAATGCGAAAGTAACTCTGTCTGTCTGTCTGTCTGTCTGTCTGTCTGTCTGTCTGCTACGCTTTCACGCCTAAACCACTGAACTGATTTTAATGAAATTCGGTACAGAGATAGAGTTGACCTTGAGAAAGAACATAGGATAGTTTTTATCCCAGACTTTTGAAAGGTTCTCTTGGAAACGCGATATAACCGAACTCCACGCGGCGAAGCTGCGGGCGGAAAGCTAGTATTTATATAAAGGTTTTACATAAACAATAATATAGAGAAGCGTAGTTTTTTTTTATTTGATTGTGATTTATTTAGAAATGTCAGTTTTGAGTAACAAATAACTTTAAAAACTAAAAAATAAAACTAGTCTAACATATACTTAGTTCAAAATATTTATGAACTGCTATTATATTTATATACATATGTTAATTTATTTTCTCGTGAAATACTTAAAATCGTTTTCTAAAAAGCAATTATATTTAGTGTTCAGTAGTTGTTTGTTTATCTCGCAATATGGACACATATTGTTCTTACTGTAAGGAAATAAATCAAGTTTATTACTATGTCACATTAAAACTTCATTTCATATCACCAGGAAAAGCAATTATATCAACAGGATACTTATTAATATGGAGGTATTCATTAATATAAACGAGAAACAAAAAGGATACCAAACTTTTCTCCTATGGGACCCCTCATTTTAACGAGACATCTTGTAAACCGGCTGCAATTTTTCCCAGGCTTCAGACATATTTTGTATTAATTTGACACCGGCATCAGTTGTCCAACGACCCTTCTTTAAACAGAATCGTTACGTATTTAATGGATTGGTTTTTCGGAAGTAATTCTTGTAATAACATTATCTTTTATTATTCTATAGTATACTTATTGTTCATTTATTGCTCTTTATTTAGTCGTTTTAAAGTAAGAACTGTGATTCATATATATAAACTGAAATTATAAAAAAAATAAGATATTATTAAGTACATTTCATTTAATTTTATATGTGATTTATTAATATTTATAGCTATACTTAATAGGACATGCTTTTTTAGTATAAGAAGATTTATGTACTATAAGTTATTGTTCTCAAGAACAAAACTATTACATATCAGCGGTAATTAATTCGTATTTTATTGATATTTACAATATTAATCTACAATATATTTCAGAATCTCTAGTTTACTTATGTAAATAGAAAAAAAACAGTTAGTTTTTCATAAACAAAAATTCATCGGACTTCTTTATTTATTTATCCCGTCAGTGTTGCCCGTTGTCTATTATTTACATTTTACAAAACAATAATTCAAGATACTGATACGGCTTAGCAGAGATTTATTACACAGCAGGTAACAAATTATATTGAAATTGCTTTAAAGTTTAAATATTATGCATTCCAAAACAGAATATTTGCAATTATGATAAGTATTTCAGTTGTCTATTATTAACTAATCTAGTTTATGAAACTATATTTTTTCCTAATTTGTGACAACGAAGTTATTTCTTCTCGTATCAATTGTCTTATTAGTTTATATTCACTCAATTTCATCAACCAATAACATAGTTTATGATTATAGTTTAAAAACATGAAAAAAAAACCACAAACAAATGTAGAAAAGATAATTTGTCCTCATTCAAAATACTGTCTCCATATTCAAGCACATTAAATATGTACACTATGCCGAGGCAGTTCAGCCTTCAAATAACGGAATACACACACTAATGTAGACTTTTAACAAAGAATAAAAAACAATTTCGCTATATGACTGAAGAAAACGCTTTGTTGAATAATCACAGCTAGTATTTGCATATATTTTCTTTGACCATTGAATTTTCCAATAACAGAGGTGATCGCGCGTCATGGACGAATGTATGGTCTGTTGTGGGCGGTGAGGCGGCATGTGGGCGCGAGCGGCGCGCGTTCTGAGGCGAGTGGCGCTTCTAGTGCCGCTAGCGCTAACGGCACTAGCGCTACTGCTGCTGCCGCGCCCGCAACCATTCAGATCACCAAGACTGCCTTCGCCGCCGCCGCCGCCGAAAGAAGACTTGCGTCAGGTATACCTCTTTACCCTTCGAAGTTCGAACTTTATGGACATAGACTTGTATGACCTTCTATGTCTTAATGTTCCGAGGTTCACCAGCTCTCAATGGACGTGCCATGAAGTAGATTATTGAGTGGCATTAAAACTTGTTTATGTACTAACAGCATAGCCGTATAAATAGGTCCATAGTCATAGTCCAAGACAATAACCTGTTTTCCATTTGCTGAATCGAAAACATTGTTGTCACTAAGTACTCGGTCCATAAATACGTTTTATGTACTTGTTTACTTAAACTGTAATTACTCCATATTGAAATAGTTATGATTTGTCTTAATCACCAAATTATCTTCTGTATAGATTAGATTGTAAGTTAATATCTGCGTGCCTAAAAACTAGAGTCTATAGAGTCTAGTCTAATGGTTAAAATTCTTTCAGAACTTGATAACAGAAAATGAAATAAATATAAATCAAGACGTGGATGACAGTTCTCAGAAGCAATGGTTTATGAGCGGCGGCGAACATCGGCCTTGGAAACACGACCCACATGCCAAACTCTTCCCCGAAGATGCGCCTGATAATGACAGGTAATGGAAACAGACGAATGATTTTAATACATTTATTTAGTAGAAACCAACATACAAATATTGATAATAATTCATCAATATGAAAGCCTTTCTTGCCATACCTTTCCTCGCACCCCTCCCTCTTCCTAAATAACCAAGGTTTTCAACGCATCTGCAACATAAGATATGTTGCAGATATCCATGGGCGACAGTGACTACCTATTAAGTAGGCGGTCTACTTTTTGTCGCCTTTCTCATAAAAAGTAGCAGTACAGAAATTTGTAACTGAAATAATACACGATTATTCAGAAATGTTTAATAAATGCGGGTAAAACAATGTTAAATACTGTATACTTAGTCAGATTCTCCTATCTTAACACAAGCATAAAATGTTTTAAGGTCTTTTTATTCATACATACATAATTACAGAAAAAAATGTTTTTTTCCCTAATTCAAAATAATAAGACAGATCAAACGCAAGAATTTGCGTTGGTTGGATAAGCAAACAATTCACTATCTACTACATTTTGGGCTACTCTAAAGTAAATACATATTAAATGGATTTGAACGTACAGCAAAGATATTTATAAAGAAAAGGAATTAATATAATTATATTATTATTAAATTCCCATATTCCATTTACGAAACCCACCCACAATACTGATATATACATAGCTTACATTTTTCTGTTAATTTCAATTAGCATCACATTAAAATAATAATAATAACAGCAATAAAATATTCTCTCCAATACTGAAAATCAATAACAGATAGTACCGTTTCATTATCACACATCCTACTTACACATTATCGATATCACAGAATCGTCGAGCAGTTGATGTACGCGTTGCCAAGTGAAGAAGATATACCATTGAAGAAGATTCTGCTAGCTAATGGTTTAGGTACGTGGGGGGTGGCGGGAGGTCGCACTGAGTTCAAACGTAATAAATGTCCGGTCGACCGATGTATGCTGACAGCTGACACAAGAGAAGCTGAAACAGCAGATGCCATACTCTTCAAAGACCATCACACACCATTCAATGTGAAACGACCTCACAGTCAGGTATGCTCCGTACATAGACTAATGTGTTCCTTTGATGTAACTTCTGTAATTCTTTAAAGTATATGTTGTGTTTGTTAATCTTCAGTGCATTATTATGGATCGTATGAAAATGTTTTACTTATTCGTAGCAAACCCGATGGAAATTGAGTTTAATTGATGTCAAATATACATCTTGTTTAAGCGGATTTCGTAATCCAGTGTAATCGAGAAGCTATTCCCTTTTGATGTGGCCTAAAAAATTAAGATAGCACTCTTTAGTAACGGCTTAGCTCAAAAAATGCTATAGATCTATAAATTTTTACTCATAAATCAACATATTCAATATATATTTTTTCAATCATTCAATATATATTTTTTCTCTGTTCTCTTATTTGCCACATATATGTAGTACATATTATTGCGTGTCACATCATACAATTAACGGCATATTGTCAGGATGTTTTTGTTATCAGATATGGATCCTTTATTACTTGGAGTGTCCGTACCACACGGCATCGCTACGACCTACATCACTAGATGTGTTCAACTGGACGGCTACCTACAGACGAGACTCTGACATCGTGGCACCATACGAGAGATGGGTCTATTACGACCCACTGATCACAGAGAGAGAACTTGATCGAAACTATGCAGCCAATAAGACCAAAAAGGTTTGTTAAAGATTTTTGAATGCAAATATAAAACCATTTGTGACGTCATACTAGGGAAGATGGGTCTCACAAATGTGACAGGGTCGGTTGGGGTGAAAAATCTTGAAATTAATGTGACGTAATTAAAAACAAGTCTGCATAGTTAATCGTCACATTATAAATAAATAATTCCAGTTTTACAAGTAGAATTTTCGATAATACCAAATTCGTGAAAGAAAAATTGAAATCTCGACCTACTTAGGTCGACGATTCAAACTTGATGCAATGATAAATACTTTTTGGGGTATAATTTTTAGCAGAACCGACCATCATTATCACACGAATATCCTCATATTTTAATAGTATAAGATATATACTGATTGCAAGAATATATACAATAGAATTTCCTATCTAGGTAGCGTGGTTTGTATCTAACTGCCACGCTCGTAACAGCAGGCTTCAGTACGCTAGACAGCTGGCTAAGTTCATTCCTGTAGACATATACGGTGCTTGTGGCTCACACCACTGTCCAAGAGCCGACCCCAACTGTTTGGAGATGCTCGATAAAGAGTACAAATTCTATTTAGCGTTCGAGAACTCAAATTGCAGAGATTACGTTACCGAGAAGTTCTTCGTCAATGGATTGCAGTGAGTATTTATTGTTAGATATTATAAGATTATAATGAAAATATAAATTTTTATAGTCCCATCTTGATAGGTGCAACTTTACTTCTGTGTAAAAATCGATAATTCTATAGAAGTCACACAACAATCGGACCTTTTCAAAGACGTTATAGTTTCTCTTTTACGTCACAAATTTTGCAATACCACATTCATTTGTCACCTTTGATTTTTTATAAACAATATATTTTACGGCTAAAGTTGGTTTAGTATTAGCTTAAATCGCTTAACTCAATTCCTTACTTAAGGTATAGAACACTATAGTTCAATAGCTCAAGTCATAAGTAATTATCAAGCATATTCCTAATTAAAATGACATAATGCATGCCCATAAGCCCATATGCCCATAAGTAGAGACTTGTCCATGAAATTTCATCACGTAATAATTCTTTGGCTACCAAAACATAAATTTTATTCACAGTTATATCGATTTCAGTGACTTAGAAACTATGTGTTTTATTTTAAACTTTATAAATCGTATTGTTATCAATATTTAATCCACGTGACTTAGCGTAACTCAAGGCCGTCACGATAAATCCGTAACTAGTAAAAGTTGATTGATATCATTAAAAGTGTGCAAAAAGAATTCGTCATTACATTTACATATTAACATTTGTATTTGACGATAAGTATGTATTAACATGTGCATATATATGTATGTAGATGTCGTCGATAAAATTCCAACCGCTAATTGATTTCATGTCAAGCCAAATTGCCAAAGGTATAAGTGGCTTGAAGCCAAGAAGTTGTCAATGTATTTATCTATAAATGTATATCCGAACCGATTTATCTATCAATAAAAAAGAAAAGATAAGCAAACAATACAAAATATTTATATTTATAACATAGTATATATATGCAGAATTGAAAACAATACAACAAAAATTGCACAAAAACTAACGGCCGGGTAGTAGTGACAAGTTATTCGTTAGTTTCTTGAAAAAGTATTCATTCCGTACCGACAAAGCAACGTATCTCTTCATGTTTACGACTGCTTTGTAAGAGTTGAAAGGTGTACAATTTGAAATTCAGTGTCCAAGTTTTTTTATACATGTATGAAAATATACAAGTTATCACACTTCACTAGTAGTTAAACTATTTAACCAAAATAATAAGTGTTCTTACACGACCTTTTTATATATTAACGATTTCATAAACAAAGCCTTAGGCTTTGCTTTACTCTAAGAGGCACCAATGGTTCGTTTGTAATCATATAAAATATATATTTGCCACTAGACACGACGTGCTACCAATAGTAATGGGCGCGAGACCGTCTGAATACGCCGCAGTAGCTCCTCACAACTCCTACTTACACGTAGAAGAGTTCGCCGGGCCCGAAGAACTAGCGAACTACTTGCGGAGATTGGACGAGGACGACAATATGTACAATTCTTACTTCAAATGGAAGGTAGGTGTGATAAAGATGATTTTTTTGTCATGGTAACACCAAAAACGAAGATTTTTTGTCACGGTAACACCAAAAAAACAGTCGTCTTGAGTCGTCCATTTAGGAACAACAGGAAAATTCTAAGGTTTGTTAGGAATGGTAATTACAGTAAGGCACTCTCATTTAAGTTAACAGCAATTGTGATAATATTCTATGAGGTGGTGCTATCCCTATACTGCAAAACAATACTAATAGCTACAGCTACAGTCTGAAACCTTCAAATCAGTTCATACAAGCGATATTAATGTTAAACGATCAATAATAATGTTACTTTGCAGGGTACCGGAGAATTCATTAATACGTATTTTTTCTGCCGAGTGTGTGCTATGGTTCATGCAAATGCTCGCAGACAGCGCAGTGCTCATTATACCGATGTGCAAGCTTGGTGGCGGGACGGCGCTTGCACGCGCACTGACTGGCGACCACGTGACCCACCATAGACAATATAACAGATTATATATAGAAAAAAAAACGCTATGAAAGTTAAAATGAGGTTCTATATCACCGCATAGTTATGGCCAGTGTGAAAAGCAAAGCTAGCAGAAAAACATTTGTGATTGAAATCTTTTTATTTATTCGGTGACTTAAACCAAATTAATTAAGACATCACAAGCTTAATAGTCTATTATCAAATGTTATACAAAATTTTCGTTTCCATACGACCAACGAGGATATTCAAAGTTAAATTTTGATATTTTATTTTTATACTATTTATATATTTATGAAAATTAAAATAACATTCCATTATTTAATTTTTAATTTTTATTGTTATAGTAAACCTTCTTAGTGCATTCCATTATTCGGATAAATAAGAGAATTCTTGTTCGCGTCCATATTATATAAACACCAACAACTAGATCTTCGTGTAGTTGAAACATCACTATTTTATAAGTTACCGTAACAAGTATTCATTAATTCATAGGAGAAATTCTATGTCGCATAGAAAAAATTAGTCAATCAATGGCTTAACAAAGCACAAAATAGTTGTGAAAAAAAGTAACGAGACCTCATTATGAAAAAATAAACACAAATTTTTAGATATGTATGTCATGTTATTTTTTGTTAGATTTTCGTGTTAGAATAAATATTTTATAGTGAAGTATTTAAATGAAGTTGTTTATAGTCTGTTAAATCGCGTTAATGATAAGTATTAATTATTTTTTGTGTTGTAAAATATTTTCTTTTAAGATGTCTTTTTTAGAAACCATAACGTTATTACGTATTAAAATATTATAATTTATAATTACATATTTAGATTTTTTTTCAGAATACGTTTTTCAATACTTATATACTTAGATATTGTACGGTAAGAAATATATTACTTTCATTTTTTTCTTCAAACTGTTTTTAAACATTAAATTAGTGATTGCACTAACATTATTCTATGTTTAATATAATTTCAAAACAATAATTGAGCTACTTATTTTAAAAGATTTTCTAGAAATATGTTAAGAAAGTTTTCATGGAAAAAAATTACAAAAAAAATTATATCGCTCACTACAATTACACTGCTACATTCATCTCAATATTTTGTGAATCCTAAATTATTAGAAGAAATATTGTTTTTTTATATTAATGTTTTATTGTTTTGACATTCAAACATACGTTTTTGAACGTTTTATTAAGAATTTGCGGGAAACGTGCAATTTTTCCAAGGATATTCATCACAAGTAAGTAAAATAGGAAATTTGATAAAATACCATTTTCACTATGACTTCTTTCACTAAAGAGCAATCTAATAAAATAAATCTCGATAGAAAACTACCTAACTACTCTATGCATATTCCTTACTTTAGCTATTACTTTACATATACATTTTTAATATTACTATTAAGTTTGCTATATGCTTATATATTAATACTTTTTTCTATTGTATTCTTATTGTAATAAGGAGCACATTATTTGTTATTTGTTACCTGTGCTGTGAATTCCGATAACTTATTATTAAGTTTAACTACAGTTTCTCATTAACGTTTTTAAGCTTGTTAAGTAAGTTACAGTCATTCAGATTTTATACAATTTGAAGAAATATATAATGCTGATAAAAAATTTAACTAACTTTTTCATCATTATGTTACGTTTAGAAATCATCGAGTATATTCGTATCGGTGACGATTACCTAATTAGTAATTTCTTTAATAGTTAATGATAAATTTGACTCAAATCCAAACGATTTAATTTTATAACTGTTACATATAGTAATTGTAAATTGTAATCTATATGTTCAAAGAACAAAAACTATGCAAACAAAAAAGTTTTTGCAAATAATAAAACGGTCTACATATTTGAAAACTCATTAAGAAAATATCTTTGGTCCTTTGGGGTGACACAAAAAAATTGTTGTTTATTGTATAGCTTGTTCTTTTTATTTTTGTCGAAACAAAATAATCATAACTAAATGAGAATATTTTCGCCCGAAATAAAACTACTAGTAATATTATTTTTAACAAAGAAAAATCTCAAATTATAATGAAAGTGTTTTAAGATTTTCATTAAAATAACAGTTTTTAGTGGCATACTTTTTATTTGTAACTTTTATCAAATAGTATGATGAGAGTTGGGTGACGCTTTCTTATTTAATCCATTAGTAAATACAAATAAAGTGACAAACCGTTCACTCGTTCTTAATTTATTTACACAATTAGTTTAGAAAAATTTACTCTTTCGAAAACGGCAAATGCTTGTATTTGTTGCTTTTGATGCTGTTTGTCAATATTTCGTGACTAGTACGTTAGCGTTAGCTTTTAAAGGTCTTATTCAGGTGTTTAGAGGATTACCTTAAAAGATTTGTTCATAAATGTGTAGGTCTATTTCGGCAATAATAAGACCATTCGAACCAGAAACTAAGTGCAGACTTTTTCCAAAATGTCATGCAATTGTGCTATAGACCTCTTACTAATTCTCGCCTTATTTTGTGTATGTACTTTATGTACGACTCCTTATGTCACCCATCTACAGACTACAACTAAAACCTAATTGGTTTAAACCTATTTCTCGTGGAATCTAAAGCCAAAATCGTAAATCACAATAGAAGTTACTCAGTTTTAATATATCCAATCACGTACAATGGAAATGGTAGAGCAAGCTTTATAGAGCTGTCATTTCGAAAATAACTTTTAAAAAACTGTCAGTTTGATATACATAGAAGATTATCAATTAAAATTCAAGAACCCGGCGATAACTTTAAATTTAAAACCAATATATTATACTGACATTCGCGAATGTCATTAGGAAATTTAACTTGACTTAAATCTTTTTTTACTCTAAATATAAATCGTGAGCGGTACAATTATATTCTATGATTAACTATAAAAACTTATTTTTGACTAAAAGTCTGTACAATCTGACACATACATAATTCATTTGATAATTGGAAAAATAAACATGTAGTGCAAACATCAGATGTTTATTAATATTCAAGCTAACAAAAACGTTAATGTGAAAAAGAACTTACTCGAGATAGACTGCTTAAATTGTAAATGAAGTGTACTTAAAATTATTTTTACAAGGAAAGACAATTCTATGAAAGAAATTAATTCTCTATGAATTTGACTGTCGTGAAAGATTATTTAGATTAATTAATTTTTTCAGAGTAGATATAGTTTATAGATATTTTAGTCATATAATTATTATTTTTAAATCAAATGTATTGTAATTTTTATTGTTTCTTAATATAAATATTGCCAATTAGCTCATGTGTCTAGTCATTGAGCCAATGTTTATGGGCACAAATATTATTTATATTCACTTATATTGTTATTATTTAAAAATAATATAGCACAAAGTGTTGGGTATAATTTGATTTTTTACCATTTTGCATTTTGAAATTAATTTTTAAGCTTCTATAAGAAGATTTTATGTTAATTACTATATAATGTATTATAGATAATTCTTTATTGTCTAATCATTTAGTGTTTTAAGTAATATGAAATAAATGAAAATAAAAACTTCTAAGACACCTGTTTTGAAATACAAGTATTTTTTTATTATCAATTGTGTTTAATAGATTAAGTTCTTTATAATAAACTTTTTATTTCATTGACTTATTAATAATGTGGCTTGTATTATTTCTGTCACATAACATGATTATGTACTGTATTACAATAAAAGAAATTTGTTCTCACATGTATTTATTTAACAATAACTCGGATTCAGAAATAAATTAAACAGATATTATATGCCTTATAATGTTAACACCATACACATAAAGATATATAACTTATTCAAGTACATCTATACTGTTAATTTATTCAAATATAAATAAAGAATATTTTTTTATGTTTCCCAATAAATAGATTGCCCCTTAGCTTACAACACCACTCAAGAAATTTCTAGCAACTTTACAGGAGATGAAAAAAACTGTCTACTTTAAACTGTGTTTTTTTTTTCTATTGATACTCTACATACTCTAGTTAGCAGTTAAAAGACAATTATTTATACTTATTTTGATGATGTTGACTCGACATGCAATGAGTAGCTTCATCCAATTGCATTAAAATGTAAAAACCGCAAATTTTTGACTTGAGTGATATTGTTAGTTAAGGGACAAGATGTAGTTCTCACATGAATCATGCTTGTACAGTATTACAGATGATGTAATTATATAGCAGTTGTCACTGTTCAAAATAAATTATCGAAAACATATATGTTATTTTAATTCTTCCTTTACGTCTTTGAGTAAATTATTTTTATGCTTCAATAATATATTATAATTATCGAGGTTCTCTAACAATTGTATGTTTATATTAACACATTCGATGACAAAATTTATTGCGTTCTGGAATATACCTTTAGCTTTGTGGAGGTTCTGAGGTACTAAGACGCCGAACCAATGTATAGGGTTAATCCCGCCTTGGGTTTCAATGACTTTAACTTGTTTAACATAATCTTCTTCGACGGTATTGCAAGTAATTGATGCTGTGAATTCAGGACTGCTCTCTGTTGGTAACCTCTCCTTGCTGACTGAACTCTGTCCCATAATATATCTAGACTTAGCCAAATGAATACTACCATTATTTATACTACTCTCAATTCCCAGTTCACATCTCATCTTATCCTCCATCAAATGCAACTGTGTTAATGCTAGTTTATCTAGTAAGTCGCACACATCCTCCAAACTGCACTCTGGAATAATATCTATTGATTAAAAAATATAGAAATAAATATTATGGTATTGAACTTTTTTAATTTTACCATTCTTATCAGAAGACATTTTTAAATACTTATTCACATTCACGAGCCTCCTTTTATGCTAACAGTATTATAAATCACGTAATAATAAATCTCAAATTTTTAAATTAAACTATCGCTCCATTTACACCGAATTAATTCGAATAATAAAATACACTCTTTAAACAATAATGTCAAATGTCATACGACTACGCTTTTCACTTTTGACTTTTGGCAAAAACTTTTCATAAACAATATAGATAAAAATCCTATGACTTCCTACTAATTGTTTTTTAGATTGAGTTTTAAGTGAAACTTAAATTTTAGAAAACTAGATATTTATTTCATTATTACTAGTTCATCCTTGATCATACAAATCAACATTATTTAAACGATATTAAAAATGATTTTATGTGAGTGTAGAATTTTAATTTAGTATATAGATACCGACAAAAATAGCAGTATTTAAATCACTTATTAATTAAATTACGATCAAGTAATAAGTTTTTGTAATGTGTTTTCTGCCTTTACATTTTCTTTAATGTAAGTAACTTTTCTATCATAATAAGTCATGACTTAAAAGTATAACACATTTTTTATTATATAAAACATTGGTAGTCTGTAAATTATATAATACATAAATAAACCCAAAAAAGAAGTAAGTGTCCATAGTTGCTTTCTATTCGCTTTCTCGAAATTCAAACCAAGGTTTTAGGACTTGAAAAAACAAGAGGCAATCATATAATAATTATCATTTTAAGTTAAGTTAAGCATAATAAATCAAAAGCTTAATATAAAAAAATAACAAATTCTTTTAGTAGTTGAATATTTGATTTACTTTTGCGTCTTGACCTGAGTGAGATTCAACATAGATTCGACAGATAGCAGATCATTATTCAAGAACTACAATTTACATTTTTTTATATATTGCCTATGGTCACGACTACATACAGATAATATATTTTTATTTGTTCACTGGCCGGTAGATCACTATAAAAAAATAAGACGCCATTTTGTTTAACATTTGCATCGTCTGTGGATCCATGCAAGTGTTTAGAACCGTACTGAAATTAAAACTGTAATCTCAAGGCTATTATTAGATTTTGTTCAAAATAACATCGGGCGATGTCGGACCGAAAACGATTAATATCTGATCTTCGTGTAATAGATCTACGCGCTGAGTTAGAAAAGCGCAATCTAGATAAAAGTGGTGTACGCGGTGTGCTCGTACAACGTCTGTCTAAGGTATATCAGGATACCAATTTAATAAATGCACGTCATATCCTGCTAAGATAATAAAATATTTAATATTTATAGTATTTGGAAGAGAACGGGGAAGATCCGGCTACTTTTACCTTCGAATTAGCTACAAATGAAGTAAAGACACCATCGAAGCGGACAAGACGCACTGAAAGTGCTGTAGAGGCTGTTGAGGAAGAAACGCCAGTTATGGAAGATATGATAGTCCAAGATACAGCTGGTGAGGAAGAGGATACGGAGCAATCGGAAAATAAAAATAAGAAGGCGGCTAAAGAATCACCGAAAAAAACAGACGAAATGGAGGTTGACGGTGATGAGAAGGTTAACCGAAAACGTGAAAGTAAAGACGAGGCTGAAGCTAGTCAAGCAAAGAAACCCTGCTTGGATAAAGATGTTAGGAACGAGGAAGAACATAAGGCGGAGAATAATACTGACGCCGAAGACAGCATCAACTTAGATTTGGGTGAAGACGAACTTTTGAATGAAGAGGTATGTTTCTATGTCTTCACAGTTAATGTCACCTTGCCCTCACCCAAAGTGAACCTATCTAATGGAATTAATGGCTTCATGATGGATATAGACTAGATAGATCAAGCAAAATATCTATAATTATGTATATAGTGTAATAAATATTATCTATTTATTATATACTTCTCTATTTTTTTAATAGTCAAACAATTAACAAAATGTATCTGTACAATAATCAACTAATTTTCTATAATAATATACTAAACTGTTAAATTTAATTTCAGACTGACATCTCAGCTAAAAACAAGAAAGGTAAGTTATGGTAAATATCATTAAATACAATTAATCTAACACAGATCTCAAATGTATGCGTAAAAAAGTAAAAGATCATTATATTGATGACAATTCTTTATATTTCATGTGTATTTGTGTTCCATAAGTTCTGGAAATTATTCACACAACAAATAATTAAAACAAATGTGTTGTGAAGTTTCACTTTTATCGGAGCGGAGAATCATTATAAAGGAAGGAAGCTGATAGCGACAGTGGCTATAGAATCTGATTACAAGCTTCTCGGAAAACATGAAGAAACTTAACGAGGAAGACAGAATCTTTGCCAAATTGAAGAGCATTTAACACCATCTAAATATTGCTAATTGAATTCACCTATATTCCAAAACCAATTTTCAAGTGGCTCTTCAATAATTATCATTTTAGGCTCAGTCATCATCACTATTGTTATTAGGCATGGAGATAATGCCTCAGATTTTGTATCGCAGGTCACGGGCACCGGTGTTAATGTCAAATCAAGTTTTCAGGTCGTACAAGACTAAATATCCATAGATATAGTTAAGAAGCCTCAATATCCTGTTGCGATTCAACAAGAAGAGTATACACAGAACGGGCTGCTCGTGCGAGCGACCTGTGCTGGCCTTAAAGTTTACATTGACGTAGATGACGCCGCCCACGTGGAAGCCGCAGCGGCCGCCAGCGTCGAGCCTTCGCAGACCACCGAGCCAGCGGACTCCTCAGAAAATCAAGTAACCACCGAAGCGGCTGCCACTAGGTTGGTGATCAACGAACGTCGCGACGCCGTCTTGCAGCTACATACCTCGATTATCAAGTTCTCATAATTATAAATGTTTGTCACTACAAAGTTTTGCACCAATATAAGTCGGATCGCATGCGACGGGCATCGTTGGAGCTTCGGATCAACTTGGACATCTGTAACTGATTGACTCCACGAAGAATATTCTGATCGGCGCTGCTCACGTGAGATATCTGAACGTGAAGAAGATTTGTATATTGAAGAACACCTTTGGACGACAGCCGACGACAGTCAACAACACAATCAACACACAACGGTGGAGTAGCGGTGCAAAACTTTGTAGTTTACATGTGTGCTGCTATTACAAAATGAACTTTAAATATAAATCTATTCTATCTAAATAACCCTAAAGTTCGTTAACATTTATACATGAAAAACTAAACTGGTATTATTTATTTCAGCAATGATTCTGATAAAGTTGATAGAGAAGACAAAGGTGAGTAGATATTATATACATATATAAATATAATATAAATTATATTTTATTAATAAATTTCCTTTATTCATAGATGACAAAGAGAAAGATGGGGATGTTGACAAAAAGGAAAAGAGGGATGAAAATAAAGAGGGTGGTGCAAGGAACTTATGGGTTAGTGGATTGTCTGGAGACACAAGGGCTAAGGATTTGAAGCAGCTATGTAGCAAGCACGGCAAGGTAACTAAAATACTATCAATAAACCTCATGTGTAGATAAAATACAATATATTTTGATATTTCACTCATGCTGCATTACTAAATAAATATCATTAACATTATATGATATAAGAAAAAAATACAAAATTTATCTAACTTGCTATCATTACCATTAATGGTAAATGTTATGTGCAAATACAGTAAAATAATATTTATTTTCTAGGTGATTGGAGCAAAAGTAGTAACCAATGCTCGTACTCCAGGATCTCGTTGCTATGGTTATGTTACTATGGCCAGTGCTCAAGATGCGGAAAACTGTATCAAAAATCTACATAGAACTGGTATGATTTTTACTGATTATTTTTAAAACATTTTTTTTTATAAATACATTTAATATGTGTTGTCTTGAACTATACCAAGTGCACTAGCAGGAAATAATATTTAAAGATTGAAAAAATCACTCAAATACTTCATTTTAAATTTAAAACAAGATGTTTTATACATTTCTTTATATGTATATTAATGAATTTTCGATATTCCCAAAAATATATGCATACAAATTAAATGCGGTTCCTTGTTTGGAAACAAAAATAAACATATTTTAAATATAATACATATGTCATCAGTAGGGCCCGGATTAATATGTAAATACATATTTTTAATTTAAGCGATTTTCGGTCAAGAATGTGTTTTTTACATGGACTGTCATATTTAGACTGTGAAAAACCAACTTTTATTTTCCATATTTTACCATATTTCAAAGTTAAGTCCATATTTTACAAGAAAATGTCACAATCATCCATATATTCACAAAAATACATAAAATTTACGTTCCCGCCACTAATGCTTTGGATAAAAATAAAGGATTGAATACGCTAAAAAAATTAACAAAATTCTGTGCGAAAGTTTCAAGGGCTGTAGACATGGCTTACAAAATTACTGAATTAAGCATGTTTAAGTATTCACCCATCACGTCATGTGACTTGAGATGAGACCAATCAGCATGATATAAAGCTAGGGTAAATCACCCAGTAGTCAGCCTTTTAGTGAGTAATTAAATTTTGTTTATTAGTTACTAGCTTTTGCCGCGGCTTCGTCCGCGTGGAATAGTTACTTCCGACAGATTTTTGGTTCTTCCCACATAGTTCCCGTTCTTGCGGGGTTTTCGGAATGGTCGAGTTCCCGTAGAATTTTCAGGATAAAACCTATGTTTTTTTTATTCACAATGAAGTACTCTTAACCAACAACATATTTATTTGTTTATTTGAATAAAGATTAATATTATTATGTTGATACAACTTAAACAAATTATTTCGACCAAATTAGGTACCATAAAAACGGTTTTTGTGAGTTAATCTTAAAAGATAGACATATACTGTCCCGGACTGTTTTTTAGATCATTAAAAGAGCTATTATTCTTTAATACATATTTTTTGTGTATCTTGAACCGTTTTCACGGCGCACGCAACGGAAGGCTTCAAAGATGAAATAATTTCTCCCGTTTTTTACACATTTACCACTATATCTTTGCTCCTATTGGTCGTAGCGTGATGTTATATAGCCTACAGCCTTCCTCGATAACTGTACTATCCAACACAAAAAGAATTATTCAATTCGAACCAGTAGTTTCGGAGATTAGCGCTTTCAAACAAACAAACAAACAAACTCTTCAGCTTTATAATATTAGTATAGATTTAAATATTAAACACTATGCATAAAAACAACCACTTTTTTGTGAAAGTTTATTTATTAAAATTACTAAAAAAATTAACAAACTATCAAACTTTTGTTACATTCATAGAAAAAATCAACAATAATCATATTATGGCACTTTTTCCCAGTGCTCAGCCTCATTTCTCCACAAGTCAGCCACGGTTTACCCTAAAGTCAGCCTCTCATTTACTTTGCATATTTGGCATAAAAATGTCTTATTATATATATTTTCATACATATCCCCAGCGAATTCAGTGCATTTTAAATGGTACCACGCAGGGCAATTATCACATCCTATATTTTTCAGGTCGTTGTTTTCGGTATCGCTACTCATTTCTTCTTCACAATTATTACATCTTATTCTGTTTATAGTACATGTAATATTTTTCTTCCTCTTATTACTTTTGTTAAAATTCAACTGCTTTTCCGCTTTTCTTTTTTGTAATTCTTCTTTCTTTTTTTGTCTCTCTTCTTCTTTCTTGGCCTTAATCTCAAGTCTTTTGAGTTTTTTACTTAAAATTTCGTTCTTTTTCAGTTCTTTCATCTCTTCTTTTTGTCATTCAAATTGTCTCCACTCATCGGAAGAAATAGCTCCTATTCTATTGGTTGATTTTATCTTTCTTTTTGGTGTAGCTACAGCAGGCAAGGTTAAATACTTATTTAAAATGGGTGACATATCTCTCGATTTCACAATAACATTGGAGAGTATATTTATATTGCTTTTTATATTTTTGGTACTGTCATGTAGTACAGATTGCACATTTTTTGGCTCCTCTTGTTCAATGTTATTTTTGATTTGATCAAGTTTACAATCTGTCCTTATGTCTTTCAGATTATCCATAATATAATTATTATTTTCTGGGAGCGATGCGTCTCTCGTATTTTCCATATTATAGTAAGTATTTATTTCTTGTCCAACATCTTCATTTTCTTTATCAATAATATCTTGGTTAGTATTTATTTCTACTTCAGGTACTTTATTTTCCATAAATTCTTCAGAAACTGGTGTGTGATTAGTCACACATTCCTTAACGCAGTCACCGTTCTGATTATTTGCAATAAATACAGGTGTGTGTACAGATTTATGCGTTTCTAGACTTTCACTATTTTGGTAAGTCGCTTCAAAGTCGGCTATGATTTCGAATTTTTTGAAGGATGTCTCTGCTTCTGTAAAGGTACTTAAATTATTTATCAATGTGTAATCACCTATAATCGGCAAGCTTATGTCAAGAATTTCATTTGATTCTGATGCTAATTTTGATTGGTTTTTATCAATATCACAGGCAGAACTATTATCCATTTTGGAATCATCAGTTGAGTTTTTTGTTGAATTTAAACTCTCAGGTCCAGCCATATTTTTTGCTGCACTCAAAACTTTGATAACGGTAGTTGTATCTACTCCAGCATTTTCTAGCTCGTTACTTAGCTGATTAATACACTTGATGGCGGTATTCAAATGCCTGTTTTTAATTTTGTTGCCTGGAGAATTCAAATTCTTGGTAGCATTGTGAAGTTTCTCAAGATTATTCTGCACACATTTAGAGTAGTCCAAAGCGTTTGGATTGAATGGGTATAATCCACATTTGCGAAAACCGTTGCTGATTGTTACAGACAAATTTTCCTTCTCTAAGATCTTTTTAAGTAATGGACTAAAAGTTGCCTTGGTCAAAACACTATTGACATTTTCAGGTTGAGTTGCCCATTCGTACACTGTATTTTTCCATTCTACCTTCAAAGGTTTAAATACACTTACATCAGCAGGTTGAATCAAATGCGTTGCATTTGGTGGAAGTGCATATAGTATAATACAATTTTCGTGACAATATTCGCTGAGTCGCATTGTTAAGTGGCTCTTGTGGCCATCAACAAAAACGAGTACCGGTTTTTTAATTTTCTCTTCTTTTAGCCACTCGTTCAGACCTTTCTCAAAATAGTCGAAAAAAATTTCTGATTTCATCCAACCTGTTTTTGACTTTCCCAATAACCATCTATCAGGCATACTGTTCACAACTTCTTTAGGTGGTCTGACGTATGGGAAAACTACACAAGGAGGCAAAATTTTTCCAGAAGCCGATATAAATATAAGGACAGTAACAGCTTCTTTTTCCTTACTTTTTACAATTTTGTAGACGTTTTTGTAATCTCTTGGTGCAATGACTTTTCCAGTCTTGGGGCATATATAAAAACTAGTTTCATCACCGTTGAATATACGGTCAGGGTCGATCAAAATATCACTTGCATTTATGTCTTCTAAATGCTTCATAAGTTCAGCAAACCACTTCCGAATACCTGCTTCAGTTACAGCGGCTCGACCATTCGATATATTTTCAGGCGTCCTCTCACTTAACTCAGGATTTTGTCTCAGAAATGATTGGTACCATTTATTCCCCGGTCTATTATTTACAAATGGGTTTGGTCTTTTATCTTCCGATATAATATTGTGGACGGTATTCAGGAGATCATCACGTTTTAATGGGAAGCCACATTTCGCTAATGCAATACACCAGTTTTTCAACGCAGTTTCTTCAGTTTTGGTTAGCACTGTTTCTGGTCCCATTTTACGGGGCAAATCTGGAACCCTTAAATGTACTCGATCCTGTAACGTCCCTCGTGGAACCTTAAAAACTCGACTGGCTTCTCTTATTTTCATACCATTCCTAATCGCCGCCATAGCTTCTATCAATTGTTCTTCTTTATATTGGTGGATTGGTCTCTTTGACATAATGGAACTCTAAAACAAAGGATTTTTATTCTAAAATATTTTTTGCATAAATTAAACTCTAATTAAAAATGCTTTAAGGTGCTATTTAGTGCAACAGGGCTAACGGCTGATTACTGGATTCTTAGAGCCATTGGTCGGCCACTAACATGCAGTTACATTTGTTCGCGGCTGACTACTGGTAAAATACACTTTTCGTCTTAGAAAAGTTAAGCTCAAAGTATTGAGCAAAAATTCAATTATTCCGTTCGTTAATTTCAGCTAAATATAAGATATTCCCAAAAAAACTAGTAGTCAGCCGCTTGTGGCTGAGCACTGGACCTACAGTTAAAATTCCAAACCCAGTAGTCAGCCACCTTAATTACTACATATTTAACAAATAAAATATATGTTTTAGTTGATTTACTCGCAAAATAAACAGTTTATTGTAACACAATAATATTATCCACCGCAAATAACAAGATATAAACACAAAAACTTACCGGAAACTTTAACGCTTTCCTGAAGACAAAAAACAGTAACAAAATCGTGTCTAGTCTTGTCTGTGACAGCGGCGCAAATGAACGAGCGTAGCTCCTCTAACTTATATGACATCGATTCGTATGTGTGCTTAACAGCCAATAGGGAGACAAAGATTCGTTCAAACGTTATTTTAGTGGTGTACGTAAATTTTAACACTATTTATAGGGAAATAATGTCTGTAAAGGCTGAGTACTGGTGCACGACTGACTATCGGGTGTTTTACCCTATATTTCGACATTCGATATGTTTTAATTTTGATAATTTAAAGAAGCACGTCATTGTGTATTGGATTGCAACCAATTTGATAAGGCTAGTGTAATGGAAGTTGAATAAAACTGTTATTTATTGTTGAAATAAATATTTCGCTACTTTTTTTCATCGGTTTTTAAATGTAACTTAACGATGTACGTCACGAGTGACCCTTTTCTTATAGTAAAATAATGTTTAATTATGAAAGTATTTAATTTTATACTCCATATTTTTGATTTTTTCGTCCATATTTTATGTACATATTTGAGATTCTTTAATACATATTAATTATCCGGGCCCTAGTCATCAGTATCTTAGAGAATAACACATGATTTATTTTCTCTTGAAAGACATAATCTTTTCAGTCCCAAACAAAACTATGTGCATTCTTACAACCTCATGTGAGATCCAAGACTTGCGAGTATTCATTAAAATTGAACTAATATTTTGGCATATTATTACGGCTTATATATTAAATACTGCTTATTTTATTATTTTTAAAACTAAACATCTGACGTGTCAGATACGTAGCAGCGGCCGTGATTACGTTCAGACGAGATGAGAATGGTAGAAATAGTAATAATCCAAACATATTTATTACATTTATAACCACAAGTGCCTATATTTCAGAGTTACACGGTCGCATGATCTCCGTGGAGAAGGCTAAGTCTGAGTCCGAGTCAGCAGCCCGCCGCCAGCCGTCTCTTAGACCTGACAGACGGAACAGCAAGGAACGGAAAGACGACGCTAAGGAGAATCAGGTATAACTAATACTATGAATGATGAAGTGTCTGATTTTTTTTTCATATCAAAAGTGGCAAACGAGCAGACGGCCTATTTGATAGGCAGTAGTGACCGTCGCTCATAGATATTCGCTATATAGATGTTACGGATGCCTTGCTTACCTGTATTGTTGTGGAAAAGGGAGGAGTGGGAAAAGGGAAATAGCAGGAAAGGGTGGGAATCAGGAAAAGGCAACTGGCTCTCTAGTTAGTTAGGCTACTTGGGGCCGATCCTTTGTGAGAGGATGATACTTCCCCGGTCGAGCCAGCCCACGTTCGAGTATGACTACATGTAGTAACTTGACTACAGCTAGGCTCAACCTCTAACAGTGATGATATGTTTATATGTTTGTTGATCTTTCAAGCAAAAACTACTCGTTAGATTCTGTTGAAACTGCGTATATGTATCTTAGACGAGAGGATAAGGCGTAGTATATAATTCATCTCGCAATTCCGTGTAGTTTCTATGGGATTAGGGTATATTAGTTGTATATACATATTAAGTTACTCGACACAGTATGAATGTTGCTGAGTAATGGTTACCATACATAGTTTTAACGTATTTTATACATTGTCTTTAAGATGAACTTCGAAGTATGAGACAAAAACTAGTTTTTACATATATTCTTACTACAACAGTGGATACTTGACAATTATTTAATATCTTTTAAGTCTAGTAACATTACATTATATGCACATCTTATATACTTTAATGTATTGCCAATAGGATACAAAAGACGGTACTGAGAAATCTGAATCAAAACCTAAAAAGGAAGGCGAGATCTCCGGCGCTGAGAGCACCAGATCTACGTCACGTACCCGTGAAAAATCACACCGTTCTGATAAGGTTTGTAACAGTTTACGTTGAGTTAGTTTTTACGTTTAAACTAAGTTTTAGTTTTCTGAATATAATACTAGTAGTTAGTTTTCTGAATACTACGCCGATGAAAGTATCACATCTGCCTCTGATCACAATTACTTTATAGTAATAGGCATTAGATAGGCATCGAAATGTCGGGATAATTTAGATATAAAGTAATGAAAAACGCATAGTACCCGAAAAGCTTAGTTTAATTTAGATAATCAAAATCTTAGATATCATTGTTTTTCAAGTAATTTATAGGTAATATTTTACACTTTATTTATTTCCTCAGGATAGAGTAAGGCGTAGCTCAAGAAGTCGTGAACGAAGGCGGTCCCCACGAGAGGTGCTCTCGTTTTCAAAGATATGGGTTAGTTCAGTTCATATATATATCTCAATAAATAATGCTCATAATACTATGAGGCTACTAAATCTGAAATAAATGAGAATCTACATGTATTTGACAAGATTAGTTCATACAACTTAATAGTTGACTATTTCTGATTAACAGATACAATTATGCTTTCCTTTCAAGCCTTTTAAACCTTTAATTTAACATGTATACTTAAATTCAACCGTAAACTTTTACAACTAACTGAATCACAAAATTTTGTCCACTGTCAAGCCCTTATTAATATATATGTTCATATAATCTATATTTCCATATAATTACAGAAGGAGCGTGATGTAGCTCGAGCTCGTGAACGTTCGAGGGCTGCTCGTGAAGAAGAACGAAGGAGGCGGGCGGCGGAGGACGCGCTCAGAGAGAGGGAGAGGAGACAGAGACAAGAGAAACATAGACTCACTATAGAGAGGGAGAAGCTACGGGCTGAGAGGTAGACCTGCAGTATCTTCTTCTTCTACCTGGCAATTTCCCGCCTATAGCCAGGGTCTGCCTTACATGATGTGAATAATGTTTGCCTAATTGTTTTTACGCCCGGTCGCCTGCCTGACATCAACCCTCTTTTGGGAATGTATTAATCAGTGAGGTCTAATTAATCTTAGGCCTCGGCCTCGAATCTCGCGGGTAGCGGGGCGGCAGCGGCGGCGGCACGGAAACGCATACTATTCTCCAAACTAGCTGTCAGCGGGCACGGAGAAATGTATGCGTTTTCGTGCCGCCGCCGCTGCCGCCCCGCTACCCGCGAGATTCGAGGCCGAGGCCTTAGAAAGTACATATGACTCGGAAAAATCACATTGGTACTTGCCTGGGCCAGGATCGAACCCGCGCCCTCGGCAACGAGAGAACAACAGCAACAATATTTTGTTATAATTGGAATAAGTTCAAAAGATTTTTCTTAACTTTTGCTGTTTTTAAGGGTGATTGTTCTAGCTAACTGTATTTATAATTTATTATTATAAACTTAACTATTTTTTGTCTCTTTCGCAGGGAAAAGATTGAACGAGAGAAGAATGAACTTTTGAGATTAGAGAGGGAGAGACATAGATTAGAAAGAGAAAAACTTGAATTGGAGAGATTGGAATTGAAAAGGGCTCAACTAAGGTTGGTTTAACTAGCAGTTACATTATTTATATCATAATAAATATAATTAATATAGTAAATGACACCAAGAACAATATAATATTTGAAATGCTTATACAAATTTTTCTATCAATTTATTTATTTTGTTCATCTCAATTAGAGAATTTACTAAGCAATGGTAGTAATGATCTGTTGTTGTTAAATTTCTCATTGGAAGAGTATGCTTTGCTACAGATTCAATATGTTGTATATACTTCGATTAATATTGGAATTAGTTCATATCTACATAAGTCTGAAAAATTACTATTGTCTTCCCTTAAAGTACATAAATAGAATTATATAAGTGAATAATTATTATATACAAAACCAGGTTAGAAGAGGAGCGTCGTAAGCGTGGCTATGAGAGTACGGCTTACCGCAAGGCAGCAAGTCCTCCTGAACCCTCCTATGATAGGGACGCGAGACACAAACGACCACCGCCGCCTACTATGGTACGAAAATAACGATAGTATATAATATATGACATAAGAAATTATAGAGAGAACATATTGATAATCAATTAATTATATAATTATATCTAGTGCTATCTGTGCCGTACTAATTATATCCCTACTAATATTATAAATGCGAAAGTAACTCTGTCTGTCTTACGCTTTCACGCCTAAACCACTGAACTGATTTTGATTTGGTACAGAGATGGAGTTGACCTTGAGAAATAACATAGGATAGTTTTTATCCCAGACTTTTGAAAGGTTCTCTTGGAAACACGATATAACCTAACTCCACGCGGGCGAAGCTGCTGGCGGAAAGCTAGTGTACTATAATCCTTAGAATTATTTTTATGACTGACTACAATTAATTATGATACTGAACCATTTAATTTTGTAATGGTAACATTTAAGTATCAACCTGTATTTGAAAATTAGAAATACGGCTTCAGGCTCTTAAAGACATTGAAACGTTGGGATTGTATAAAAATAAAATAATAAAAACGCGTAGTATTCGAAAAACTTACTATGAACTAAATGAGCACAAGACCTTAGATGTCATGAGTTAACATTCATACGTATAAATATAAGTAAGCATATCCTACTAATATTATAATTGCGGAAGTTTGTGAGTGTGTGTGTATGTTTGTTGCTTCTTCACGCTCAAATGGCTGAACCGATTGTGATAAAATTTTGCATACAGGAAGCTGACGTCCAGGAATAACACATAGGCTACTTTACATCCCGGAAATCCGCGGGTAACAGCGCGGGGTGTAGCTAGTAAGAGATATATCTTTTGTTTGTTATAGCAGACATCGAGTCGCGGTCAATTCGAAGCGCCGCCGCCGCCGAGGTTTGAGTTGACTGGAGGATACGACCGGACAGACAAACGAGACAGAGACAGGGACTACAAGAGAGATTATACTAGACATGTGGCCTGTGAGTATTATAAAGATAATATAAGATAATGTAGAATTAGTCAGTGGTGGCCTAGTGGTTAAAAGGCCCGCCTCTCATGCATGAGGGCGCGGGTTCGACCCTGGCAAGTACCAATGTGATTTTTCCGAGTCATATGTACTTTCTAAGAGTATTTAGACATCATTGATTAATGTATTCCCAAAAAGGGTTGATGTCAGACAGGCTGCCGGTCGTTAAAACAATTAGCCAAAACTATTAACAAACATGTAAGACAGATTCTGGCTAAAGCTGGGAAATTGCTAGGAAGAAGAAGAAGATATAAGATAACATAGGAAAGAAAGATAGAAGTTCCTTTAAGATATTTCAGTCCAAATCTCAATTTGTTCACATGATATAATTGATAAGTCCTATTATATTAATATTATCATTATATTGTCACGAAAAAAATGATTACTATTAATTATATTTATAAGAGTATATATTATACTAGCTTTTGCCGCGACTTCGTCCGCGTGGAATAGTGACTTCCGGCAGATTTTTGGTTCTTCCCACATAGTTCCCGTTCTTGCTGGGTTTTCGGAATGGTCGAGTTCCCGTAGAGTTTTCAGGATAAAACCTATGTTTTTTTTATTCACAATGAAGTACTCTTAACCAACAACATATTTATTTGTTTATTTGAATAAAGATTAATATTATGTTGATACAACTTAAACAAATTATTTCGACCAAATTAGGTACCATAAAAACGGTTTTTGTGAGTTAATCTTAAAAGATAGACAAATACTGTCGCGGACTGTTTTTTATATCATTAAAAGAGCTATTATTCTTTAATACATATTTTTTGTTTATCTTGAACCGTTTTCACGGCGCACGCAACGGAAGGCTTCAAAGATGAAATAATTTCTACCGTTTTTTACACATTTCCCACTATGTATGTATATCTTTGCTCCTATTGGTCGTAGCGTGATGTTATATAGCCCACAGCCTTCCTCGATAACTGGACTATCCAACATAAAAAAATTATTCAATTCGAATCAGTAGTTTCGGAGAGCGCTTTCAAACAAACAAACAAACTCTTCAGCTTTAAAATATTAGTATAGATAATTCTACTGTACGTGTATAGGTCACTGACTTTGTTCTAAACTGTTTGATCGATTTGAATTAATATTTTGTACATATATGTACATTTAAGTATCAACAAAAAAAATAAAAAAGCTTTATTTATACATATAGATAGAAATGAGTTTATGTAGATAGAGGAAAATGTAATATTTATATAAAAATGTGTAATCATTTCAGCTAACAACATGAAATATCCACCAAATGGCAGTGCTAGTGAGGACACGAGACAGCAACTACCGCCTGGTACTAGACCTAAAGAGCCAAGGTAAGGTCACTAAAATTAACGAGAAGACTTAATACTAGGTCAATAATCAATGTCAAATTAGGTTTTTGTTAGTTTTATTTGATATTTTGTTACAAATTCTACTCCCGGCGCAATGCTAGCCTCATTAATTGTCAAGAAAACTATTGAATTATACAATATTTTAAAATATATACATACGTTAAGACAATTTACCAATGATCACAGAAAAATCATAACATATAATTAATTAGAATTTTAAACCTATGTTAATTCTGTATTGGAATCATACAAGCAACCGTCTTGTATTTTAAAGTTATAACTACCGGTGTTCGGTTCGTCACGCAATATACATTTCTTAGTCATTAAGTAAGAAATAAGAAATCAATTAGTGAAGATGTGTTGTTAATACAAACCGCCGAGTATCTACAAGCAAAAGTAAATCTTAATTACAAGAACAACCAACTTCAGTCATTAATAAAGTTAAGTTTTTGCCGGGCAAAAATATCATCAAGATCCTAAAACTTGTCATTATATATTTATATTTAATATAACGTGTTAATAATTAATTCCAGTCGATCATACGACTCGAGGGAAGGTCGTTCGTACCGTCCCTCTCCGCCGGGGAAACCTGAACCGCGCAGTTGGAACGCCTCCAGTCGATACCCGGAGGCCGCGGCGCCCACTAAAGGTTGGATTACAATTATAATAACATGTTATAGTCCGTTAGACTTAAGCTGAGCTTTGCATTTGTGTGAGTGTAAAAGTAGAGTTAGACAAAATACTTTTAGAATTCAATTCTATTATATATTAAATAGATACATAACATCATTGCTAGAGCTTTTCTAGATTAAAAATAAAATAAGCAACATTTCTAAAAGGCCAAATGGAAATATTATGAAAAAAAAATTAATTAATATATGTAAGATTTGAAAAAATTATACAAATTCGTCTTCATTTGATATTGCGTTTTTGCACACCTACACTATCCGTGTGCACTCACAAAATGCAAAGCTTAGCTTAAATCAAACGCATTATACTATGTAGCTTTTCACTAAGATATTACTACATACAAACCTTAGAAAATATATATTGATATAATCAAAATTCACTGACATTCAATCTTAATGATGGCCCTAACAAGTAATCCGACCGTCACAACTTGGAAGCATCTTCGTGACTTTAATTTAAGCAGATAATGAAAATTGTATTCATTAAAGTGCACCAATGTTAGATAATAATTCATTTATAATGTTGAATAAACTGCCTTTCAACACAGGTTATATTTTCTAAATTCTAATTGGTTATATCTAATCTATCAATGTGTACAGCTATGGCGGGTAGCGGTAGCGGCAGTAGTAGCGAGCCGTGGTCGGGCGAGGCTCGGTACGGCGGGTCGTACGAGGCGCGCTACCCACCCGCTTATCAACCTCAGCCGCCCGGCGCCGCTTACCCCGACCGATACGTGCCCGCGGCGAGGGACTACGCTAGGAAATACTGACACGGTGACCATTACAATATATTCTATATTAAATACAAGCTGCGTCCCGTGGTGTTACCAGGGGATTTCCGGGATGTAAAGTAGTCTCTGTGTTATTCATATACGTCAGCTTCCTGTATACAGAATTTTATCGAAATCTGTCCAGCCGTTTGAGTGTGAAGAAGTAACAAACATACACACACACTCACAAACTTTCGTAATTATAATATTAGTAGGATATTGTATATTCAATTAATATAAATATCCAGCAAGCAAGTTAGAAATTTCTCAGTTTATAAATGTCTTAACCATCATTAGAAAACTTTTTTTACTAAACATTTTTTGGCACTGGATGGGAGTCCTTTTGAACCTTTACTTATTTAAACGGTTTAGTGTTGCAGTACATAAAATTTGTATTGAATATGTAAATGTTTAAGATGTTAATATTAAATATAATAATCACAGGAATTAGTAATTGATATACCTATTTATTATTTATATTAAATACAGGAAGTAAAAAAGGTTAAGTTGTAAAAAAGCAGTATAACAATCAATATAATCGTATATTTCCTTTACAGGGTCGTTGCCATAGATGACGTCGTCGTTCTTGTGTAAATTATAAGCCATTTAAGTTTTTTCAAGTGTTAGTATTAATATGATTTATTATATATTGACTTAGTTTATAAATAATGTTTCATTCCTGCATGTGGTTACTTACAATGGCTATTGTAATTTTAAAATATTTTCCGATATAGAGAAATGTATGTTTGCATATATAAGAGTTACATATTATATTTTGTAAGTTAAGGTCAACATATATTTATGGGATGCAACTTTTATAGACAATAGTTCACTACAAAGAGATATTATGCTGACTTTGTAATTATATGTTAATATAAAAATCATAACAAATGTCTTTTATTTGAAAGCCAATTTTATACAGATTTAAAACAACAATAAGTTAAGATATATTCATTATTACATTAACACTAAAGTAAGTGCTTGGATTTAATAGAAAACTATTTTATTAAAAAAAACTTAATTGCAATTACTCCAACAAATCTTTACTTTTTTTAATCTAAAACAATCCATAAAGATTAACCTCAAATTATTTTGCTGTCACAAAAAACCTATGGATCACATATATTGCTTAAAATTTACATTAATAAATTTTGGATGTAACAAAATTTCTGACTGAAATGATCCAAATAATTCGAGTAATTAGTAGATAGAGAACCACAACCACATTCTTATAATAAAGAAAACTCGAATACATATTTTTTATGAAGTAATCAAGAAAAAGTATAATTTATGTATGAGATTTAGTTTTTCAACCACTACTTGTTTTTTATCATAGTCGGCACGAAACTGCAAGGGACGACAGATAAGCAGAATGCGGTTTTTAGGTATGTTGCAGGACGAGGGAGTACCAGTGATAATCCTGTCTGTACACTTGCGAGCACTTAAATTGAACATATTATGTTATTGTTATGACTTATGAGAGAATATAGAGATAAGCATCAAAAGGGACCGCTTTTTGTTGCACTCATTTTACGTGCGCAAACTTGTCCCCACCAGGCTCAAACTCACAAAGTTACGTGCCGGCAAGTATAATTAAGGAAATGTATTATCATCTAAATAATTATTGTTAGTAAAATAAGTAAGAAATGTTTAATTACTAAAGTATTCAATTATTTGATATTTCTTTATATAAGACTCACAATGATAATAAGTAAAACATATTTTGTCGTAATATTGCCGTATCCACTGTGTGTAAACCAAGTAACAATTAATGATACATGATACAATACAAGATAGGTTTGTTAAAAAGCTTAATAAGAATTAAAATATTATGAGATTTAAGATATACTACAAACACATCTTAAATAGGTCCAGTTTGTCACTTGCAATAGATATACGGTATATAATTGTTTACTTTGTTCATTTATTAAGCAAATTACTTAAACATATTAAAAATTACAAACGATTATTAGCACCTCAACATTAATATTTGAAAAACAACTTCCACCTTTAATGACAAAAATTAAAAAACGATCGGCTCGTAATTGTAGTGAGAAATGCTATTATCAACAAATAAATTAGAATGACTCGGTAATATATTAGATTCTTTTACAAAAGGTGAAAACTGTTTTGTCCAGCCATCTTTTTCTGGTGATTTTTCTGATATATCAATGTTGAGGGTTTTGAGGGCTTCTATGGCGTTTTTATGTCCTTGAATAGCAGCAAGACGGAGTAGTCGAGTGGCTGTCACTTGGTCACATACCAATCCACCTCTGCCTTGTCCATAGTAAATACCAAGGTTATAAAGAGCATCTGGATGATGTAATGTTGCGGCTAATCTATACATCTCCATGGCCTAATAAAAATAAACATGTATATTAAAAAAAGAATTTTTAAATCATATAACAACTCTTATACAGGGTGACTGGTGAATTACTATCAATATTTAAGGAGAATACTCGGTACATGATTCTCATTCGAATTATGTAAAAAAAATAGGTACTTAATTTTTGACAAAATTTCCGTATAAATAAATAAAGTGTGGATACGTTCCAAGTGTTCCAAGTGTGGACGCGTGCGGCGGCGTGCTGATACAACAACATGCCGCCCCGCTCGCGTATGTGTGAGTGTATACCTAATCTGTAGGGTGTTCACACGATGCGTAATTAATTACATAACTTTTGGTTAACTTTACTTAGCAGTTTATTAATATTTATGTTATATTAATTTTTATTTTGTCATATATGATCGTCAAATATCACGTCCTCAAGTATTGATAGTAATTCACCAGTCAGTTTATAATATATACAGGTATATATTATAAACTTATTATATTCTTAGCACTCACTGTTCTCTCATCAATATCAACTCCAACACCAGTTTCGTAACAGAGACCTAAATTGTATAAAGCCGGGGCGTGGTTGCGATTTGCTGCAGACCTGACAAAAAAATGGTAAAAAAAATTAAAGTGCTTAAAAATAATAATATTAAATAAAAAATATATATGATATTGAACTCTATTTTAAATCATCATAAGTCAGTTCACGACATATTTTTCCATTATATCATCAAAAACTATTTCTAAAAAAAAAGATATATGCAATTTTATGCACATATTCTTGCTGTAATATGTGTGACGCAATATTAACAAAATTTCTAAAATCTATCTATATCTATAAAACAAAAATACGCAAATTTATTCAGTTTTTCATCAAAATATTTTAAGTACAAAGAATATTTCAAAGAAATAATTAGGATTTATGTCTAAAAAGTGAGGAAAATTACCTCAGCAAGTTAAGACCATCTTGATGTTGTCCATTTTCAATGGCTGCTAGACCAAGTCTGTTCTCTATTGAATTGAGAACTTCACCCAAATCATCGTCAGCAGTTCCACTATCAGTACTACAACTATTCAACCTTTGTTTATTTCCCCCGGCATGATCATTTGTTATCAAATGGACAATTGGTGATTTTTCAACAGAATTATCAAGCGAACTATTTATTTCTATGGGCTTTATATATTTTTTGTTGCTGTTTATCAAACATCCAAAGTGATCCAAAAACCAGCTCTTGCTTTGAACTGGTTGTGGCTGAACTCTGTCGTCATTTTTGTTTTTAAACTTCAAGTGGAGCAATTGACTAGTGTACCATCCAAATACTAGTGCACTACTCTAAAAGAAATCAGTGGAACATAAAATTAGTAATATTCAATGATTACTGGTAATTTATATTACATCCTTAAAAGGTTTAAAAGCATTAAAAAGCCTTTGCTTTCTCAATATATCACTCTTTAGTGTGAAACATAAATGTTTATATGTATAAAAAATCGTAAAAAATTATGCAGCCATACAAAATGTACCAAATAATATAAGTATTGATTTGTATCAAGGAAACTGGTACTAATAAAATTGATAATTGATATAAAAATGTATAAAAGAATATTTAGAAAAATGTATATATATTTCAAATTGAAGTGAGTGTATTAAGAATAATGTGATAGTAAAGATTACTACACAAATATTTTGAAACTAAATTATACATAGAGAATCGATCTCATAGATATTTTTAGTTACATAGATTAAATAAAGTATATAAATAAACCTTTCCTAATAGTGTAAATAATAAATATCACACCTAGAATACTAAAAACATAAGAACTATATTAATATAGGAACATAATATATTAGAAATGAAGAGAAGGCTTCTTTAAAAACATAATTTTGGAGGTCATAATACATATGTGAAAGGTATTTTGCAACCTGTTTATACAAGGTACACATGTAGGTACAAGGTACATACAAATGTTATATGTATGAACTTAAATTATAATAACGTATTAATAACATAGAACTTAAGTGTGCTAAGATTTAATTAAAGATAATTATTCTGTCTAATAAGTTACAAAGAAAAAATAAGAAAACATTTTAGCAACATACATAAACACACAAAAAACATGTCTATTTTGCCAAACATGAAAGTCGGTTAAATTTTTTAAATAAACATTTTAACATTATTTACAAGTAAAAATAGATCTTACCCATGTAATGGCACCTATCCAAGTGCGATTTAATTCATCGAAGTTCCACCTCTTGCTCTTGGTATCATAATCGGACTGGTAATTACAACATTTTCTTAAGATAAACCAACGGCAAGGAGTGTTGCTAGAAGTATTCTTTCTATCGACTGTCACATTATTAGTAGAAGAAATAACAGCTGAACTTCTTATATTAGCACGCTCACAAGTGTCTCTGATACAACGAGATACATATTTCCACATGTTTATATCCCTTGATTAGTTAAACTGTAAAATTTTGAATAATGCCCATTTTGAATAGCAATACATATATTCTTAACGCATAATACTTTTTTTAAAAAGCAAACTTAAGAACTAAAGGAAAAAGCTATAGGAAAGTAGCCAACACCATAAACCACCGTCAAAATGTCAATATGCAAAATACAAATAGACATAATATTGCAGTGATTGACAGTGAGAATACAGACAATGAACTTCACAGATTAAATATTCATATTTTTTTTACAAGAATCTCTAATAAAGTAAACTTAAATTATTGAAATCTGTAATAAGTCCATAATAAATTAGTGAAAGGTTATTATTGATATTATATATGACTGTTAAAGGTTATTATTGATATTAAATTAAAAAACATCTTATTTTATTAGTAATTACTATTTGGTGATAAACAGACATAAAACAAGACATTCTACCATAAACTTTAATAAATTATAGATTATATGAAATTCATCATTTTCAGTAATCTTTAATATGAAAAATTTATTTCTCACTTAAGAAAAATTACAGGCTACAGGCAGACAACAATAATAGAGTATAGCAGCTTTAAAACACACAGTTTTCTTTATAAATCGTTAGATTATTAGCTCCTAAACTTAGTTTGTCTATTACCCATAAACTTGGATAATAAATTGTTTTTTTACGCCCCCATATTATCTCTCACTAAAAAACCATTACAACTTCAATTTAATTTATTTAATTATTGTAAGTTACATTAATGCTCCCATATTTTTTATGGTGTCCTCTTTTGTGTCAAATGTCATTGGTTTGACATTTTAATTAAAAAACGTTAGCGGGAAAGTTTTAACTTTGAGAAATTGAAAAAATAAAAAGTATGTAAAAAAAAAAATTAGCAACTTAGAGGCCAAAAGATCAAAAACCTGGATAGTAAATACTTACAGGGAATTTATATCTCAACTTCTAGAGCATTTAAAAAATTATTATGTGCGGTCGAACTAGTTTGTACGTATCATGTTTAAAAATTAAACAATGGTGTTATTTTGATGTTATTATAAAATAATTGCACAATTCTAGATCACTCAATAAGGAACAAGTGCGATGTGCTTGTGCCTACAAATCAAGAAAGGAAAATGTATACGTGAAACCAGAATGGAAGCCAGAACATAATAATGGAAAAGATTTTATTCCCTCATATAATATTGCTCCTACAGACATAACTCCTGTGCTAATTGCTGATAATGGCTCAAACACATCTAACTCTCTTGTAAGGGTACTGAAACCAATGATGTGGGGTATAATACCACCATGGCACAAGGTTAAAACTGTTTAAATTTAAAAATAAAAAGAATTGTCTTTTTAATATATAAAATAGTTATTAATCGTGCTGCAATTACAATTAGGGTGATTACAAAGGCCACAATGTTAGCACAAACAATTGCCGGATAGAAAATATCAAAACTTCAAATCTGTACAGTCCAATACTGCACAATGGTGGCCGCTGCATAATCATCGCTGAGGGATTCTATGAATGGCAGACAACTGTGAAAAGTAAAACTAAGCAACCATATTACATATATATGCCACAAGGTGATAAAAATGAGGTAGGAGAAAAATAATATCCACTAGTAATATGAAGTAAATAGAAAAAAAGTCATAAATTTCTTTGCTTTGACTGGGCTTGATGCATATACCATTTTTATATTATACATTATATAATTTAAAACTATTCTAAGTGCATTTGTTAATTTCTAGACTTCTACTTAATTATTTTTAATGTTCATAATTTCAATCAAATAAATTGGTAGGTATATATAAACATTTAAAATGACTTTCTTATAAATTGAGGATTTTTGTTGCAGACACAAGACACAGAAGATAAATTTAGTGAAATAAATGGTTGGAATGGAGTTAAGCTTATACACATGGCTGGTATTTATAATATATGGAAATGTGAAGACAAAGTTATATATTCATATTCTATAATCACTATGGAATCAAATGATACTATGAACTGGCTACACCATAGAATGCCTGCTGTACTGGATAATGATGAACAAATTAATGTACAAAAGAGGTTCCTTTAATTTAATACTTAGTAATATTATAATATGAATTATACTAAAATATAAAATCTTCTTTCAGGCTTGGCTTGATGTTGAACACGTAGGTGCAGACATGGCACTCGCATATTTGAAACCAGTAAAAATATTGACATATCATCTAGTTTCAACACTTGTTAATAATTCAAGAAATAAATCAGCGGATTGCAATAAAAAAATATCAGCCAGTAAAGGAACACAGAAAACCTTAACCTCTTTTTTCAGCAAGTCAGAAAAACGAAAGTCTGATCAAGATGGGGAAGAAAATAGCAATAAAAAAATTAAACATGACAAAGATTGATAGCCATAAATTTTAATGTAATAGGAACTTAGAAGTAAGATTTACATTTGTACCGTGTTATGCAATGCAATATATGTCAAATTTAATGATTCAGAATAATCTGATTTATTTCCGACTATTTTACATCTTACAATTTATTAATGTGCACTAAGTTTCTAACATTGAATATATAATGACTATTTAATATTACCAATCTCAACTCATTGAAAATACTGTTTTTCAACCACAAGACATACCAAATATTCTCAATCCACATAAAAATAACACTATTTATTTATCTATTGTCTATTTAAAGCAATTATGCCACACTATAATTCTAACTTACAAAGAGAATCATAATATCCTTTCAACAATATAACATCTATCATTCAAGCTTAATGCTTTGTCTATCTTTGTACCAACATTATTAAAGCTTTTAAGTGCTATTTCAATATTTCTACAAAAACCAAATGATTTTTTTTCACACATATTTGATGAAAAGTTATAAATGTTATTTGTGTTATAGATAAGCTGATCAAACTGGCTTGTTAATGGTGTAGCAAATAAAGATTTTTCTTAATCTTCCTAGAAGATCATTGATTGCAAATCCTCATACATTTTCTATTTTGAATTGTTTGAAGTCTGCCTCACATCTGATCATTCTATGGTTGTTTAGGAAGTCTTTAATGAAACTTTCAACTTCATATTCATCTAAAACAAAAAAAATGTATAAAAATGGAATAATGGCCACAATTAATATTCTGAGTCATAATTAATATTCTTACATGGAAATTTACTGCATTGGTAGATTAGCTTAATTAAATGTTTTGCTAAAGCCTTGAACAGAGCTTTGCCTCTAATTCGTCCGTTCACATAATATGGCGTCAGTATTTTAACAACCCATGGTGTGATTCTTTCTTTGCAGCTCATAATTAATTCAGGTGATTCATCTAATGGAGACACCATATCTTCATCGTCACTAACATCACCGAATAGTTCTTCTAGTCTTTGTTTAATCTGAAATCATATATAACAAAATATATGGATTAAATAACCCATTGTTGGTTTAGAATATACATCTCTAAGCAGCATGCAAGTGGTCCTTAAAGGCTGGTTCATATCTAAACTTGTGAATAGAGGCATTCTATATTAATATATTAATAATTTACCCTAGCTAGTTTCTTTCTATCGCTATCTCTGATCTGATCCAGCAATTCATATAATTTAATTTTCATAAAATATTCTTCACAAAGCCATTTGCTGACTCTATTATTTTTGGTTTTGGTACATTGTGAGTTAGTCTCGTTGCTTACTGGTACTCCACTAAGCAAGGATAATCTTTCATTTGGGCAACTTGCTTGCTCTTGTAAGGCATCAATTGGTATGGAGGTATTTACTTGCATTTCATTTAAAGCTTTAATTTCTTCAGTGTTATTTGTATTATTGCTATCACAAAGGGCGCTATCAAATATATCATCATCATTTGGATCACCCTTAAATAATTCTTCCATTTGTAACATCAAATCATCAGATTCTTTAGGCTCAGTTTTTAGATTTTCATTGACGATTGATGTATTGCAGTTTTGGTTTGAGAGTTGTGCTTCTTTAAGTGAATCAGTTTTCAATGCTATTTGTGGATTTTCACTACCAATACTTTCTGGATAATATGAGTTTTTGGGAGATTGTGATGATTTTTTTATCTTCTTTTTAAGGCTACAGACACATTTACAATTGCAAGTATCATCAAGCTTAGGATATGTTTGTGTTTTTTTCTCATTTTGTGGTTGATAATGAAGGCACTCGTATAGCTTCTTATAAAGTAAGCCGTGTTTCGTTGTCTTTTTCAATTCCTGAACCTAAAACATATCTTGGTGTAATAGGTTTTAAAATAAGTTAAATAATAAATAACTGAGCTATATTTTACCACATTCATGATGTTTTTCCTATATAAATTTACAACCATTGCAGTTTGGGCGGCAGACATTTCTATTATTTTGGCGCATCGCCATATAGCACTAGGAAGATAAATATTCTTATTGAGTAGCTTTTGATTTGTTTCATAATTAACAGAAAGTAATTTTATGAGATATTCCATATAATGTTTCCGAACCTATTTAAGAAAAGTATAATTAGTAATTATATATAAGTATATATATATTAAGAGCGTTATCAACTTTAAGAACATTTTATACTTTAGATATAAGAAGGTGAGGATTTAATTCAATGGAAGGCAATGGCATAAATGTATGATCGTGTTCAAGTATCCATTGTTCCACAATGCTATCCGATTCCCATTCTTCCATAGTTTTAGTTTTTGCGAGTTGTTCCCGCTCACAAAATATCAAGAGTAACTGAAGAAGTAGGTAAGACAAATAAACAAAACATCAAACAAATTGACCGCTAACACCGGCCGCACTTGAATTGTCAATTTCATTATTGAATAAAGCTTAGGTTTTCTCTCTTCTGCCAAATATATTTGTTGCTTTAAGAACAATTACTAAAATTGTATAAGGGGGAAATTTTATTATTGTAATTTGTACGTTTGTTTTCTACTATTTTTATTTTTTCATAAGATGAGAGAAACTTATTTAAACTTCATTATAATATATTTATAAAACTGAAATGGTAGCTTTTTAAAATATGTTTATTACAATCTTAGTTCTATTCATACTGAAAAAGAGAAATTACATTAATTATGAAATCGTCATCTTTTCATATTGTAGGTACTACAGGTATCCGAATGTGCGTCAAAAGTTTAAACAAAACATGATTTTATGTATCTGTCTCATGTCTGAAATATTTGTATTTTTGTATTGATATTAGGTGCCTACCTAACTTAGATCTTTTATTTTATTAAGTATTTAATGCACTACAATGTAATGCACTAACTAGCAACAACATTTTGAAGTTGCAACTATAAAATAAATATTATATTTAAGGTATAATTTTGTAAATAATTCCAATTAAAAGTTATTTAAAAAAATGGCAAGTGACGAACATATAGAATTAGCTCAATACCTTAAAAATGTTCACACGTCGCTAAGAAATTTATCTTCAAACATTGGCGCCGAAAAGGCATGGATTGAACATTGTAATAACAAGGAAGTTCTAAATAAATATGCCCAATGTATGCAAAAATTGGCAACAGTACATTGGGATTCAAACTCTAAAAGCGAAAACAGTGGGGCTTTTTCTCGTATTAAGTGGGCAACTGAATTTTGTGAGGAGTATTTTACTAATAGCTGTTCTGTTTACACCAGAAGGGATATGGAAATAGCAATGAAGATTAATGTAACTTTAAATAAAGAACAACTCTTTCATAAACCATACAAACTCCTTGATGTAGGAAGTTGTTACAATCCATTTCAGATATACGATTTTCTAGATGTGTTAGCCATAGATCTATGTCCCGCTAATGAGTCAGTTAAACAGTGTGATTTTCTAAATGTATGTCTTGGAAATGAAACAATAATAATAAATAATGAAGTGACACTTCTAAAAGAGAATAGTTTTGATGTTGTGACTTTCTGTTTCCTCCTGGAATATATGCCAACTTCAGAACAAAGAATTAAAGCTTGTTTAAATGCTTATAAATTATTGAAGTTCGGAGGATTATTAATTATAAATACTCCAGATTCAAAACATGTTGGTGCAAATAGCAAGATTATGAAGTGTTGGCGATATACTCTTGCTTGTTTAGGTTTTTCCAGAGTAAAATATGAGAAATTTAAACATATACATTGTATGGCATTCCGGAAATCATTAAATAAAGAGATTGCTGTCAGATGGGCTACAATTCATAAACAACCTTACATGGAGTTTAAAATCCAAATACCACAAGACTTTTTAAAAACTCAGAATGACAATAATAGTGAAAAAATTACAGTTGATGTTGAAGATTTTGGAGAGCTGCCTTTTAATGACTTTGAATTTTAATATTGTTTATGTTTAATTGATAATGAAGAAAAATTTTATAGAGAATTATCAAAATAAATGTATTAAATAAACATTCTGACTTACAATTTATTCTTTTAATACCTATTACCTAAAGTAGGGGTTACAAATAATTTTTTATTGGCTGTATTAATTTAAATATAAAAAGTATGTGATGTATGAAGCTTGAGATATCATTTCATAGAAACTACTGGGAAAGGGATAAATATTTTTTATATTAACTTTTTATTCAAGTTGAAGTTCCCTTAAGTCTTAACTCCCTGACAAAAATGGATTGATTGTACACAGATAGTTTCTTTTCATCAATAGAAAATACAGATTTATATTTTACTTTATAATATTTTTGTTTATTTTAAATCAAATACTAATTAATAAAATGAATTTACACAATGTAAGTCACAATATGAAGTATCTTTAAACTTTATTAATCCCTATAAAATATGTTTCAGTACAAGACATCAAAGTATTAGAAGAATCACATTAATTACAAAAAATAATTGCAAAATGCAGCATATTAATATTATCTTATACTAATTTAAACTACTGTGCTAAACTTGGCTTTGCGTTTCTCTAATTTTTCTTTATTTTCAATGTCGGTCATGATGGCGGAGACAGACTGTCCAAACCTTTCTGCTCTTTGTTTCAATTTATTAAGATTGTCGGAGAGTGATGGGTTATTTGCCGTAGTTATAACTTTGCTTTCAGTGTTTGCACTGTTTGAGTTTTGATTAAATCTCTGTTTTCTTGCCTCCTTCCTCTGTTCGTCTGTCATTTTGACTGGTAAACCAAAACGTTTGGCACGCATTTCCATTCTCGTCTTTGGGTCTATATCAGCGGTTATCCTTATCTTGTTGGTTTCAGTTTTATTTGCATTTACTGCGTCTGTTACAGGTTCACTGGCTTTTTCTGTCAGTTTCTTTTCTTCGTCGATAGATTTCCTTGCATTCAAAATGGATGCGTTCCTATTGAGTATGATTTTCTTAGAACCTGCGTCTTTATTTTCGACTGTCTTTGTTGTGTCGGATGTTATTCTCCGTTTGAGAGTTCTAGGTGGTTTCGTTTCTATAGCTTCCTTGGTGGGAGACTTCTCTTCCAAGGCTAGTTCCTCAGTCAATGTGTCGACCGCTGCATCATCCAAGATATCATTTTGACTTTTATCATCCTCATCATCTAGAACTCCGTCCGAATCTATTTCATCTGAATCCAAGTTAATATCTCCGTGATCGTCTTGAGCCATGGCACCTTGCAATCTTGCCACAAGTTCTGCTTTATCGCCGGCATACGAAAGTCCACGTGATTTCAGCTCTTTTCGTAAATCAACTACCTTCATTTTGCTTACATCGTTTAATGTGGAGTCGGCCATAGTATATACTTATGAAATCTACACTAAATATATCTAATGAAACGTTTTAATGATTTAGTAAATAACTGCTTGATGTTTCTGTGTAATGTACACTTATTATGCTTGACAATTGACAGCTATTCAGTTTTGACATTCAAATTTATATTTACACTAGGGTGTGTATTATTCAGCCAAATTTTATTTCAATTACTTTATTCATATTTATAAAACAATGATATTTTTTAAATTAACTGTTATTAATAAGAGCTAATCTTTTAAGTAGGAAAGACTCAATGACCTGTTTAACTTAAAATCTTGACTTAATTACTTTGTACAGAAGAAAGATACTACTACTTTTTGTTCAATATCCACTTATGTATACATATTATACTATCAATACCTATGCCTGTTTCATAATTGTTGAACCATAAAATAAAAAGTTTCTAGTATTGTGAAATATTAAGTCTGACATTATACATATTAGGAAATTGTCTTAGAGGTAAACATAGTATTTTAGAGCTAATACTAAAGGAGACAGATTTTCTCGACCTACTATTAATTAGTATTTAATGATGTTGATCATTAGTTGCAGGCAAGGTTACTTAGGTATATTTTTAGTAAAAAAAAATTCATCCTTTTTACGTTAGGTGATATACAATATTAATTAATTTAAAAATAACCTGCTCAGGATTTCATAGACAAGTGATTTTAAACGTATTTGTTTATATATTATTTAAACTTTATGAAAAATATGTTTGATTTGGTGAAGATCAGTGATGATCCGCTGGTTTCTTCTACTATTACAAGGTTGGTAGGTCTTTTCAATTAAGTAATTGTATATCGTCTGGACCTCTTCATTGGGTGTTGTATCTTGTCAAGTAACACATGACTATCACCCCAGATAGCTAATTGGTATTTTCTGTAGGTACTTAACCCTCACCAGCCACATCAGGACAATTTTACTCTGCTCATAATAAAGCATCAATAATTATTAATGTTTGTTTTTTTTTATGATTGATTGATTTTTATTTTTATCTGGAACAATATTTAAAGAAATGGAAGGATCTTTCAATTACTTCATATTTGCTGAAGACCATAGATACGCGCGATTTGAAATAGAAGGGCTCTGATTCAAAGACAGGCGTGGGAGTCCTTGCAAAAGAAAACTACTCCCACGATTCGAGCTACATCAATGTGAGCTATATTCACTTCTTATTTACGAACTGGCCAAGGGTCAATATCTGTCTCTCAAGCGATGACTTTTGTGATGAGGCATGACAAGATTATACAGTCAAAATGCCGTAACAAATAAGCTTCCCAATGGGTAAAAGAGCCCAATGGCAGTCCATTGAAGCGATTAGCTACTTCGATAAAGGTGTTCCGTGAAGTAGATATCTCGAACTCAGAAAACGAATGAAGTAAATTTTTCATCTATTTAGCCGAAACTCGAAGACGAAATTTTTCCACCAAGCAATATAATATTGTTTTTGTTATTTAGTACTTCGTTTCTTTTTAATGCGTTCTACGGAAGAAGAATAATTGTTGCCCTCTATCTTTTAATCAATGTCTAATAGTTTAATATTATGTATGTATGTTCGCAGTAAGTAGCTTTTATTTAGTTATAATTAACATCTCATCATAGGTAAATTAAAAACTTTTCATCTATAAATAGGAATATAAATGTGTGTTGTGAAATGAACATGTAAAACTTTTGTTATCTGTGTAATAAAAAAAAGCATTTAATATGCAGCGTGTTCATAGTCATCTCTTTTAGTAATATTATCCTATATAGCATATATTATTTAAATCAAATCTTTTTTAAACCGTTTTGACTCAATTTAAATCTCTTTTTCTAATCAGAAATTGATACTTTAATTATTATCCATAAGAGAAGAAATTGAAAAAAAGTCAAATTATGTTATTTTCTAGGCTTTTTGATTCAGTTTTTAAATAAAGTAAATGTTATTAATCAAAAATATATTATTATTAAAAATAGTTATTCATTTCATGACATCAATGTAACCTTATACATACATTAATCTACCAATTAATTGGAGCAAATAAATGGAAACTGTTGCCATTGTTATTAACTAATTTCACTGTACCGACATTTCCAGCACAACAGGAAAAGCACAGAAAACCAGTCAAGATACTGGAGGTTTGGAATCAGTTCTGGGTATTAGTGAAAGAACACCAATATTATATGTATAAATAGCCAAAGACGTAGGAAGAGGAAAATGTATTATCAATAAATCAGATTGATAGAACATTGCTCATTTTCCTTGTTTGACGGATATCAGCTATCGTATCACGTATGCAAGACGATTATAATTTAATTCTTCGAGTTTTGTAACGATAGTAGCATCTTTAGTACGTTTAATTTTTGATTCAAACGTCACCTTTCGAAATCCTGTAACGCTTTTATGTGTTAAGTTGTACGTTTCTGTACTCATTTTGCCTAAACTGTATTCGGTTTTGATCTTACATGATTGAAGGCTCCACTTTCATAATTTGATAGAACGTTAGGGTACCAATCATGCTTTAAGCTCGGGGAATATCCGAAAGTATGACGTCAAACGGATGTCCTTTACATTTGTTATCAAACACCAGCATACTAGTTGTAGCGTATTGATGGACTCAAATCAAATACGCAATAATCAACTTAATAAATAATAAATTTTGCTATGATTATTAATACAGGTTAATTTTCACTTTAACTAAAATTAATAGTTCACTATGACATTTGTACTTAACGTTTCTCTAAAGATCTAAAAACTATAACATAAAATTGTTCAGTGCATGGAAGGTGGAATGCAATAAGTTACAATGATGGAAAATCTATGGAAGTGATTGATCAAACGAATGCATGATTTAATAAATAAATGACAAGGTTATTGGTAATCATAGTTATATATTATAATATAAAATAATAATGGCTAACATTCAACCATCACACCATATTTGAACCGAATCTCTTTAATTTTACTGTGTAAAGTATTGAGGATAGGTTGTAGGTCAGTGTTCCAACCGTGTTGCAATCCATGCTCTATAACGAAAATCAACAGTACCGTAACCGCATGGTCATCTAATTGAGGCCTTGTATTAGACCGAACATTATCAGAAGCCTGCGCTAATTCAGACATTGATAAACAAACACTCAACGCGTTCCTGTTGAATATGACTTGTAATAATCGTCGTGCTAATGATTTGCAATCTTTTGATACGTGCTGACAGTATTTGAGGTCTCCGTAGCTGACGTAAACACCACTTTGAGGCGTGATTTCTATGAGTCCTGGCAGATTGTTTTGATACTTTAATGTCCATCTGGTATCATATCAAGAAGATGAATTTGTATCTGAATTTTGCATAGAGTTGAATTCTTCGACTGCAACCAATAATTTTTTGTATGTTCTAGAAGTAACGTGGATTGATTCCCGTAGGGAGTTGTACATATCAGTAGTGTAACGGAAAGTAGACATCATTTGAGTGAAGAGGGTTGCGAAATTGTCCAACACTTGCTGCTCGCATACAAGTTTAGAATGCCTCTGGTTGTTCGGAGAGTTTCGTGAAGCTATCGATCTGACTGCAGAGCTACTTCCAGAAGGGATTCCAGGGCCGTAAAAGTTATTCGTTCTTTCAATACGTGCTTCATCTGAAGGCATCTCATGATGTGAGTTAACTTCATCATCGGTAGCAGCATCGGAATCTGAATTTGCACCCGGGTTACCTGATGAAGTTTTTTCTTCCATCACCTCATCTGTCCGCGACGTATTGTCAATTTGGCGTAGATGATTTTTATTAACAAGTTCACGATCACCATGATTTTCCTGAAATTGCTGTTCGTTCTGAAGATATTGGTTACGAGTACTTGATAAAGTTCGTCGTACCGAATTCAGAACTAAGAATAGGTGACAGTGTTTTTTTTGTCACTTGAGGATAAGGTGTTTGACGGTTGCTTTTTGGCTTTATCGAGATGTTAATGCGTCTTTTCAGTCGCTGTGGTTGCCTTTGAGAGTCTTGCTGAGATGGCAACTGTCTCTCTGTCTGTCTCTGTTGTGGTATCTCGGAGGTCTGATACAACGAAGTGGAAGAAATAATAGAATTCTGTCCGATAGATGAAGTACTCATTCTGATTGTTCGCGAATTAGCTCGTTGTTCGTAATTGTTGGTCTCGGAAGATTTTATAAGTGAGTCTCTTCCATTAGTCGGTAGGTATTCATTATGATAAGACATGTGATGTTGTTGTTCAGTTGGCACTGAGCGCGTCGATAAAGATCCATTTTGATTAAACGAATTCGATGAGTTCATTGGGCTCATTATTCTCTCAACCATTCTTTGAGTCGGTATTAAACGCCGTGCCTTGTTCATTTGACTATATAGTTGAGCAGAAATGTTTAGTGAATTCAGTAAGTCGTAATCCATGTGGGATTCTAGTCTACTGCCAGTCATCTGTGTCGATGCATCCGCGGAAATTTGTGGTTCCTGGATGGGTTCTGGCTGTTCAGTAAATTGTGAGATGGCTTGATTAGATAGTACTTGATGTTCCACATTACTGATAGGCTGGACTTCTTCATCGTTGTCCATAACAAGGGCTGGTTTATCTGCTGTAACTTCATGTATGCACGGCATACTCAATTCTTTTTCCTCTTGTGTTGGTAAAGAATCTTTTTTATCTTTCTGCTGAGAGGAACTCATTGTAGCGTCACAATTACTAACAGTTGTTCCTGTATGAGCAGATTCCATTGGTTCGTTCTCCTGGATTATAATTGATTGTTCCTGCCTTGAAGACCCAGGTTCTTCACTAGCGTCGGTAACAACGGCGCTAGATGTCTGAGCGTCATCCATTTTCTTGGGTTTCTTATAAAGTTGTTTATTCGGTTCTGGTAGTGCTGGTCGCTTGATTGAAATCCTCGGCAGTGGTTATCGAGAACTATCATATAATTTTCGCAGGTTCGCAAGAAGCAATTTTTTCTTTAACAGGAAGTCTGTATCTGGAAATAAAAAAGTTTGGTGATTATTAAATTGGCTCAAAATTTGAAATAAATGGTATCTAAATTTAAATTTACAATGGAAATTAAACTGTCAAGAATTATACGAGTATAGTGATTAGATTATCACCGGTTGTTTTTAATTTTATTTCTCGTCGCAATCCAATATTCTGCATCTCCATAAAAGTCTCAAAAAAATAAAAACAAAATTTACTTTCCCTTAATTTCTGAGATGGTTTAGATCTGAATTTACTTCGACAATACTATGAACAACAGAATTAACTAATACATTGATTCAAACTCACCAGTATCATATTTAACGATAGCTATATGAAATCTCCAGTCCTCATTGCATCTTTCCTTTCTCTTAACGCGATTTCTGGTGTCGAAGGGATCTTCGTCTTGAGGGTATACAATGATAGCCTTCTGATCTGTCACTAAACGTGTTAACTAAGTATTCATCAATAATCAACAACACCTTCAAATGACAATTCAATGAATTGAACGATATAAAACGTTCGTTTTAGTTATTATGACGTTTTATCTGAAACAAACAAAAATATTTTCGTACATACAAAGTACATCGATATTGTCAAAACAACACCAGTAACGTCAGTCTATAAATATGTAGTTATGACCTGGGCGGGGCCCTTTCCGTCACAGGCCTACCGCTTAGACATTTTCATTCATTATTCTATGGTATAATTATTAGCAATTACATAAAAAAAAATTATCGTTTATACTCACCTCGATGCTTGTATCGATTTTATGTATGAATTCCAAATAATTAAATCAGTATCTCGTTTTTTTCGTAAATAAATATCCAATTTCTGCTACTTTTTTCCACTTAATCGTTGAAGAGATATGTTGTTTCACGTTTACAGGCAAAACTTGATAACCGCTCACGCCGATGCGTATGCCGAATTTGACAGAGTATAGTGACCTTGAAATTGAAGAGTGGGGGAAGTCAATGTTGCGTAATACTTTAAATTTTAATTTATTATTATGATACAAGCACAGTCATTACCGCTGTCGTTATATTTATCGTTGCATAGGCGGTGCGTCACAATATAAGTTGAAACAGTTCATGGAATCGTCTTCAGATCTATCTAGTAGATACGAGAGTAATGTCCGTGCTCTTGTTATTGAAACCAAGTCACTCTTTTGATTCTCTATTGATTCGCTAAACAGTTAAAGAGTATTATATTTCATTGTGGTTAGTCTACATCAAGAACTTCTAATTGTTAAGCTTAAGTTTTGAGCCACAAGGAGTGTTACAGTCATTGTAACGATATAATCACCGAGAATAAATGATATCGAAATATGCCTATTAACTAGGATGTAGTGTGAGTCCATAATTACTCTAAACTGTAGTAACTCATTATTATCATCGGACTAATTGTTGCTAACAGAGATATTGACCTGAATCTGACCCCCAAACGTGGAAAACCAACTCGCAAAATTACAGGAAGTGTATGTTGATAACATATCAAACTGGATTTCATGAAGCTTTAATTTGGACGACATTCATTATACGTAGCAAATAATTTAAAAAATACACAAGTTTTTTTGGGTAACGTTGTCGAAACTAAGAGCAGACTCCTGAATACTTACTATTTTCAGAAGTATAAGGAATTAAAAGAAAATGGCTTCAGTTGAAACATATAAAAATAATAGAGTAATGCATATATTCACAAAATAATCTTTTTCTATATCAATCTTCTATCTTCTATATAATATATAAAAATGGATTGCTGTTCCTTAGTCTCGCTAAAACTCGAAAACAGCTCAACGGATTTATCTTATCTTAGTCTTGAAATGTTCGTGGAGGTTCAGGGAAGGTATAAAAGCTGAAAAAAAATGATTCATTACTGGGAAAACCATAAAAACAACCCTTTTCTATTTCCCATACAAATGTTTTTTTTGACATTAGATTTGACAACTAACTAATATGTCAATCATTCTGTCGCACTTCAAAACACGGAGATTTATGGCTTACAGGTAAATTCCAAAAATATAAATAAAAAAACGTAATAGATATTTCTTGATTATAGGGCGATATGAAGTTCGCCAGGTCTTCTAGTCAACAATAATAATCGTTTTACTATTTATGGCAACATAAATCAGTTTAAATATTTCCCTTCTTCATACCCCTTTCACGTTTGACTGGTGAGAGAGAAATCACGAAAAGCGAAATTAATTTCAAAGCAATTTGAAAGAAAAAGATTTTAAAACAAGATTAATATTGAAAATAAACTAAATTAAAGATATTTTATGAAGCTTATATATTTTTATAATAATTTTGAAATTCCGAACCCTTTTTTAAATCAACTAAACAGTCAAAAGTAGAGAAATCATTACTTAAATCAAATATCCTTCCAGTGCTAATGAAGCTATAGATATATGTTGCTTATTAAAAAAAACAGTGTGCTAATATTTCATGCATATATACGTACCTAAGTATATTTCATGCACCTGCTATTTCATAGCGAGGAAGCGGGAAAGAAAATTTGCGCGGGCACTGCTTTCTCCTTTGCCCCTACAAATACGAACCTTTTCTCAGCCCTTTAATCTGATCCAAGTATTTCAGGGTACTTTTAATAGTATCTACATTTACTAATATCTCATCCTCTTAAAAACGTACACGTAACAGGTTAAGTAAGTTTATAATGATTAATTATATATAGTTCATCCAAATTTTCTTTCTGAAACATAATTACCAACCATCCATGCATCCATCCATATACTACACAAAAGGAAACATTAAGTTTAGACTTAAGGTAAGAGTTAAGACAACCTTAGTTATTTTTATGAAGTCGCTTTTTTAAGAAGTACATACATTGAATTTTCTTATTCCAATATATTTTACTTGCTGGATTCTTGGAATTGGTTAGAGAGGTGTTGGTTTTCAAATGTATTCTGGAGGGACTACTGAAGTTATTCGTTTTAAAATATGACAATAATGTTTTGGTCTTACCTTAAGTAAGATTTTTATCAAATTTAGAAAGTAATTAATAAAAGTAATTTTATAACATAATTAAGTGCTAATCTTCGAAATACCATTTTTCTTTTTTGTATAAATAAATCGGTGTTAATATAAAAGATTGTGAAATATTAATTCTAAGTCACTGTTATAAGAAGAGACTTGTCGAATTTATTTAAATTTTCATCAGTTCAGAATCAGTTCTAGGTATTAGTGAAAGAACACCAATATTATATAAATAGCCAAAGACGTTAGAAGAGGAAAATGTATTACCAATAAATCAGATTGATAGAACATTGCTCATAAGTCATTTTCCTTGTTTGACGGATATCTATCGTATCACGTATGCAAGACGATTATAATTTAATACTTCGAGTTTTGTAACGATAGTAGCATCTTTAGTACGTTTAATTTTTGATTCAAACTTCACCGTTCGAAATCCCGTGACGCTTTTATGTGTTAAGTCGTACGTTTCTGTACTCATTTTGACTAAACTGTATTCGGTTTTGATCTTACATGATTGAAGGCTCCAGTTTCATAATTTGACAGAACGTTAGGGTACCAATCATGCGTTAAGCTCGGGGAATATCCGAAAGTATGACGTCAAACGGATGTCCTTTACATTCGTTATCAAACACCAGCATACTAGTTGTAGCGTATTGATGGACTCAAACCAAATACACAATAATCAACTTAATAAATAATAAATTTTGCTATGATTATTAATACAGGTTAATTTTCACTTTAACTAAAATTAATAGTTTACTATGACATTTGTACTTAACGTTTCTCTAAAGATCTAAAAACTATAACATAAAATTGTTCAGTGCATGGAAGGTGGAATGCAATAAGTTACAATGATGGAAAATCTATGGAAGTGATTGATCAAACGAATGCATGATTTAATAAATAAATGACAAGGTTATTGGTAATCATAGTTATATATTATAATATAAAATAATAATGGCTAACATTCAACCATCACACCATATTTGAACCGAATCTCTTTAATTTTACTGTGTAAAGTATTGAGGATAGGTTGTAGGTCAGTGTTCCAACCGTGTTGCAATCCATGCTCTATAACGAAAATCAACAGTACTGTAAACGCATGGTCATCTAATTCAGGCCTTGTATTAGACCGAACATTATCAGAAGCTTGCGCTAATTCAGACATTGATAAACAAACACTCAACGCGTTCCTGTTGAATATGACTTGTAATAATCGTCGTGCTAATGATTTGCAATCTTTTGATACGTGCTGACAGTATTTGAGGTCTCCGTAGCTGACGTAAACACCACTTTGAGGCGTGATTTCTATGAGTCCTGGCAGATTGTTTTGATACTTTAATGTCCATCTGGTATCATGAGGATCATATTCAGGTGGTAGAACAAAACGAAATAATTTGCGTTTTTTCTTCGGTGCATTGTTAGCAACTTCTTTGCTATGTCGTTTGGTATTACTTGAACTTGATGGTGTTGATATGTTATTGTGTCTTTCTTCAGGGTACTGCGACACATCTTCTCGTCGGTTGCGTGAAGAAGATGAATTTGTAGCTGAATTTTGCATAGAGTTGAATTCTTTGACTGCAAGCAATAATTTAATGTATGTTCTAGTAGTTTCGTGGATTAATTCCCGTAGGGTGTTGTACAAGTTAGTAGTGAAACGGAAAGTAGACAACATTTGAGTGAAGAGGGTTGTGAAATTGTCCAACATTTGCTGCTCCAATACAAGTTTAGAATGCCTCTGGTTGTTCGGAGAGTTTAGTGAAGCTATCGAACTGCCTGCAGAGCTACTTCCAGAAGGGGTTCCAGGGCCGTAAAGCTTTTGAATACGTCCTGCATCTGAAGGCATCTCATAATCTGAGTTAACTTCATTATCGGTAGCAGTATCGGAATCTGAATTTGCACCCGGGTTACCTGATGAAGTTTTTTCTTCCATCACCTCATCTGTCCGCGACGTATTGTCAATTTGGCGTAGATGATTTTTATTAACAAGTTCACGATCACCATGATTTTCCTGAAATTGCTGTTCGTTCTGAAAATATTGGTTACGAGTACTTGATAAAGTTCGTCGTACCGAATTTAGAACCTTACTAAGAATAGGTGACAGTGTTTTATTTGTCACTTGAGGATAAGGTGTTTGACGGTTGCTTTTTGGCTTTGTCGAGATGTTAATGCGTCTTTTCAGTCGCTGTGGTTGCCTTTGAGAGTCTTGCTGAGATGGAAACTGTCTCTCTGTCTGTTTCTGTTGTGGATTCTTGGAGGTCTGACACAACGAAGTGGAAGAAATAATAGAATTCTGTCCGATAGATGGAGTACTCATTCTGATTGTTCGCGAATTAGCTCGTTGTTCGTAATTGTTGGTCTCGGAAGATTTTATAAGTAAATCTTGTTCTAAGTTTCTTCCATTAGTCGGTAGGTATTCATTATGATAAGACATGTGATGTTGTTGTTCAGTTTTCACTGAGCGCGTCGATAAAGATCCATTTTGATCAAACGAATTCGATGAGTTCATTGGGCTCATTATTCTCTCAACCATTCTTTGAGTCGGTATTAAACGCCGTGCCTTGTTCATTTGACTATATAGTTGAGCAGAAATGTTTAGTGAATGCAGTAAGTCGTAATCCATGTGGGATTCTTGTCTACTGCCAGTCATCTGTGTCGATGGATCCGCGGAAATTTGTGGTTCCTGGATGGGTTCTGGCTCTTCAGTAAATTGTGAGATGGCTTGATTAGATAGTACTTGATGTTCCACATTACTGATAGGCTGGACTTCTTCATCGTTGTCCATAACAAGGGCTGGTGTATCTGCTGTAACTTCATCTATGCACGGCACACTCAATTCTTTTTCCTCTTGTGTTGGTAAAGAATCTTTTTTATCTTTCTGCTGAGAGGAACTCATTGTAGCGTCACAATTACTAACAGTTGTTCCTGTATGAGCAGATTCCATTGGTTCGTTCTCCTGGATTATAATTGATTGTTCCTGCCTTGAAGACCCAGGTTCTTCACTAGCGTCGGTAACAACGGCGCTAGATGTCTGAGCGTCATCCATTTTCTTGGGTTTCTTATAAAGTTGTTTATTCGGTTCTGGTAGTGCTGGTCGCTTGATTGAAATCCTCGGCAGTGGTTATCGAGAACTATCATATAATTTTCGCAGGTTCGCAAGAAGCAATTTTTTCTTTAACAGGAAGTCTGTATCTGGAAATAAAAAAGTTTGGTTATTATTAAATTGGCTCAAAATTTGAAATAAATGGTATCTAAATTTAAATTTACAATGGAAATTAAACTGTCAAGAATTATACGAGTATAGTGATTAGATTATCACCGGTTGTTTTTAATTTTATTTCTCGTCGCAATCCAATATTCTGCATCTCCATAAAAGTCTCAAAAAAATAAAAACAAAATTTACTTTCCCTTAATTTCTGAGATGGTTTAGATCTGAATTTACTTCGACAATACTACGCACAACAGAATTAACTAATACATTGATTCAAACTCACCAGTATCATATTTAACGATAGCTATATGAAATCTCCAGTCCTCATTGCATCTTTCCTTTCTCTTAACGCGATTTCTGGTGTCGAAGGGATCTTCGTCTTGAGGGTATACAATGATAGCCTTCTGATCTGTCACTAAACGTGTTAACTAAGTATTCATCAATAATCAACAACACCTTCAAATGACAATTCAATGAATTGAACGATATAAAACGTTCGTTTTAGTTATTATGACGTTTTATCTGAAACAAACAAAAATATTTTCGTACATACAAAGTACATCGATATTGTCAAAACAACACCAGTAACGTCAGTCTATAAATATGTAGTTATGACCTGGGCGGGGCCCTTTCCGTCACAGGCCTACCGCTTAGACATTTTCATTCATTATTCTATGGTATAATTATTAGCAATTACATAAAAAAAAAATATCGTTTATATTCACCTCGATGCTTGTATCGATTTTATGTATGAATTCCAAATAATTAAATCAGTATCTCGTTTTTTTCGTAAATAAATATCCAATTTCTGCTACTTTTTTCCACTTAATCGTTGAAGAGATATGTTGTTTCACGTTTACAGGCAAAACTTGATAACCGCTCACGTCGATGCGTATGCCGAATTTGAAAGAGTATAGTGACCTTGAAAATGAAGAGTGGGGGAAGTCAATGTTGCGTAACACTTTAAATTTTAATTTATTATTATGATACAAGCACAGTCATTACCGTTTGTCGTTATATTTATCGTTGCATAGGGGGTGCGTCACAGTATAAGTTGAAACAGTTCATGGAATCGTCTTCAGATCTATCTAGTAGATACGAGAGTAATGTCCGTGCTCTTGTTATTGAAACCAAGTCACGCTTTTGATTCTCTATTGATTCGCTAAACAGTTAAAGAGTATTATATTTCATTGTGGTTAGTCTACATCAAGAACTTCTAATTGTTAAGCTTAAGTTTTGAGCCACAAGGAGTGTTACAGTCATTGTAACGATATAATCACCGAGAATAAATGGTATCGAAATATGCGTATTAACTAGGATGTAGTGTGAGTCCATAATTACTCTAAACTGTAGTAACTCATTATTATCATCGGACTAATTGTTGCTAACAGAGATATTGACCTGAATCTGACCCCAAACGTGGAAAACCAACTCGCAAAATTACAGGAAGTGTATGTTGATAACATATCAAACTGGATTTCATGAAGCTTTAATTTGGACGACATTCATTATACGTAGCAAATAATTTAAAAAATACACAAGTTTTTTTGGGTAACGTTGTCGAAACTTAGAGCAGACTCCTGGATACTTACTATTTTCAGAAGTATAAGGAATTAAAAGAAAATGGCTTCAGTTGAAACATATAAAAATAATAGAGTAATGCATATATTCACAAAATAATCTTTTTCTATATCAATCTTCTATCTTCTATATATATAAAAATGGATTGCTGTTCCTTAGTCTCGCTAAAACTCGAGAACGGCTGAACCGATTTGGCTAATTTTAGTCTTGAAATACTCCTGGAAGTCCAGGGAAGGTTTAAAAGGTGAGAAAAATTGGAATGATTGCCGAAAAAACCCTAAAAACAGCCCTTCTCTATTTCCCATACAAACGATTTTTTGACATTAGACTTGACAACTAACTAATATGTCAATCATTCTGTTCGATTGAAACAGTAGAAATTTAATAAATACCAATACCGGGTTATTGAAGACGGAATAGTGTTCGCCCGGTCAGCTATACCTATATTACTTATGACGAAATTAACGCGGACGAAGTCGCGGGCAAAAACTAGTATTATATAAATAGCCAAAGACGTAAGAAGAGGAAAATGTATTACCAATAAATCAGATTGATAGAACATTGCTCATAAGTCATTTTCCTTGTTTGACGGATATCTATCGTATCACGTATGCAAGACGATTATAATTTAATACTTCGAGTTTTGTAACGATAGTAGCATCTTTAGTACGTTTAATTTTTGATTCAAACTTCACCGTTCGAAATCCCGTGACGCTTTTATGTGTTAAGTCGTACGTTTCTGTACTCATTTTGACTAAACTGTATTCGGTTTTGATCTTACATGATTGAAGGCTCCACTTTCATAATTTGATAGAACGTTAGGGTACCAATCATGCGTTAAGCTCGGGGAATATCCGAAAGTATGACGTCAAACGGATGTCCTTTACATTCGTTATCAAACACCAGCATACTAGTTGTAGCGTATTGATTGACTCAAACCAAATACGCAATAATCAACTTAATAAATAATAAGTTTTGCTATGATTATTAATACAGGTTAATTTTCACTTTAACTAAAATTAATATTTTACTATGACATTTGTACTTAGCGTTTCTCTAAAGATCTAAAAACTATAACATAAAATTGTTCAGTGCATGGAAGGTGGAATGCAATATGTTACAATTATGGAAAATCTATGGAAGTGATTGATCAAACGAATGCATGATTTAATAAATAAATGACAAGGTTATTGGTAATCATAGTTATATATTATAATATAAAATAATAATGGCTAACATTCAACCATCACACCATATTTGAACCGAAGCTCTTTAATTTTACTGTGTAAAGTATTGAGGATAGGTTGTAGGTCAGTGTTCCAACCGTGTTGCAATCCATGCTCTATAACGAAATTCAACAGTACCGTAACCGCATGGACATCTAATTTAGGCCTTGTATTAGACCGAACATTATCAGAAGCTTGCGCTAATTCAGACATTGATAAACAAACACTCAACGCGTTCCTGTTAAATATGGCTTCTAATAATCGTCGTGCTAATGATTTGCAATCTATTGATACGTGCTGACAGTATTTGAGGTCTCCGTAGCTGACGTAAACACCACTTTGAGGCGTGATTTCTACGAGTCCTAGCAGATTGTTTCGATACTTTAATGTCCATCTGGTATCATGAGGATCATATTCAGGTGGTAGAACAAAACGCCATAATTTGCGTTTTTTCTTCGGTGCATTGTTAGCAACTTCTTTGCTATGTCGTTTGGTATTACTTGAAGTTGATGGTGCTGATATGTTATTGTGTCTTTCTTCAGGGCACTGCGACACATCTTCTCGTTGGTTGCGTGAAGAAGATGAATTTGTGGCTGAATTTTGCATAGAGTTGAATTCTTTGACTGCAAGCAATAATTTTTTGAATGCTTTAGCAGCATCAAGGATTGATCCCCGTAGGGTGTTGTACATATCAGTAGTGTAACGCAAAGTAGACTCCATTTGAGTAAAGAGAGCTGCGAAGTTGTCCAACATTTGCTGCTCCAATACAAGTTTAAAATGCCTCTGGTTGTTCGGAGAGTTTTGTGAAGCTATCGATCTGACTGCAGAGCTACTTCCAGAAGGGATTCCAGGGCCGTAAAAGTTATTCGTTCTTTCAATACATGCTTCATCTGAAGGCATCTCATGATGTGAGTTAACTTCATTATCGGTAGCAGCATCGGAATCGGAATTTGCACCCGGGTTACCTGATGAAGTTTTTTCTTCCATCACTTCATCTGTCTGCGACGTATTGTCAATTTGGCGTAGATGATTTTTATTAACAAGTTCACGATCACCATGATTTTCCTGAAATTGCTGTTCGTTCTGAAGATATTGGTTACGAGTACTTGATAAAGTTCGTCGTACCGAATTTAGAACCTTACTAAGAATAGGTGACAGTGTTTTATTTGTCACTTGAGGATAAGGTGTTTGACGGTTGCTTTTTGGCTTTATCGAGATGTTAATGCGTCTTTTCAGTCGCTGTGGTTGCCTTTGAGAGTCTTGCTGATATAGCAACTGTCTCTCTGTCTGTTTCTGTTGTGGAATCTTGGAGGTCTGACACAACGAAGTGGAAGAAATAATAGAATTCTGTCCGATAGATGGAGTACTCGTTCTGATTGTTCGCGAATTAGCTCGTTGTTCGTAATTGTTGGTCTCGGAAGATTTTATAAGTAAATCTTGTTCTAAGTTTCTTCTATTAGTCGGTAGGTATTCATTATGATAAGACATGTGATGTTGTTGTTCAGTTTTCACTGAGCGCGTCGATAAAGATCCATTTTGATTAAACGAATTCGATGAGTTCATTGGGTTCATTATTCTCTCAACTTTTCTTTGAGTCGGTATTAAACGCCGTGCCTTTTTCTTTTGACTATATAGTTGAGCAGAAATTTTTAGTGAATTCAGTAAGTGATAAGATGTAGAATCGCTATTTACGGCGTCATCCATGTGGGATTCTTGTCTACCGCCAGTCATCTGTATCGATGGGTCCGCGGAAATTTGTGGTTCCTGGATGGGTTCTGGCTGTTCAGTAAATTGTGAGATGGCTTGATTAGATAGTACTTGATGTTCCACATTACTGATAGGCTGGACTTCTTCATCGTTGTCCATAACAAGAGCTGGTGTATCTGCTGTAGCTTCATCTATGCACGGCATACTCAATTCTTGTTCCTCTTGTGTTGGTAAAGAATCTTTTTTATCTTTCTGCTGAGAGCAACTCATTGTAGCGTCACAATTACTAACAGTTGTTCCTGTATGAGCAGATTCCATTGGTTCGTTCTCCTGGATTATAATTGATTGTTCCTGCCTTGAAGACCCAGGTTCTTTACTAGCGTCGGTAACAACGGCGCTAGATGTCTGAGCGTCATCCATTTTCTTGGGTTTCTTATAAAGTTGTTTATTCGGTTCTGGTCGTGCTGGTCGCTTGATTGAAATCCTCGGCAGTGGTTATCAAGAACTATCATATAATTTTCGCAGGTTCTCAAGAAGCAATTTTTTCTTCAACGTGAACTCTGTATCTGGAAATAAAAAAGTTTGGTTATTATTAAGACGGCTCAAAAATTGAAATGAATGGTATCTAAAATTAAATTTACAATGGAAATTAAACTGTCAAGAATTATATAGTGATTAGATTATCACCTGTTGTTTTTAATTCTTTTTCTATTGAAGGTCCACAATCATTTCTCGTCGCAATCCAATATTCTGCATCTCCATAAAAGTCTCAAAAAAATAAAAATAAAAATTACTTTCCCTTAATTTCTGAGATGGTTTAGATCTGAATTTACTTCGACAATATTATAATCCGTTAGACTTAAGCTGAGCTTTTGCATTTGTGTGAGTGAAAGTAAAAGTAGAGTTTTACTTTCTAGTCTAAAAGACAAAAAACTTTTAGAATTCAATTTTATTATATCTTAAATAGATACATAATATAAACGCGAGACCTATTCTAGATTAAAAATAAAATAAGCGAAACATGTAAAAGGCTACATGGAAATATTATGGAAAAAAAATTAAGTAATAAAAAAATTTAAAAAACAATACAAATTTATCTTCACTTGACATTGCGATTTCAACATTTGAAGTTGCTACCAGTACAAAGGGTGAAGTGCGGGAGGTGCGGGCGGAGTAAAATCAGAATAAACCGGTTAAAAACTACATAGCAAAGAACTTGGCATTCAAATATTAGACATCACACTCACACTATCCGGGTGCACACACACAAATGCCAAGCTCAGCTTAAATCAAACGCACTATACGCACAACCGAATTAACTAATACATTGATTCAAACTCACCAGATTCATATTTAACGATAGCTATATGAAATCTCCACTCGTCATTGCATCTTTCTTTCCTCTTAACGCGATCTCTGGTGACAAAAGGATCTTCGTCAGGACGAAAGGTGACAGCCTTCTGCACTGTCACTAAACGTGCTATCACCCAACTCTACAGCACGCATACATAATCAACAACACCTTCAAAAGGTACTATGAATTAAACGATATAAAACGTTCGTTTCAGTTATTATGACGTTTTATCTGAAACAAACAAAAATATTTTCATGAATAAAAAGTAAATCGATATTGATTATATTGTCCCAACAACACCAGTAACGTCAGTCTATAAATAGATATGACCCGGGCGGGGCCCTTCCTGTCACAGACCTACCGCTTAGACATTTTCATTTATTAGAATAATGGAATCATTATTAGCATATTACTTCAAAAGAATTAACGCTTAAACTCACCATTTTTGATGTTTGTATCGATACCAAATAATTCCATGAGTATCTTGTTTTTGTCGTTAATAAATATCCAATTTCTGCTACTTTTTTCCACTTAATCGTTGAAAAGATATGTTGTTTCACGTTTACAGGCAAAACTTAATAACTGCTCACGCCGATGCGTATGCCGAATTTGACAGAGTATAGTGACCTTGAAATTGAAGAGTGGGGGAAGTCAATGTTGCGTAACACTTTAAATTATTGTTATGATACAAGCACAGTCATTACCGCTTTATATATTATCGCGTTATATTTATCGTTGCATAGGCGGTGCGTCACAGTATAAGTAGAAACAGTTCATGGAATCGTCTTCAGATATATCTAGTAGGTACCTAATGTCCGTGCTCTTGTTATTGAAACCAAGTCACGCTTTTGATTCTCTATTGATTCGCTAAATAGTTAAAGAGTATTATATTTCTTTGTGGTTAGTCTATATCAAGAACTTCTAATTATTAAGATTAAGTTTTGAGCCACAAGGAGTGTTACAGTCATTGTAACGATATAATCACCGAGAATAAATGCTATCGAAATATGAGTATTAACTAGGATGTAGTGTGAGTCCATAATTACTCTAAACTGTAGTAACTCATTATTATCATCGGACTAATTGTTGCTAACAGAGATATTGACCTGAATCTGACCCCCAAACGTGGAAAAACCAACTAGCAAAATTACAGGAAGTGTATGTTGATAACATATCAAACTGGATTTCATGAAGCTTCAATCTGGACGACATTAATTATACGTAGCAAATAATTTAAAAAATACACAAGTTTTTTTGGGTAACGTTGTCGAAACTTAGAGCAGACTCCTGGATACTTACTATTTTCAGAAGTATAAGGAAGTAAAAGAAAGTGGCTTCAGTTGAAACATATAAAAATAATAGAGTAATGCATATATTCACAAAAAAATCTTTTTCTATATCAATCATCAATAATAATCGTTTTAATATTTATGGCAACATAAATCAGTTTAAATATTTCCCTTCTTCATACCCCTTTCACGTTTGACTGGTGAGAGAGAAATCACGAAAAGCGAAATTAATTTCAAAGCATTTTGAAAGAAAAAGATTTTAAATCAAGATTAATATTGAAAATAAATTAAATTAAAGATATTTCAAAAAGCTTATAAATTTTTATAATAGTTTTGAAATTACGACCCTTTTTTAAATCAACTAAACAGTCAAAAGTAGAGAAATCATTACTTAAATCAAATATCCTTCCAGTGCTAATGAAGCTATAGATTTATGTTGCTTATTAAAAAAAAACAGTGTGCTAATATTTCATGCATATATACGTATCTAAGTATATTTCATGCACTTGATATTTCATAGCGAGGAAGCGGGATAGAAAATTTGCGCGGGCACTGCTCTCTCCCTTGCCCCTACAAATACGAACCTTAACTCAGCCCTTTAATCTGATCCAAGTATTTCAGGGTACTTTTAATAGTATCTACATTTACTAATATCTCATCCTCTTAAAAACGTACACGTAACAGGTTAAGTAAGTTTATAATGATTAATTATATATAGTTCATCCAAATTTTCTTTCTGAAACATAATTACCAACCATCCATGCATCCATCCATACACTACACAAAAGGAAACATTAAGTTTAGACTTAAGGTAAGAGTTAAGACAACCTTAGTTATTTTTATGAAGTCGCTTTTTTAAGAAGTACATACATTGATTATTGAATTTTCTTATTCCAATATATTTACTTGCTGGATTCTTGGAATTGGTTAGAGAGGTGTTGGTTTTCAAATGTATTCTGGAGGGACTACTGAAGTTATTCGTTTTAAAATATGACAATAATGTTTTGGTCTTACCTTAAGTAAGATTTTTATCAAATTTAAAATAATTAATAAAAGTAATTTAATTATAACATAATTAAGTGCTTATCTTCGAAATACAATTTTTCTTTTTTGTAATAAATAAATCGGTGTTAGTATAAAAGATAGTGAAATATTATTTCTATGTCACTGTTATAAGAAAAGACTTGACGAATTTATTTCAATTTTTTTAATAACTTATATAGCAGATTTAACGATTAATTAGTAACAAAAATAAAACTAATATTTTTCGGACTATATTACTCGTATTTTAGTAAAAACTACTTAAACTCCAGATATACATACATTTCGTCTGCCCGTGACGATTGCTGAAAAGTAACAGTGATCACGGGCAGACAGAGCATGTAGTTCTTAAAATAATGAAATACGCGTAGTAATCCTAAAAGACAAGTTATGTTGAAATTATTTAATACATCAAACGAAACATACAGTGCCATCTTGTAGTGGTAAGTCAAACTAATGATTGACTGTATGGCTATTTTTATTCTTGTGAGTGTTAAAAAATAAAGTTAGTTGTCACTAAGACTTAAAGCTGGTTCAATGTGTTTAAATGGATACTCGCCAAAGTTCTAGATCTCAATTCTCATCATAAGTAACAAAAATCAGCGCTAACCTAATAAGGCATCGTGTATATTCAGTACATAAAATATTTTTTTTACAATAATTGGTTTATTACAATAGAGCAAATTTTTTATCTTAGTAATATTAAAAATTGTTTAAAATATTATTGATATGATATTACTTAACATACGTAGGACAGAGGTTTTGAAAAGAAAACAAAATCGAAACAATTGACAAATTCCTAATTTAATTAATAACAAGACGATGTAATCAGTGAAATAATAAAAAGAACGTGTATTGCGTTATAATACTATCATTTTATTCTTAATTACATTCTATAATTACGATACATGAATTTTACAACTAGCGGCGTGGTTCTGCGAAGCGTCAACACATTTACAGCGAAAGCCGCGGTATATATTAAGTTTTAACATTACATGTTCATATTCAACTAACAAGTGAGGTTGAAGTGCCAGTATCGAGTGGATCAAATACGCCTAGTAGCTTACCATTAATTTATTGAGTATTATACAAACAAAAAAAAACCACAGTGGAGTAAATCACAAAGGAAACATTTCATTATTAATATATCAATGTTTTATTTGTATGCATTTCATATTATTTCATATGTCGTTTTAAACATCTTTACAAATTATCAGTCCTCGTCTTACAGGTAAGGGTTGTGAACAGCGAAATAAAATACAGCTGGTAATATTATAGAATTTAATTAGGGTTACATACAAACACTTTGTAATGTTGGGAGTATAATGAACGAACTAATAAGCACTTTGAATAGCCAGTGACGTGTGAGAAGTCTTTCATAGTATTCACTCGTGGATTTCAAGAGGAGTCACTAACAGGTGTTCCTTTATAAAAATACTTGTATCAATCATATCCATCAACAAATATATAATCTCAATAAGAACTCTTCCTCACAATACTGTTCTTTGTTTTTTTTTGGTGTAACATTTCCATTTAAATTCTAGTCACAACGAAGACTCCTCTCACATTTCAATAATTTACAGCCACCTGTGTCCATTATCCTATATATTTTAAATCGTTAAAAACATTCCATGACTATCAACTATTAAGTATTCTCTAAAGAAAAAAAAATCACACTGATAATTTGAAAGCCAACAAAACAAACATAAGCGTCCACTATTAGTGTTAGCGACTGTACGTATCATCGATCGCGGCGACATCTAGCGGCCGGTGGCTGGACGTGCGCTCGGTCATCGGTTCACAACAACGTTTGAACGGTAATCACAGACGGATTACTGTAAATAAATAATAATACAGAGGCGACGAACGTCCTTGGACGTGTGTGTGGGTCAGACGGGGCGGGGGCGTGCGGGCAGCGCGGGGGGCGGCGGCGGTCCCGTCTTGGTGCGGGGCTGGGGCTTGGCCCGCGGGGCCTGGGGCGCGGGGGCGGCGGGCGTGGCGGGCGGCGCGGGGGGAGGCGCGCGGGCCGCGGGGGGGGAGGAGCCGCGCGACCCAGCGACGCCAGCATCAGGCCGCGGAGCAGCGCCGCGCGGGACTCCGCCTCCGCCACGTCCGTGCCGTTCGATACACCTGAGTGATAGATTATATTAAAACGAGTTGACTAAGGTGAAGGAAAACATCGTGAGGGAACCTGGACTTATAGTTTCACAATTATAAGTTTGAAATCACCAACCCGTCTTGAGCAAGCGTAGTGATTAATGCTCAAAACCTTCTCCATGTGAGAAAGAGGCCTTGCTCAGCAGTGGGAGCTGATAGGCTGATGACGAGGGGACTAAGGTTGTATTTCATTTACCTTAATGTACGTTTCACATCTGGATTAATTATGAGTATCATTATTAGCGCTGTATCGTAGTGAACTAGCACGTTACCATTAAGATAATATCAAATCTTTTAAATACGAACCGATAAAAGATTATCATTATTGTAAACAATATACATATATTACTAACTTATTTAAAATGAAAATTAAGAACATCCAATAACAAATTATTTCGTTTGTCTATCGCATGTCGCGTTACAAGCGAGCATGAGTGGTGAACCGTAAGGCAAATGTTGCATCCGATAAACTTGAACGAAATGCCTATTATTTCATCTTGGGGCCTTATACTCTAATTCTGACAAGTGTATTTGTGAGTTTTGTTCATTGAATTCAATGTATTATGTCTATCTCAGTTTGTAACATATACCTGACATCTGATTGATGCTATACATTTTGTATTCACATACGCAAACAAAAATAAAAATTTATAATTGGTTAATAATATCAGACAGATATCTACAGAGGAAAATAAAATTTAAACTCATTTTTATATGGTATCCTATTCCATTTAACTGAAACTAATATTTTTCAGATGTACTATGCTCCCGAAGTTTCGAAAAATATTAGTTTCATTTAAATGGATAAGACTCGTGAAAAAATTATATCTCATTTTTCTAATTCCTATACCATGTTCTTCTTCTTCCTGGTAATTTCCCAGCTTTAGCCAGGGTCTACCTTACATGTTGTGAATAGTTTTGGCTCATTGTTTTAACGGCCGCCTGCCAGACATCAACCTTCTTTGGGAATGCATTAATCAGTGATGTCTAAATACTATTAGAAAGTACATATGACTCGGAAAAATCACATTGGTACTTGCCCGGGCCGGTATCGAACCCGCGCCTCGTGCGTGAGAGGCGTCCCTTTTAACCACTAGGCCACCACTGACTATGTCTAGCATTACATATGGTCGTATATTAATATGGACTTATTTGTTTATATAATAATGTGCTCATAATATTAATATTAATTTAAGGTCTTTGTTTTAGTTTTTAAGTTCTTATTTGTCTATTTGTAGTGTAGTAAATTCATTAAATAATAAGTGTTGTAAAATTGGAAATAAAGTGATTTATTATTATTATTATTATACCTAAGAACCCAGCCAGTAGGAACTGCGAGTCGCTATCCGTCTGTGGCGCAGGTTGCGGGGCAGGTTGTGGCGCGGGAGGGGGGGCGCTCGCTGAGGACGCGGCCGGCCTCCGGGGCAGGCGCTCCAACTGTTGTCTAGCGGCCTGGGGATAAACATCATTAATATTGAAAATTAAATCGTCCTAGAGTAAATACATATGAATATCAGTATCGAAGTAACAAATTATTGTCAACGGCTTTTGATCTGATGTAGTTCCTCTTTGCAATTTCCCACGTTAAGTGGGGTCTACTTTATTATCTTTTTGCGTCAGGACAATCTGTTCTGGGTTGTTAGGTCAGGCAATTGGAACTTCGCAAATATTTTGACCATACTAGTTGATCATATATTTATTTGATCTGATGTAGTTGTTCGAATATATTAATGCGTGCTACTTTAGACCATTCACCAATCCATTATAGGTCCCTAGTCGAGCTCCCCATACACATACACAACAGACATACCAATCCATTATAGGTCCCTAGTCGATCTACACACACATACACAAGTATAATATCGTAACCAACCGTAGCCTGCTGCCTCTCTAGCTGCAGCTGCATCTGCAGCTGCTGCAGCTGTGACGGCGTGCCGGGCTGTGCGCCGCGCCTCACGCCCGACAGCTGGGACAGCAGCTCAGCTATGGGGTCCACCACGGCGTCCCGCGACGACGGCGACAACGACGATATACCGCCGCTCGTGCTGAACGACATGTTGGTTGACGGGCTTTGAGTTACATCACTTACAAATTACATCATACACGACAATATAAACTTCACAAACAAAATGTATGAATTTTGTGTTCAGAGTTACGGGAGAATTGGGTAGCAGAAATAAAATGAACTTCACAAACAAAAAAGAACAGATGAAAGTTCAATATAGTTAACGTTTGATTTACACTCGCGACGTCTAATGCTGAAATATATTTTTTTGCCTTGATCCCTTTCGGCATATGGTTTTAATTAAATCTATATACGTAATGTGTAAAACGGCTGCCATTTTGGGTTCTTTACTTCTTCTTGAAAAATAAGATGTGTGAATCCAAATCATCATGGCGTTAAAGCTCTAAATTGTTTCAATTCCACATTTTCATATTAAGTCGATATGCGAAGGCGTCCGTGGCATTCTTTATTTTTAGTGTTTACCTCATCCGAAACTTAAACCTACGTTAATGTGATACACAATTGTTGAATTTTAAGGATTTTATTCATAATTTTAAGAAATTCTGGACCCATTTCCATTCAAAAAGATTTTCATCTAGCTTATAAAGAAAACACTAATCTCACGAACCTTTTGATTAGCAAGACGGAATAAAATTTCATGACACAAAAAATAACTACGGAACCCTGCAAAATGGGAGAGAGTTCTGAACACACGTCGTATTTATCAGTTGAAATAGATTTAGATTGAATATGAAATGAAGTCAAATTCAAGTCATTTCTTTTTGCAAAATATATTTTAATATATGAAGTAAAACAGTTCCTAGGTAATAATTTGTTTAATTTATACGTTGCACTTAATCTTTTTCAAAGAGAAGTATGTTCAATCCATCTCAATTGTAAAATAAAAATGTTGACAATAGATAAATTATTGGTTTTTATATTGAGAATATCTCATACAAATTAAGAGGAAAATCTATCTGGTTAAAGAGTAACTTGTGTTTTTAATTAAATCATTATTAATGATGTTTTTCAAATCAATTATCAGATTTTGCATACATCATTTATCACTATGCACATCACAATTACTTCAAACTATTCACAGAAAAATTACATCCTAGTTTTCCTTTATAAATCTTCATATATTCAAATATAATCACTATAATCTTAATAAAAACTCTGTGATTAGAGTATACAAGCTGACATTTCTGTTAATATATATATATAACAGAATATATCAGTGCGTGTTAGTACCTGAACTGCATGTTGGTACGCCTGGCCCTACTCACTCCCCGTCCTGAAGGGGGCATCCTACGGACACCGCCATGTCTGATGCCGCTCGGCTCATCGTGCAGTGGAATTAAGGAAAATTATATAACCATTAAATGGAAACATATAAATATATACTTGATCATAGATTAAACTGCATACATTATTGACTTTATCAATTTGATGTTAAAATCTTGTTTGACTAAAATAATATTGATAAGGGGGCGTTCATAAATTACGTGAGGTGTTTTTTTGTCATTTCTGACTCTCCCCCCGCCTTGGTGAAATGTCGTAAGATTTTATTCAACCCCCTTCTCTCAACCCTCAATCTCACGTGAGATTTTTTTTCATGGGGGATGGTGGCTTGACAGTTAGTAAATGTATACCGTCGAAGTATAAACGTAATTACTTTTTTTCACGAATTAGAGAATGGTCTTCATCGTGTAACGATAACGCTTAAGTTTAAATCTTATACGTACAATCTGGATTAAATAGACCAATATAGTTTTTTTTTGTTACATTAGAAAAAAAATTACGTGATATTTACCAAGACCCCCCTAAATATCTCACGTATTTATGAACGCCCCCTAATCTATAAAAAAATATTTTAATTATTTGTATTCTCATAATAAAAAATATTTCAATTTATACAATTATAGTAACAATCCACTTTGTGTGAATTAGATTAGAATTCAAATATGTTAAAGCAGACTTATATAAAAATTTTCAATTATCTTTCGATAAACAACATTTTTATGTGTTTTGTTCATAAATGTATACTACTTCAAATTTTTTTATATTGTTTTAAGCTCTGAGAAATATATTTATTTCAATATAATGCTTTATAGTTTATACAGATAAGTGATTATCCAGTGTCAAAAATATTACTTGGTGAATTGATATAATGTCATATTATTATCAATAAACTTAATAATTATTTTATTATATGAAATCTTAAGCTATTTAAAAGGATATTAGAAATGATATGAGATCCCTCGGTCCAGTCCTGTGTTCCAGTGTGAGATGTCCAGCAAAATCATCCGTCACAAAATTAGGTTCACCACCCGGCATTGAGGCACACACTGGACATACAACCTGGAAATATAATGAGAAAATTATTACAAACACATATATAATATTAAATATACCAACTAACTAGTCTGGGGTATATATGCACTCTATATATTTTAGACATTTATTGGAAACAAATATATTATTATACATATATAAATATCCTTTAGTTGTTTTATATGAAATTTTACATCTTAACTAGTCTGGGATATAGAGGCATTCTATATATATTTCAATTATATATAAACGAAAAGAAAATTGTTATAAAATTCTAATCATTCTATATTGCTTAAGGAAAACTCTTAGAAAATAATTTTAACAAGTCTTATTACCATTTGACACAAGTCATATTATTGAAGTGAAACTTCTTATGCAACTTCTAACAAGGTTGCGTTAAACGTTTAACGCTCCGGGGGAGGGGTAAAAAGAGGCAGAGCGAGAGGGAATGCGTGGCGCTCGAACGCTTGCGGGCAATCAATTGTGTAAAATTTGTATAAGTAATGTTAACAAAGTAATGTTAAGAGCACTAAAAATGCTTTAACTATCAATTTTTACCCCCCTTTCCTGTTTTTATTCCAACAGTACGAAGTTTCACTTCTTCCGAGCATTCCGTGCACAATAATTAATTATTATTTACAGAATCAGGAACTTTATGTATTTGTATGTAATATTGATTGTTTACATGTGGATAACTAAATATACGGATATAGAAAAATATATAGTATATGATGTTGATGGTTCTAACTAGGATTGTAACGGTTTTTAAATGTTTTTCCTTACATACATTTATCATAGATCATTATAATAGTTAAAATTTAATACTATATTATATACATACATTTTTAGAAGCAAAATTTTAAATCTTACAGATATTATAATATCTACTTATATTAAAATATGAAAGTTTATGAGTATGTGATAATGATTGTTACTTGTCCATGCGAAATATACTTAAATGCATTTTAATTAAACTTAATGCAATTATGTAGATCAGACATCATAAAAGGGCATAGATTATAATTCACACAGGAAAACAGTACACTAACTGCAGAATCAGAGCATATGTATTGAACATAGTAATGTATCAAGGCCTATAGTTTTCATTCACCTTATTCATTTCTGAGCAATTTCTATTATTAAAGCAGACAAAGTCACAGACTGCAATTAATATAGATTACATATAGGAAATATGAACCAATGCATTGCTATGTAAAATTTATATGTAAATTTAAATTATTTATATTAGCCCATCTTATCCTACCAATATTATAATTGCGAAAGTTTGTGAGTGTGTGTGTATGTTTGTTACTTCTTCACGCTCAAACGGCTGAACCAATTTTGATAAAATTTTGTATACAGGAAGCTGACGTCCAGGAATAGCACATAGGCTACTTTACATTCCGGAAACCCACGGGTAACACCGCGGGGCGCAGCTAGTACAATATATAACTCACAGCTAGTGTTGTGTCAGCATGTTCAGCGGTGACATGTTCCATAAGGGCAGTATCGGTAAAACCCATTCTATTACAGAAGGGGCACGTGTAAGCCTGCGGCTGTTCTAGAGCCAGGGTCTCCCCACCATAATATAGATCTGAAAATATAATAAACAAATATCTATAGACTATTAGCTTGCTTTTAATTATTGTCCCAGTTGTCTAATTAGATCTTTTTAGTATTCATCATCATCATCATCAGCCAAAAGACGTCCACTGCAGGACATAGGCCTCCCCCAAGGATAGTATTACTTCTATATAATACAATCAAATTATATTAAAAAATACAACAGCTAAAAACATAGACTCACGTAATTATAGTATTTTAAAAATCAATGCAACAAATCCAATTATTTTTTTTGTTACTAGTCACATTATATTCTAATTCAGTAAAAACTATGTATAAAGTAGTGACGAAATTCTCTAGGGAAAAGTCTAACGACAGAATGTAGGCCAGTTGTCTGTTGATACCGATTTTAATGTTATCTTACCAAAATCACTCCTCGAGAGAATACATTGCATGGGATGCTCTGTTGTATGTTGATTTGATGTCGCTCTGGATTCGTAACAAGCGGCACACAAGTCGTAGTCGATGCAAATTAAACATTTATATCGTCGTCCTCTAAAGTTATTTTTCAAACAAGAATCACAGCTGACTCCTGAAATTGTCAATACGTAATTATTAATGGACGTAACATCACTACGCTCGAAATACAATCACTATAACATCGCGAAACATAAATTTGTTAATGGTTGAACATATTTATTTATATATTTTTAAAGAAATCTATAGTGACAAAAGCATCTCACAAATTTTGATTATCATTACCCACCTTCATGGCGATTCATTTTCGCCACAAAATGTCGCCGAGAAATTCAATTCTTGGCACCAGGATTACTGCTACTGTTTGAGGTATATATATTACTATTCTAAAATAAGTAGCACAACATATAATACACTAAAATACAAGATTTTTAACAAAAATTTCCAAGCAAACCTAACCCAACCAGGCCATAATGACGTCACATAATGGCCGTGTGTTGTCTGTTTAGAAAATAATTACAAATCACGATTTTGAATACAGCTTAAAAAGACCGACTTTTATTTTTCTCCATTGCAGAACATGAAGCCGTAAAAGTTTCTAAAAGTTGCATCACACCACATCAATAATAAATTGAAGTAAATGAGTTAAATTTAAACTTACGGGGAAAGACCTTTTTTATACTCACATTTTTTTAAATACTAATAGGTAGCTTATATTCTGAAAAAGTAAATATTTAAATATGAATAAAGAGGTCGATGTACTGGAGAAACAGATTCGGTAACCGTATGATGTTATACTTTTATAGGGTAAAGGGGTGATTTCTGTGGTTCATGAAAAATCTTTTTCGAGTACTTGGATTTAAAGCATAAGGTAAGCTATGTCAAGAAAAAGAATAATATATAAACTTTTTCAAAAATATTTTTTCTATTTAGGAAACTATCAAATTTTAAGGTGTCTTTTCCATGTAACATAAATGCTTTATTATATGTAGTAAAATACCAAAGATAGAAAAGGAAGGAAATATGATTACGATTACGGAATATATTACGCTAATATTATAATCTATATCATTTTTACCTGAAATAAACGGGGTTCAGATTGAAAATCGAAGAAGTATTTTAAAAGTTATATTCAATTGTTTGTATTTTATACTATTGTATGACTCCATAATACTTCAAACTATTCAAATTTAAGATTCACAGAAACTTTAAAGTTCTCCATTTGGTGAGAGATACAGTTTGTTCTACAAGTCACCATAAAATTTATTTATTAAAAATTAATAACCGTTATGTAGTTTGTATAATATATTATTCAAACTTATAATATTAAAAATTGGTTACTAGAAGGTAAACGTTAAATAAGAATGTCAAGCGAAAGTCATATATGACACTGATTAGTTGCCTTTGTCAGTTCTTATTTCTTACTCGGTATCGAAGTGTTTAAAACGAGTAATAACTCTTTTAAACAGTCGAGTACTTGATCAACGGTTTTGATTAGCCTTTTTGTTTCGATTGCTGGGTGTTTGGTTTCCGTCAGTACCTCTTTTTCATTGTACCAATTATTTGAGCTAAAAATTAATAACAATACAAAATAAAGCACTCGAATTAAAAATCCTTGACGGTATTTTGCGCGGGAATTCGTATTGTGATGATTGTATTTTTGATGAGTTAGTTCAAGAGTATTTTTATATTTTAGTAATATTCTAATTCAGAAATGGCTGAGTCACTAGAACATCTGGTTGTAGATGGCAACGAGGTGTTAGAAATAAAATTAGGTATGTTCTAATAATGTTTCTTTAAGGATTGAACATGTTTTGTAATTGCATATACAAAGACGCAGGCTATGCATTATTTTGCATTTACTATTACAGTTAGGTCTGCAGATGATATAGAAGATGATGAGACAACATTCGGTCCTGAGATGTGTCATCAAGTTTTTGGCGAAAACGAGAATATTTTTGGTTACACAGATTTACAAATCAAACTATATTATAGTGCGGCCAGTCTTCAGACGTATCTCGGCATCTCATATACTGATAAGGTAAGTGAATAACAACTATACACCACATATTACATGATATTTAATGCCTATAACTAATGGTCACTCCTCTTACATTTAGTCATGTAATAGAAATTAAACATTTTGCTTACAGATAGACCCCAAAAAAACAGGTGGTTTGAAGGCAGATGATATTGAGGAAGCATTGAAAAAAGTATTGGCACCGGGATATGTTACTAATTTAGATGTGTTTGTTTCAATGTTAGAAAAAGATAAAAGTTTCACACCACATGGCAAGCTCATCCATACGTTTTCAACAATACCTTGTTAGTATTTCGTCCTCAAACATAAATTTATAAAATTTTAATTAATTATGATCATTGTTACGATATAGTATCCAGTTTTGTTTTGATATGTCTCCATAATGTAACATTATTAATCAAATATATGAATAACAGACAATTAGTTTAGTAGTATAAAAACAAGAAAACTATGAATTTTAATAAAAGTTTACTTGCCACTATAGAGTTTTTAAATGTTTAAAAGAAATATCTTTGTTTCAGCGCAAAAAAATCAATGAACTTACAAAAAAAATACTAATAACTCAATTATGATAGTTTCAGAATAAATAGGCAAAATATTTAATTATAATCATAGATTTAAATAGTCTCAATATATTTTCAGGCGACAGTAGTGAATCTAGAACATTTGAAGTTTACTATTCAGAGGTAACTACCCCCGGTTTCCTGTCTTTTCATGAACGAATACAAACATTCTTATTGTGGTATGTCGATGCCGCTTCCTTCATTAATGTGGATGATGACCAATGGACATTCTTTACTGTGTAAGTTACTATACATCAAAATGAATATACTTTGTCCAAATTAATAGTATTCTTATGATAATATGTAAAAAGTTGCAAAAAATAACAAAGTTAAATAACACCTTGTTTGTTATTTCTTCAATTAGTGATTTGTACTTAATTATTATATATTTAATAGTAATTTTTACAATAAAACATACTTTAAAAGTATATCTTTATAACACCACTTATGTGTGTCATTTAGATATTTAAAGTGTTTATTGATTATACATAACTAAAACACCACTATATCAGCAAGATACATATATATGAGTAATATTTGTATATAAAATGACCAGACACAGACAAAAGTTTCTTAAATACATCATTTAGTTATATTAAATATTTGTTTCAGTTTTGAAAAGTATCGCAATAGTGTAGGTGAATATCGTTACTCAGTGGCTGCCTATGCTACAGTATTCAGATATTATGCCTATCCTAACAACGTTAGACCGAGGGTGTCACAAGTGCTCACATTGCCCCCGTTCCGCAAGATGGGAATATGCGCTAATTTACTACAGGTAAAAAAATGTTATTGATACATATATATACTATTAGCTTTCCGCCCGCAGCTTCGCCCACGTGGAGTTCGGTTATATCGCGTTTCCAAGAGAACCTTTCAAAATTCTGGGATAAAAACTATCCTGTTCTTTCTCAAGGTCAACTCTATCTCTGTACTAAATTTCATTAAAATCTGTTCAGTGGTTTAGGAGTTAAAGCGTAACAGACAGAGTTACTTTCGCATTTATAATATTAGTAGGGATTATAAAACAAATATTTAAATCAACACTACTTTTTTAAATTTATATACAGAAACCAAGTTATCATTATTTTTTTTATAATTAATTAGTGATCACTGATGAGTAACCTTAAACTCGATAAAAGTAGATGATAAAATAAGATTTTGAGTTGAGTGATATTTTAAATGAGTCTGTTTTAAAAATATTAATTTTATTTAAATGAATAATTGTGAAAGTCTTAGACATCATTATGACAAAGGTTTTAAATTCATCCAAAACTCAAATATTACTGTTCATACAAAGTTTTGCACTCTTTTTTTAAGTATATCTCATTCTATAAGGCATGTATTTATGTATGTATATGAAAATCGTACTTTTTTCCATTTTAATGTTACTTCTTGTATAGTAACTTTATTTGTTAATATATTGTTATATATATTTCAGGCCATCTATTCTCATTTCATAGTGCAGCCAGAGGTAGTTGACATAACAGTTGAAGATCCATCGGAAAGTTTTCAAAGAATAAGAGATTTTGTTGATGTTAAGAATTGTGAATCATTACCAGCATTCCAACCTATGAAACTTTTACAAGGGTAAATATTAAAATTGTACATATATAATATATATATATAAATATTATGTAATTACCTGAAAGGATTTTGTATGAAACCAAAAAGAAAATAAAGTATATAATAACATGAGATTGTTGGATTTGCCATTGTATTCAAGTATTTAGACATATATCATTTTATTTTTGTTTAAAATCAGTTTTCTTACAGCTTTTCTCCAGAAATGATAAATCAGGCTCGTAGCAAGTTTAAGATTAATAAGAAACAGGCTCGGAGAGTGTATGAGATACTCCGTTTGAAGAACACTAACACATCAGATAAGGCAGCTTACCTAACTTATAGACTGGATGTTAAGAATAGGTTGAATGCACCTTTTCAGGTATAGCTAAATCTTATTAGTATATATTTTAGTAAAATGTAGGAAATAAATTAATAATTGTTTGCAATTATTTAGTTGATTAATTGTTGAAAGTAACTTAACAAATGTTTTTATATTTATTTAATTGTGCCAACCTAACCTGTATAGGATTTTCTTTTCAAAACTTGATTCCAACTAAGAGAAAAAATATAAAATTTAAATATTCTTTTATAAAATAGACATGTATTGAACTCTTTAAAATTATTGTTTGGTTGGTTGTTGAAAATATCGCCTTCATCCGTGCAAAGACGTGCACAGTATATTGTGCCAGTCTCGTGTAGAATGGAGTTTTTAAAATTATTACATTCAGAAAATATGATTCTTAACTGTCACTCTATTAAATTTTTACCACAGATAAATTATTTTTTATTACATCTGCCTTAAAATATTTGTATTTTTTTTTCAGAAAAAGAAGCTTGAATTGAAAAAACTACAAAAGGTTTTGAAACCAGAGGAGTTTATAGCTTCAGTGAATGCTAGCGGGGCCGCGGAAACTCACGCAAGGCTAGCGGCACATTACCGAGCGTTAGAAGATGAATACCGCGCTGTACTACACAGAATAGAAATACAGTGATTTTTTATATACCTATTAAATTCGTAATAAATCCCTGCCTGTCAATCTAATATTAATGTCACCTCTGAATTTAAAGATAGGTTTTAAAATAACTTAAATACATGTGTTAATTAAGGCACATTACATACGGAGCAGTTACGAACGATTAAATTAACGCTTCGTGTGTAGTTTGGCATTGAAAATATTTTGGTAAGGATAAATAGTAGTTGATATACAAATTTTTCGTCAATGATATAAGATTTCGTAGTAAAAGAATGTTCGTTGATTAATCTATTTTAGTTTGGCTCCTTATAAGAAAAAATATTAAGTTTTTTTACATACAGTTTGTGTTATTTTGTTTAATTTTTTGCTTATATCTTTGAGTTTTAATAATGTATTAATTGATATCTCTTAAACATAATTTAAAGTGGATAGTTGATTGATTGTCTTATTAATGTGGCAATTGTCCTTTGTTTAAATTTTTATTTTGTAATGTTCAAACGAAAACTGACATTTGTATTTTTTTGGCTTTACATATAGTTTAAGTGGTTACATATTTGAAATTCATGTTGATGATAATCTACAATAAATTGTCTCTAAATTGTATCCTGTAAGTTTCAACACTGCCAATTTTGAATAAAAAGATAATTGTAATTTGTATTCAATAACAATGAATGTATCTTAACTTTAATATTAATTTAGTGTATGAAATGTTTTTGGTTTTTATTTATGTGATTGATAATTGTAAATATTTCACATACAATTGGTTTAACCATGAGTCGCGACTGAATTTATTGATTTCTAAGGTATTATTAATAATTTGATTTTCTGGTTTAAAACCATATGTGTTAAGTGATTTATCATTTGTAAAACAGTGCCTTAAACCCCCCTCGCCCCAATACTAACATTTCATTTAAATATTTTTGTGATCACCAAAATTAATGTTTCTCAAAATTAAAATAAGTATTTTTTATGTTTTTGTTTTATTCCTTAGATATTTTTATATGAACAATGAGCAGGAGAAAAGGAATTATATAATTCCTTCAAAAAAAAGTACTGTTTTAATTTATTTATAGTAATTAAATGAAAGTAACACGAATTTCTTTCATGTTGCTTCCGACTAGGACGATTATTGTAAAGTATTTGAAAATTGTATTGGATAGTGAAATTTTTCAAGTAATGTATGCTTATGAATATTATACACATCAGGTTCAAACAGTTTGGGAACTACAGTGAAAATCTTTTGAAAAATTATCATGTATTGATGAAAAATAAGTAAAATAACGAAATATTTCCATACAGAATAAATTGTTTTCACTGAGATAAAGTTATAGGTATTGCTTTATTTAAATTAAATCTCAAGCAGAAGTCGTTTTCCTTTTAGTGTGGTGTAATTTATAAATACAAATTCCCAGTATTTTTCGGCCCCTATTAATGGGAGTCTAATAAAACATGAAAGTATTGGTCAGAAAGAATATATAAAATAATATAATACATTTGTCATCATATTTTTATTTTCCAATTTTATTATAAAAATAAGCGAGCTTGATGAGATCCATAAACAATGAAAAAACTAACAAAATTAATATGTAGAAAATTCTTAAGTCATAAGGCGTTTTAGGAGCACTCGGTAGGAGGTGCATACATGTTAACTAACGGCCTTCAACATTATAATTCTGTTATGTAACGTTTCCATATATTATCTCAATAAGGCTCGTTCCTACAAATGATACTATTGTCAAACATCAACAAATGAACAGACACATCTCTCACTCAATACAATATCTCCATAGTCATCACCGTTCAGTCAATGGTAAAATACATAATGTTTCAATAACATACAACAGAATCGGTTAATATAAATATATCATATATTTGTACCAAGTCGCTCTTAATCATGATCGGAAGCAGATTCATAGAAAATCTTTAAATAATCTTCATAATCTCTTAGGTTTTAACAATCTTCAATAATTTTGTTGATATAATATTAATGTGATCGCGACACTCCATCACCCACATAGAACATATCTCCGAACCACTCATTATGTTCTTCAAGGTACCTAAAAATATATTTACATACATATAACTATTATAATGTAGATATTTATTATAACGGTCGCTCAGCTGGCGCTAATGGAAAATATAGACGTTTAATTTGATATTTGCATACGAAATAGATTCAAACGAACATATGTGAAATTAATTTTTGTATCTGGTAATGTCAATTAATGCGGTTTAGTAGGTAATTTTATTAATAAAAAAACACTACTAAGTCTCTTAAGTCTTGAATATATATTACATATGTTATGAAATAAATATTTACTGTGTTACAAAATAGACATTTATTTTTTTAAGTTTTGACAGTTATAACAATATATTATGGAATAATATACACCCCTATTTGGCTATATGCACTTTTCTTGGCCAAATCCATCAGTGTAATTTACGTGAAAACTTTTAATTCTTCATGAAGTTATAAATGAGATAAGAATATATAAAAATGTTCATCTAACAATGTAATTTATTCGCAGAGCTTGTCACACATATACTCACTGTATAAACATATCTACATGCTTTAAAACGAGTTTTAACTTAAAGTCTGGCATCTGCGTCGCGTTGAGGAAGTCCGGAAGTTTTACTAGAAACAAAAAAACATTTTATATATGGTCATATAATAATTTTATTTTATAATCTATTCAATTAATACCAAAGAGTCTCGCCAGGTGTATAGCTCCGTACACTCTACAGGGTAAATGTTCTGTGTCCTCACGAGGTATTATTTGCCATTTCGCGACCTACAAATGTAACAGAACAATTTATTACTTATATACGTGTATACTATATAGGTGTGTGTGTGTGTGTGTGTGTGTGTGTGTGTGTGTGTGTGTGTGTGTGTATCTAACCTTATCTAACAGCTGTGAGAGCGGTGTCCTGTGATTTGTGGCGGAGGGCGGGGCGCTCCTCGCCCGCCAACTCTCGCACAAAGACGAGCCACTGCTACCAACACTGGAACACAAACATTAAAAAATAAATAAGCATCGCCAGGGAAATATCGTTGTATAGATAAAATATTATATAACGAGTGACGTTGCTGACTCCGCGGAATAAAAACCAAGCTGTGTAAACCAGAAGATTCCTGATACCACAGAAGCTATGGAATGTCATTGCGATCCTAACATGAGGGCAATCATTTAGTCTTAGATATACATATGTAGGTTATAAGTTTTTATACGTACAATAGTACTTATAGTAATATACATATAAGTGAGTTTCGTAGTTTTCCTATAATCTCCGGTTGCCACCTCCACCCTATATAATTGCGATTCCAATATTTCCATAATGCAAATACAGAAAACTTAGTTCTTCTTAAATCTTCTTCTTCCTGGCAATTTCCCAGCTTTAGCCAGGGTCTGCCTTCAATACATATATTAATATTTATATATAAATGTTAATTGTTACCTCGAAGATAATGTTTCAAATGTCCTCTGTTCCCCCGTGGAGGTGGACGGAGCTGGTTCTTCGTTTTCTGATTGTGATACAACGGATTTATGGGAACGGAGCCTGTAAAAGAAAATTATTATTAAATATTACTATTATTAAATTTTTAGACTTTTGTATAGTTTTTATATAAGCACTGTTAGAATTCTAGATTATGCAAGACATTTTAAATTATTTATAATGAATGTTTATGTCTTATTAAGGAAAGATACTAAGAGGAATGGCTCATTTTGAGTATAGTTTTAAGATATCACAACCATAATACTATATTGGTTATGCTAAAACACTCTCTTATTCGGATCAGTGGCTAGGAAATTCTATTTGACGTAATATTTGATAGTTAAAATTTTTACTTACAATAGCAGTATATTTAAATCAAAGAAATAAAATTTGCGAATATAACTATAGAATAAGACATTTAAACTTGCACATAGGTTCACTTTTCATAATGCTAACTCTCAATAATCTTTATTGATGAACTAGCTTTCCGCCCGCAGCTTCACCCGTTCGTTCGTGGAATTCGCTTATATCGCATTTCCAAGAGAACCTTTCAAAAGTCTGGGATAAAAACTATCCTATGTTCTTTCTCAAGGTCAACTCTATGCCTATACCAAATTTCATTAAAATCAGTTCAGTGGTTTAGGCGTGAAAGCGTGACAGACAGACAGTTACTTTCGCATTTATAATATTAGTAGGGATATATACAGGGTGACTGGTGAATTACTATCGATACTTGAGGAAGTGATATTTGACGATCATATATGACAAAACAAAAATTAATATAACATAAATATTAATAAACTTCTAAGTAAAGTTAACCAAAAGTTATGTAATTAATTACGTATCGTGTGAACACCCTACAGATTAGGTATACACACACACACACACGCGTGCGGCGGCGTGGTGTTGTATCAGCGCGCCGCCGCAAGCGTCCACACTTGGAACACTTGGAACGTGTCCACACTTTATTTATTTATACGGAAATTTGGTCAAAAATTAAGTACCTATTTTTTTAACATAATTCGAATGAGAATCATGTACCGAGTATTCTCCTTAAATATTGATAGTAATTCACCAGTCACCCTGTATATATTTAATTATTCACCGTCTCGCCAAGCTTCCTCCTCGCGGCGCGGCACAGTGATCTAGTTCTCGTATGTCGTGTTGGTTATGTTGGTTGCACTCTCTCTGTGTGTGTTGCTCACGGTCATTTTGGCCATGTTGGTCATTCTGGCCATGTTGGCCATGCTGGTCATTCTGGCCATGTTGGTCATTCTGTTCATGTTGTTCATCGTTCTCTATAGAGCCGTCTTCACTCCGCGGCTCGCTCTTCGCTCTGTTTTCGTATTCTTTCTCATCATCTACGTCAACATCTTCGTCTTCTTCGTCGTTATCGTGTGACGCGTTCGCTGTTTCAAATATAATAAGAATACTTTAATGAGTAAAATATTTGATTGTGACTTTAATAGTATGGGCATCGAAAATTGATGTAGAAAGAAATTAATAATATATGTTTGAAAAATATTTGATAACTAACTGTAACTAATCTATGTCGTGTGACTTCATACAGAACGTAGATGTTATGCTACATTTAAGTTGGAACTAAACGGAAATTGGACGAAAATTTTATGTGTATCTATCTCACTTTAATGCCTAATCTATATAAAAAAATATTTTTCAAAATTCGTCTAGTATTTTTTTTACATATAGGAAAGCGCAAGTAGTATTTATAAATACTCATATACTTTGGCATTTAAAACACACACACACACACACACACACATATATACAGGGTGACTGGTGAATTACTATCAATATTTAAGGAGAATACTCGATACATGATTCTCATTCGAATTATGTAAAAAAAATAGGTACTTAATTTTTGAGCAAATTTCCGTATAAATAAATAAAGTGTGGACACGTTCCAAGTGTTCCAAGTGTGGACGCGTGCGGTGGCGTGCTGATACAACACAACGCCGCCGCGCGCGTATGTGTGTGTGTGTGTATACCTAATCTGTAGGGTGTTCATACGATGCGTAAATAATTACATAACTTTTGGTTAACTTTACTTAGAAGTTTATTAATATTTATGTTATATTAATTTTTATTTTGTCATATATGATCGTCAAATATCACGTCCTCAAATATCGATAGTAATTCACCAGTCACCCTGTATTTAGGTTTCTAACAAAAAATATGGTTGTCTTATAAACCTACGACTTTTAAATAGTAAATTAAATCTTGTCTCAGAGAATTTTAACTGTTTACTATCTTAAACAAAAACACCTTCACCAACTTTAATTTACAAAGACACTCACAAATTACGTTGACAAATACATTCCCGCGCAAAATGAATAAACCACCGTCACTTCGGATGCGTTTCGGAGTTTTTAAGGCTCAGTTTGAATTAAATGTGTGTTCCCTAAATAATATTTGTGAGGTGGTAAAGCCTAGCTGTGATCAATTTACTGCAGCTCGAACATGGGCCCTTTCCCTTTACCCACCTTTTCCTACCCCTTTTCCCCAATCAAGGGCGGCTACACATCCTAAAATCTACGTTGCGGATGTCCATGGATGACGGTACCACCTCTATCAGGTAAGCCGTTTGCTCGGTTGCCCTATTTTCCCATAAAAAAGTAATATCCTAATAATCCTAACCGTCGCCGTTCTCATTCCGCGCGGGGTCGGGCGGCAGGTGTGAGTAGTCCGCCAGCTTGTGGTCCAGATCGTCTTCATCTTGAGACCGGCTGTCGTCATCTTCAGGCTCCGACTTGATGTTTGGCCTGAAATATTATAAAAAAGAGATCTTGACCAAAAAAGTTCTGTTTAACATTAAATTAATTGATTAAAATCTTCAATTATATGGACTACTAGCTGCGCCCCGCGGTGTTACCCGCGGATTATCAGGTCGAACATTTTCCGGAATGCAAAGTAGCCTATGTGTTATTCCTGGACGTCAGCTTCCTGTATACAAACTTTTATCAAAATCGGTTCAGCCGTTTGAGTGTGAAGAAGTAACAAACATACACACACACACAAACTTTCGCAATTATAATATTAGTAGGATGGTGGTATGTCATGAGTATGGATAAATCTCATTTCAAAATATTTTTATTCTTTAGTTTTATTACCATGATATCATTTAAATGAAATAAACATGCATAAAATATATTATATTTTTCATCAAAAATAAATTCTTATTAAGTTCAGATAAAACATAAAAAGATATAAGATCTTTTAGGTGTTATAATACCCACTCGTCGATATATTGCCCACAGAACTGATAGTATTGATCGAGCTCTTGTTTGTATAAGAGGTGAGTTCGTAAGATGAAGTCGAAATACACGCGAAGACCGTCAGCCACCTCGCGGAGAAGGTTCAACCTGAAACGTGGTGACACGGTTATAACATCCAACGAAACAAAATAAACTTTTTAAAATACATATTAAATTTGAGTTCTTTAAGACGATATATTCACTTAAATTACAAAACATTTCTTGTATAACGTAATAACATAGAATAAAAATCTTCAAAGATAATATGTTCAATACCTGCATGAAACATCCAACATGTCAGGTTTGTGTGGTGGATCGTGCCTCGCTCTTGGCGGGTTCCAAGCACCGGCTCGAGCGAACCATTTAACGTAGGACTCCAATATCTGGGCAGCGCAAGGAGTAGCTGGTAGACGGGATAAACGGCCGCGTTTCACTACTAGATGGTAGTCGAAGGTGAGACGGTCCCTGGAAATATAGCAAGTTAGATTAAGATATTTGTTATAAAAAGTATTCGAAATTTGAATTATATAGCTTATATTTTTTTTATTTTCTTTAGACAACTAATTGTAAGAAGTCATTCGAAATTCAAATATAAACTTACATTCTTAAGTCATTTGAAATTCAAATATGTATGTATATTATAAAGGCGGAATTGTTTTTTTAATTTTTTTTAGTATTCTGTTATTAACTAATATAATTTAAATTTGCTTATTAAATTTTTCACATAATTTCTGAACCAGACATGATTATATTGAAGCACAAAAGTATACTACAGTTGGACCAACGATGCATAATCACACCAATAGATGGCGCTGTTTCGAAATACGAATATAAATTATTGACATTCGTACTAACAACGAAAATATTAACAAAAATTAAGCAAAATGATAATTATACGGTACTAAAGATTGAAAAAATATCAATTAAACTATATATAGAACATTTTCTATGACAAAAGAAAATCATTTACAAAATTTTCTAACGATCCTGAATCACGCTATCAATGTTTTTTAACGTTATGACTATATAAGAAGTTTTACTGGAATCTCTAATCGTGTCTATTGAAAGGAGAGACGGTTAGCACTCCCCTTGACAAGGATGGAACACATAAAAATGGTGAAGGCACACTTTACCACAATTTTTTTTTTATGTTCATGTTGGTAAGAAAATCAATATAATTTTTTCCATATAAATACATATAATGTACCATAATAACTTTTATTGGCTATCTAATTATGTGGCAATATATATTGCTTTGTAGATATTATTCTGAAACTTATTACTATTGAAATGTCAATATTATTATATAAATAATTAAATTCAAGTAATATATATTTCTAACCTGAGTGCAGATGGCAATGCTATGCTGGCTCGTCCTGTGTGTGAGTTTGGCGGAGAGCTCGGCTGTGTGCTTGAACCTGACGATGAATCAGTGTCAACTGTATCAGCTTCTGAAACAAAAGGTTATTCTGACTCTCACATAAATATTGCTGAATTAACTTGAATAACTTAAGTATTTATGTTATTTGTTTGAAAAATATATATAGCTTTATACAATACAGATATTATATTAATTTCATCATCATGCATATTCAATTTATCTACTGGAATCTTAGCTTATTTCTATATGGAATTAATTTATCTCATATACTTCTATTCTAATACCAATATTGTCTTAAAAGTTTTTTTTATTGTATGACTTGATATCTTATATTAAAATCATTATAACCTGAATATCCATTTCCATCAGGCTGTGTACTACTCGAAGATCCATCGTCACTGAAACCATGTCGTGGCCTTTTGGCAGGGCCGGCTGAACTAGTACTGTTACCCTTCTTTCGTTCCCGACGATACAAATATGCTCCACTGAAAATGTTTATTATTATGCTCAATACTGATAAAAAGTTTACTATTTTGTTTATTTTAGAGTTTTATTACTACCACAAGTAATTACATTACATAATTTTTACATTGATCGTGTTTTAATGCTAATATACAATACTGTTTACAGTTGTAATTGTGATTTCTCCGCTAAGTCTCTCTGTAGTTGTCTGTTTTCCTCTGTATCTTTGAGAACGAAATCTTCACTGACACATCTGTCCCAAGATGAATTCCAGCCTTGGAAATGTATCAAATACTCTACGGTTCGACGACCTCGTCTATCTTTACTTTCTATCACCTCCAAAACCTGAAAAAATCATTTATTTTCAATAGCTTACGAGAATATGTCACTTAGCAACTTCTTTTAAGGTGTATATAAATAAAATTATAGCAATATCGAAGTGTTTTAAGAAGAATACATCAATATATTTTGAAGACAAACCTTTGAATCGTATAGCACTTTAGCTTTTGTGGGGTCTGGCTCATAACACAAGACGCGTTCCCCTTCGCTGAATTTGTATCTAACACTTCTAGTAGAGACCATTACTATGGTTTATGTATTGTAATATGGTTATAACAGTTCACATCGAGTATCACGACACCGGCAACATGATTGGACTCGGAGTTATCTCAAAGAGAACTTAGCAATACACATTAAGACACACCCCATTTATAAATGGTTGATATTAAAATAAGAACACCAGACGCTTTAAAATCACTCAATCTTTCATGTGATGTATTATTAGTGTAAGTGTGATGTTTAAATTATAATTTAATGTCGCATTAAAATCTCGTCGAATGTATACAAACGTCGCGTAAACAAATCGGTTGAGAAAACAGATAACATAGCAATATAATTACGTTCAAAAATTCAATGTCAACTTAGTAACTTTCAATATTTGTGATGTTTTTAATAGTTAGAAATTATTGTGACTGTTAATTTTTATTTCAGTCCTTATTTTTATATGAATAAAATCATTAACAGATATTACATTGAAATTTATGAGTGCACTTAGAATCGTAAATTACTGTTCAACGCGGTACTTTATGAAAACCTTGCAATAATTTCTTTGCAGGCGATTATCAGTTAATAATATTTTAAAATAATTTTAGTCTAGTAAAATTTATTTAAGTTATTACAATATGTAAAAAACATGTGAATTGTTATTTATATATGAATTTATATATGTGATTGAAGGAATAGAGCATTAAAAAAACTAATATTACAATGTGTCGTAAGCAAATATGATAAGTTGATTTGCTACTAAGGATTTTTAGACGTATTATATGTAATACCTTTTTATTACTCTATTTATTAATGTCAGTGAATACATAAAGAACAATAATATACATGAAATAATAAGTTAATCAAAACGTCCTGTTTCGATTTGATGATGAAGAATCAATTTATATGATCGTGATTTTTGTTGTTGTTCAATCAAGCAAAATCTATTAAACCGATTTTCATGGGACATAACAAGGTAGCCTCTTAGTTTTTATTACAGATGCACCATTGTTATTAAAAATATATTTATAAAATAATATATTTTTTATTAATAAAAAGGAAAGCTTTGTTATTTTAATTACATAAACAGTTATGTTTCATATTACAGAGTATTGTTTTTTTTTGTATTATGAATGGTGTCAATGCGTATATATTACGAAATTACAACTGATTTGTCAGGTTTTAGGTCAATTAAATCAGGTCGGTCCCATCAGGGCCACCCACCCCTCTCGGTGACGCTGTGAAAGCCATTTATAGGGCAAACAGCATCAGTCAATTCGAAACAAAATAAAAAATAAAAACTGCCTCAGTCGCTAATACATTTTTAATATTGCTGTTTAATATTGCTGTTGAATATTGGTTTTCAATTTTAAAGTTTCTTCTTCTTAATATGTTAAAAAAAAAATAACATCATTTATCTTGCTGTTATGCAGCTGTTCATTTTAAAACAAAAGTCTTCAGTTTTCGATTTAAAAAATATAAAGTTGAATATTTGATTTGATTATTCCGTCCGATTATTTGGTTTGAAGTTTGAGTCCGTTTGATAATTCGGTTTTCTATTTAAAAAATAATGTAACGTTAAAAAATTCAGGCAGGTGAAATGCAATGTACATATAGTATAAAAAAATAATCTAAAAATTTTAATTTTATTTATATTTAAGAAAAAAACGTGTTTATTTCTAATTTTTTTTGAAAGAAGTAACATACAAGGGTTTTGTGTATAAGTTCAGTAAAGTCAAAGGTCCGTATTAGTTACATTACGCAAGTCTTGTTTGTCCCAGTCCGAAGCCGTGAGAACCAGACAAATATCAAGGTTGTGGCATCAAGATTTAAGAAGCACATGTCATTGTATGAACTTTGTTAAGTGTAGTCTTTAGCCTTGATATAAAACCTTATTTATAAACTTCATGTATATTATTTAAATTAAATGATAATGTTTTTGCCAAATGACAGATGTATGGACTAAAACGAAATCTCACAGCCTAATGTAAGAAATAAAAAATATTATCCCGGCATGATTAATGTTTTTGTATATAAAAACCGAAAACCCACTACACGCATTTTCATCTTTGTATGCTTTTATAGACCAGTGCCGATAGCTTTTAAAACATAATTAAATTATAGTAGAATGAAACTTATTAGAAAAGAAGGATAATATTATAAAAATTAAAGGAAAAATAATTTACGGGCGATCTGAGCTCGAGAAGGGTATGGGGATGGGTATTTAAGGGTAAAAAATGGGTTTTCTCGAATTCCGGCAAAACTAAAAGTCCTACGGAAAAATGTTATATGGCAAAGTTGTAGGTAATAAACAGATCTAAAACTTTTGTACTAACATTTTTTCACATAACGTCAAAATTTATGTGAAAAATTCAAAAAACCTAGTTTTTTGTTTTTTATTTTTATCTCTTCCAAAAAACAATTTTTTGTCACGAAATTTGGTGAAAAGTTTCTTGTTGATGTTACAAATACGCTGTAATTTATTTGATTATAATAATTTATTTTTTCAGCTTATTTTGAATAAATATCGAAAAATCAGCCTCATTTTCAATCGAAAAATCACCCGTCAAAATATAGGCGTAGTATTTCAAAAATTTGGTGTGTTTTCTATTCGTTGAAATCTCTATTTTCCGATGGTGAAGAAAAAAATATAAGTTTCTTACATGCAGTACCATTTTTGGATAAAATAATCATGTCTCTTTTAATGAAATGACACTCGACGTCGTTTTGAAAATGCTTTTTGTAATTTATTTTTAATAGTTTTAGCAGCTTAATGTCAATTTTCTGTTAATTACCGAAAAGAGGGACTATCTGGAGAACTTCCAGAGTACACAGTTATTAGCTTCAATATTAATAAAAAAAATTAAGGCCAGCTATTTTTATAAATATAAGAGTTATCATTACTAGATAAAAAGCAAAAATTAAATAACATAATTACGATATAAAAAATAATAATTTATTTAGCTTATTCTATTGAGTTGCTTAACGTCTTCTAAATACATTCAACTTGACATAGACTTCGTATTTTTGGTTTAATGGTGGTAGATAGGAGATGCATATGCATGGGCTGGTGCAGCATACGCGTGTACAAGAGGAGCAGCGTGTACAACAGGCGCTACCTTAGCTACTACAGGAGCTGCTACTTTCACGCCGATGGCTTCCTTACGGACTACAGCATTGAAACCGTTGTGAGGATCAGCTGTGTAGTCAACAGTGCGCTTGGTACCATCAGGGTCGACGACGGAGTAGGAGCCTTGGACGACATCACCGTCACGACTCTCGTGTTGGCTCTTGGAGTCACCGGTCAGACTGTCCTGGACCTCATAGGCGTAGCTGTATTGAGGATTCACGTCGTATTCTTCAACAGCCAACTTAGCTGCCGGAGCCACTGCGTACTTGGCAACGGGGGCAGCGTATGCTACGGGAGCAGCGTGGTAAATTGGTGAAGCAGCATGGAATGCTGGGGCAGAATAGGCTACTGGTGCTGGAACTAGACCAGCGCTGGCAGCGGCCACGAAACAAGCAAGTACGACGAACTGAAAACGAACATTTAATCGATTAATATACAATATTACATAATATTTAAATATGTACCTATATATACTCGTGTATTCAATATTATATACATATGTGATATATATTTATGAATACCTTAAAAGCCATTGTAATGGTTGTATGTTGAATGATGCATATTCGGGAGTGAATAGAGCTTTTATATTAATGTCGGAGGCTTACCCTTTCACTTCATTCAGTTGCGACGTCAGGCGGCCGTGAGCCTTCAACCTGGGCCGATCGTCTGGTTATGATAAAAAAAGGAACCCGAATATCTATAAAGGTTGAAATTTGACGATATTAGATTAATTATTAATGTGGAAGAAGTTCTAATAGGTATGAAACCTCCTTTGAAATCGATTGAACTTAATAAGATTTGCATAGAATAATTAATTGAGAATCGATGAATTTTAGTTTTGATGTTGTTTTTTTTTCATATCTGCCAGAAAAATTACCTCTAATTGTTTAAAATGTATGTTTATTATTTAATAACACACATTTGTGTATTTTTTAAATTACTTTTATTATAAAAGAAATTGAAGAATATTTTACTGTAAAGTAATTAATTGAAGAAAATATTCTTCAATTTATTATCTACTATTTAATTCACATAGTTCAAAGCAAATATATGTACTTGTTTTATTAAGAAGAAAGATTTTATATTTCTATTACCGAATTGAGCGATAAAACGTTATTTTCTATGCACCACCAGAAAAAAAATGAAGTAAAATTTATGAATTTTATAACCTTCGTCTAGTTTAAAAGAGATACAATTAATATAAGGACTTGGACTTAGAATTTGATAATGGAATTTTTGTTCCCAGTATTATTCATTACTCATGGCATAACAGATAAGTACATAAGGTATCTGTGATCGAGAACCTCGTTCTGCTAAGTCGGTTTACACGATACACGATACAGTTTGCAGTTTACACGATACAGTTTGCACTTTACACGATACACGATACAGTTTGTAGTTTACACGATACAGTTTGCAGTTTACACGATACAGTTTGCAGTTTACACGATACAGTTTGCAGTTTACACGGTACAGTTTTCAGTTTACGCGATACACGATACAGTTTGCAGTTTATATACACACACCCACACATAGATATTATAAATTATACATAATCTGTAATTATGCCACTGTGTCAACTCCATTGGGATTGCCGTGGTGGTTTACAATTGTCATATATAAAATATTCAAGCTAATGCTTTTTTATGCTTATATAAGCAGCTTATTATAAAGCTGCTAGCTACATTAAGTCAAAGGTTTCAGATAAACTACTAAAACTCGATTCAGAGTAGGTACATGAAAATTAGAATTAGATCAGATAGATCGTTAGTAATATCTCCAAAGATTATAATTGCAGTGTTGCAATTTGCATGATAGTACCTACAAAGAATATACAAAATATTTTATTATAACATAGAAAATACAAATCAATATTATGTTTAATTTTAACGTATAAAATACACGATAAAATTAAAACTTTTTTTGATCTACATAATTTCTCAACTATAAAGTTACTATGTATTATAATATTATGTCGTAGCCAGGAACAGTTAATGAAAATTGTTATAAAAACATTTATTAATTAATTTTAAAATGAATCTAATATTTTTCGGATTACAACGCGTATTTAACCGCGATCACGGTCGCTCCAAAGTAACAGAAACGTCTTGAGTATGTAGTTAAAATAATAAAATACGTGTATTTATCCGAAAAATACTATTTTCATTAGTATTAATTGTAATTATTTCCTGATATAGTTTTTTTAATGTTTTTACGGCTCTGGATACGAGTCCTTTGGAACATGTATAGAAAGTATAAGGCTAGTGCCAGCTTACATAATCCAATGTGAGCATTCATTATTCTTGTTATCGGGTACCGGTTCTAAACTATATCATGTTAGGTCACCTTTAATATATAGATCAATGTTAGTGTTATGACGAGAACTTATAATCATTGTTTATACTAACCGACTTAGCAGAACGAGGTTCTCGATCACAGATACTTTATGTACTTATCTGTTATGCCATGAGTAATGAATAATACTGGGAACAAAAATTCCATTATTAAATTCTAAGTCCAAGTCCTTATATTATTTTTTTTATCTCTTTTAAATTACACGAAAGTTATATAATTCTTAAATTTTTTTGTTTGTCTAGTACTGCATAAAAAATAACGCAGACGAAGTCGCGGGCAAAAGCTATATTTTATAAAACAGCAAAAGGTTAGAATCAAAAGGTTAGAATCAAAATTTACCAATTTTCTAATTAAATTATGATTAAAAAATATTTTCGATTCGTTGGAATCGAAAATATCCTTGCGAGAATAGCACTCCAGGTAACGACTTAAACAAAATAGACTTTATTTCGTCTATTGATAATTTTTTTATGTATGTATTGATTAATTATTTTTTTTTAAGTCAAAGTATGCGAACTAAAGTTATAAATAAATTGATTTTGTTTGTCACTTTACTGTGGTTAATCGTCCACTTATTTAGGTTTACATTAAAAAGTGAGATATATTACAATAATATTTATTTTGAAATAAATGTTACATGATGAATATGCAGATAAAGCAAAACGTGCACGAGACTCGGGCTGTTAACACACATTCGTCCAACGGACTTACAACTTGCCCTTTAATAAGCACGAAACAAATGTTTGAGACAAACCTAATATCCCTTTGATACATACATATACTATTCTAAAGTATGCGAGATCATGATAATTATCATATTAAATTAATTTAAAAACTCTTTCACCTATATTGCGCTACGTCTGATTTATAAGTACATATGTATATTGTTTTTTTTTTAAATTTCAATATAAGGTTTCAAATATTAATAGTGGCCAGTGTTATTAAAAATTCGACATATTAAAAGTTATTTTTTTAATATTATATCCAAAGAGTTTATATACCTTTTTATAATTATAAGAATACGTAAAAATTAAGTCTTTCATACTGAATGTATAAATTTATGTATGAGAAATTCATAGTGTCCTTACTCCTTATAATATATGAAAGCGTATACATTCTGAGATGAACTAAATAATAAAGTTGATCCGGTCCTATTATGTGCATTAAATCAGAATACAAAATAAAAAACTAAGGTCTACATAAAATTTTCAAGTTTATTATGCAATTTTGAGTAAAAAATTTGTTTTTTTCGATAAGATCGTTTTTAAGGATGCTTAATTCGATGGCATTAATAAATGGCGTCCAGATTAATGTTCATTAATTTTCTAAAGTTCAGAATTTCATAATAACTGAGTGATGAAGTGTACTTAATTTACTCTTTTATGTAACTCCTGCATCTTTACAATTCAGGGCAAGGTCTGATATAAGTGTGTCACTAACAAACCATACAAGTTCGATGAATTAAAAAAAAATTGTTTACAGATACAAAATAAGCATAATAAAAATAGACAATAAACAATTTATTATCTATGATTTTTATATATGGTGATTTTTTTTTTACTATATTATAATTGCGATAGAGCACATATTTTTATATTGATCGTATATGAAAATGAAAAGTTTTTTATGACATTAATAAATCAGTCGCGTCATTAACTCAATGCAATGATTGAATGATTGAGTACGCCACAGTGTACTGTTTGAAACAATAAGGAGCACAACCTTGGCACTTGGCATTACATGTAGGCTGTACATGTATGTAGAGCAGCTATAAAAGAAAACACGTTATAAAAAAATATATCCAAATTTATGATACATAAAATTATGAATTGCGTCATGCTCATATTTAAAGTAAAAAATACATTTTGAAGATATAGACAAACTTTTAAAACAGAGTATATTTCATGGTGTTATTCAGTATATATGAGTGATAGCTCTGTATTAGTCATTAATCTGTAAAATCCTCTCTTAGATCGCCCACATTTGCTCGGTACGCGTGAGTGTCATTAATTTAGGTGATTTAATCTAGACATGTTAAACAACTGTATACTATTGTTTAAATCTTGAGTCATATATTTTTTTTATACATTATTTGGCAACATATGTATATAAACAAAAATTGGTATTTATTAATAATTATATAACAGTTTGTAGAATTCTATGGTTGAATGGAATATACTTTTGTATCCATTAGCGTAATGATTTTCGCGAAACCCATGGCCAAAGATCTACATAATGGATATAACCTTACACATGTTTTTAGAATAATAACTGTATAGTTAGGAGTATTCCTTGGTGTTATTTTTTAATCAAATATTATTAAGCATTGTTATCATGGAGCTGTTTGTAATTTAGTTTTAACATTTTAATGGTGTGGTTTAAAAAAACATTGTATTTTATGTATGTGGTGAAAATTTAACATATTTTTTTTTGGAATGTACGTAACAGATTAAACAAAATAAAAACATTTTTTTCTTTTTCATGTATCTTTTTTTACATTTTTCTCATATCATTTTTAATTGATTTTCATTATCTAACGAGGAACATAATGTTATTTCAATGATAATATTCTAGCGATTCAAATTTCACAAAATAATAGTACACACAAGTATATCAATAGTTACATATACCAATAATGAGACTACAATAATTCAATTTGAATTATTTATGAGATGTTTCCAAAAACTTATCGCAGCGAATGTAACTTAGAATGTTATTTACCGACAATATTTTTTTAATAATTTAAATATATAACGTTATAGCGTTGTTAAGTGAAAGCATATAAAAAGGTAAGCATTATTTAAATATCGCCTTTTTGAGTCTGCGCCAAAATTTACATTATACAATGGCACTGTTTCTTGCAAAACGTGAAAAGAGTGCAGGGTCAGAAATACATATGCTAATCAAAAAGATTACACAGATAACTCAGTAATGCTTTTGATGAATAAATTCAAAAAATTTTACTATACTCTCTGACCAAGGTTTTTTAAAAATATTTCTAGCAACGAGGATTAAATTCTTTTTGGTAATACTTTATGTACTTAATTAAAAATACTTTGTCCTTGGATGTTTGTAAAAAAATTTTAGTTTTGCATCCTATATATTTTGGTGCAATGATACAATACTTAAAAGATATATATTTTTCTTATAAAAAAGTACATTTTATATAGGTGCTAGCACCTTAATTTTCTATTATCGTTTTTTCATTCAAACTATTTCAGTTGTACGTAATTACGAGGAAATTCTTTTTAGTTAATGAGATATAAGACTTTCGCGAGTGTTCATTTAAATGAAACTAAAATTTTTCGGATTATACTACGCCTATTTTATTATTTTTAAAACTGCATCCTCACAAAGTTTCGGTTACTTTACAGCAACCGTGATCACGGGCAGACGAGATGTGATTTTATGCTTGAAGTCAGATCTAAATAAAGGCATATCTAGCCTTTTTGCTGAATTATGAATTTCATTAATTATATATTTATTGATAAGAAGTTATCGTCATAGTTCATGTAACAGTATCGTTTCCAGCATTTATAATAAATATGTGTAACTAGCGTTGCATGCGAGTGGAATGCATAACAGAAAGGTCGCCACACGATAAACTACGACGTATCGTGTTTACACGTGAAGGTGGCAGGTTGCATCATTGATATCGATTTAAAATACAGTACCCTTAATACAAGCTTCAAAAGTTGGACGAAATACGAAGAGTTTAGCTGTTTTCATTCATCAACCTAAGCTATACGATCGTTTAAGATGATTTATTGAAGGAAATAATATAAATTCTCATTTCGTATCATGTTGACATGTGTTCAGATTTGGTACGAGCCAGATAAAATCTATCAGAATAAATTGGAAATATACAAGAAGTGACATTCGTCACAGAAGAATCGCTAATAGGAAAATATCGTACCTAGGTATAGTCAACAGACAATAGATATGGTATCTATAAGTATATATTATATATCTAATAATATTAAATAAACATTTATGATTTACAGTAAAGATAGTTGTTTTTTTTTGGATCTAACGAATCAAAATTCCTATCATGGGAAACAGTTACCTTTTCATAAAGTAAATAATCATTTTTACACTTTAAACTCGATTTTTCAAAAAATAGTATTAAAAAAGTAATTAATATATATTATATAACGTTAGTACATAACTGCACCAGTTTGTGATTTAAAATTTACCTGTCCTAACGAAATTATTCTTTAATATTCAACAAAATATCCTATAACGTAAATATTACAATACGTATGTATTTATTTCAAAAACAACGCTCCCTATTTATCAGCCAGCGGTTTATTATTGAAAATCTAAGTATCTTCTTTTATTTAGTTAATAATTTTAAGGAAAAAGTAAAAATAAGCAATAAGATATTCACACATGCTTTTCGTCCTCATAATATTGGTTACATGATCTACAACTGTCAGCTAATGTGAAGGCGAAATGTTCTAACTATAATGTCATCTAGTGATATTAAATGTTTAAAGGCTATTTGAGAAAGTGTCACAGAATATAAATATAAGTTAGGCAGCTATATTTATATAATTTCTGCTTACATTACGGAAGTAATACGTAACTTCCGTTGTCAGTTTAGTAACAGATATTTAAAAAAAAACAACTAATTGTAAATTAATGAAAAGGTACATTTACGTACATTTACAATTACATTTACAGGCCTAAACTAATTTTGTCTACACAGAATTACATTATACTTGATTCTTCTTCTACCTGGCAATTTGCCAGGTTTAGCCAGGGTCTGCCTTATATATTGTCTATAGTTTTGGCTAATAATTTTATACGACCGGCCGCCTCCCTGACATCAACCCTCTTTGGGAATGCATTAATCAGTGATGTCTAAATACTCTTAGAAAGTACATGTGACTCGGAAAAATCACATTGGTACTTGCCTTGCCCAGGATCGAACCTGCGCCCTCGTGCATGAGAGGCGGGCCTCTTAACCACTGGGCCACCACTGACATATTATACTTGATTGTTCGTAATAATAGCATATGTTATATGGATGTATGAGACTATAATTACTACTTAAAGGAAATAAATCTACATAACTATTTATTCATTTTTGAAAACTTTCACTATTAAAATAATTTTTTTGAATTTTAGTTACTGTAATATTAAGCCCTCGTAATAATATTTCTTATAACTAAGTAAAATAACTCTTATTTTCACTTCATTACTTTTATTCTTACATAACTAAAAGTATAATATTCTTAATAGTTACTGGATGAAAAATATTAGAGGCCATTATTTGTATATTTTACACAAATAAAAAAAGAGATGTGTGCAAGTAATATTAAAAGCTTGAGGTCATTTTATAATATTCCAGTAGCAACACGAAATGTATCATGGGACGCATTGAAGTGCTGTTATCGGAATCTTGCGCAAGCACTGGCAGCCTTGCGAAGGACGCTGCGCACGCGCAACTCGGAAAAATTACCCAGCAATTTCATACGTTCCAGGGCCAGGGTTGATTACATACATACATAATTTTTTAAAAAGTATTAATCATTAATTTGCTCATTGAATAATGCAATAAATGTTTAGAAATTTATGAGGAACTATAAGATAACTATGAAATACATTATAAATCTTTTTAATTCATGGTTCCGTATAATAAATGTCTTTAATTATTATTATGTCAATAGGAAAAATGAAGCTACTTTTGTTATTACAATCTGTTCGTGAATTTTTTTTCTAATATTTTAGTTATGAAATGAGCAAACTACATATAAGAGATGAGATATGACTTTTGCGAGTTAATTTGACGAAACGTCGGGTATAGGTAGTTTTGAAAATACTAAAATAACGCTAAGTAAATTTAGCTTAGACAAAACTGATTTTTGTTGACATTTTTATAGATTTTTAAGTATAGAATATTTCTGAGATCTAAGATTTTCGCGAGTATACTCGTCTGCCCGTGATCACGGTTGCTGTAAAGTAACCAAAACGTCGGGAGTATGTAGTTTATAATCAAAAATGATAATCGGGTAGTAAATACGAAAATTGTTTCACATAAATAGAACATTTCTTTAGTTACTTTAGTTATAGTTTTTATTAAACATAAGCAACATTGCTGTTGACAATATACATATTTTAAAATCTTTTATACTCTGTTGCCTTTACCACAAGCGTACAACATTCTTTGAAACTTATGTTCGACAATTTATGAATAAAAAATTCTAAATACGTTATATATCTACGGCGATACAAACTTGTAGTTATGGTCGAAATTTCAGAAGTGGTATAAAACTTCAATAATTGAATGGCAATTACAATACAAAAGTATAATGCCGTTTGAAGTACGACGAAATAAGTTTTTCCGTTTAGACATATTACTGGAAAGTCGATTAGTAAATAGAAACGTTCAACAATACTGACAGTTACTTAGATCAGAAAATGTTATTAAAAAAATAATAAAATAGTGATGTCCACTTAAGTCTTTTTACGAATAACATCTAGTGACTAAATAATGAGCCTTTTTTAGATTTAAATCGGTTTTATTCTTAACAAAAATTTAATTCGTAAGACAAGTGAAAGTAAAAGTAACGAAACAGATATTCAAACATTACGGATACTTCTATTCATATGAGAATACAAAATTTTCAGCTGCTTATGACACCGTTAAGAGAGGACTAATGAATCATACATTGTTTTAATTTTTGGTAATGCTAAATGTCTGTAATAAAAATATAATAACTCATTTCAATAATAAAAAGAAATGACTTACCTTTGAACTATATATGTATGTAATATATTTAAGCGAATGCTTCAAGTAAATTCTTCTAGCAATATCTATGATTCATTCACATATGCAATAGTTTATAAGATCCACATAGACAATTAAGTTACGTATGTATACTATGTATGTATATGTCTTGTTTAAAAAGTGCATACGCTATAGAGAAACGCAAATTGTAATATTTCGTAACTAATTCGAGGCACGAACTGAGCGAGTTTCAAATGGCAGCAATATAAAGTGTAACAACTTTAAATGTGGATCACTGTTTAAAAATAATAAAATATACATACATATGTATATGTTTGTGTTATATGTTAGTATAATAACTTAATTTTTGATGATATATGAACTCATTGAAATACCATACAAGTAGTATTTGGAATAACTAGTTGAAGATTTCTTTGCAATATAATTTTCATTCTCTATTAGTGTACATTATTATGTTACTATCAAATACTTATTCTGTTACATTTTTGTAAGATACTAACTACAATATGACAAAAAAAAAATGTACGGCAATTTATATTTTAATTCATTGACAATATAAGAAATAGGCGTGAACTTCAAATAATACAACTGAAAACAAGTTTATATGTAGAATTGGATGAAAAATTGGCGTGACCGCGATGTTTCACAGGTCCGTTGGTTGCACAAGTAGCGTCTTTGTTTACGTGGCATTGTCCAGCGTACCCATCTACCAGGCTCGTACGTGCGTACTTGAAGATATTTAAATTTGGAGATGCCACCAGGATGAGGCAATATATGAACGGTTTAGTATAAATGCTGTTAGTGTCCAACAAGGGATATACAGTCCACAGCTTCTAGCACCCTTGTGTACACCACAGCAAAACAACAAACAAAAATGTTCAAGGTATAATAACTCAATGGATTTATGTGAAGTGTTATCGTGATAGTGAATCGATCGAAGTGATACGAATATTAAAGGATGTTTTATACTAATATAAAAATACTATATAAAGTTTATATCATAAATAGTTTGTGTTTAAAATCAGTGTTTATAAATGTCAGCTATATAATTGTTCTGAATCGGTGTTATCCAATGATATATATACGGTTTTAAATGTTTCAGCTTGCAGTCTTCTCATGCTTGGTAGCTTTGAGCTACGCCAGTGTGGCACCGGCAGCCATTGCAGCGGCACCTGTATACGCACCTGCAGCAAGATTGGAAGAGTTCGATCCTAGACCACAATACAAATTCGGATACGAAGTAGCTGACAGTCTTACCGGTGACTACAAAACCCAAAACGAACAGCGTGATGGAGATGTCGTGCTTGGACAGTACTCTCTTGTGGAACCTGATGGCACTCGCCGCATCGTCGACTACTCCGCCGACTCTGTAAACGGATTCAACGCGGTAGTACGCAAAGAACCCCTTGTTGCCGCCGCCCCAGCGGTTGTCGCTGAAGCCGAAGTAGTACCCGCTCGTATCGCCGCTGCCCCCGCTGTGGCTGTCGCTGAACCAGTAGTCGCTAAAGCAGTCGCCCCAGTCGTTGCTCAGCCTGCCCCAGCAGTATTTGCTGCTCGTTACGCTGTGGCTCCCGCTGCCAGATACGCCGTAGCCCCTGCTCCCGTATTCGCTAAATACGCTGCAGCTCCTGTAGCAGCTGCTCAATACGTTGCTGCCCCTGCTGCTAGATACGTTGCCGCTCCCGCCGCTCAATACGTAGCCGCTCCTGCTGCCCAATACGTTGCCTCATCTGCCCAATACGTTGCCCCCGCTGCCCAGTACGTTTCTGCCCCAGCTGCCCAATACGTAGCTGCCCCAGCGGCTCGTTATGTCGCCGCCCCAGCTGCTCAATACGTGGCCAGTCCAGCAGTATACAGTGCTCGATATGCCGCTGCTCCTTTAGTGTCAGCAAGATACGCTGCTCCCGTAGTATCCTATGCCGCTCCCGCTAACCTCGCTGTGCCAGCTACATATGCCGCACCTGTAGCTGCCGTCCCAGCTGCCCCCGCCCGTCTTGCTGCAGCCCCCGCTGCCCCCCAAGCCCAAGCTGCTGCTCCAGCGAAACTCGTCCAAGGCGAAGCCGCTGGTTACCGTTACCCTTAAACAGTATATAAAAATAATTGGCTGAATTTAACAAAGACTTGTTTTGTACATAGATTAATAAACATTATATTTGTCTAATTACACTTTTATTTTCTCATTTCCTTTAAACTATTTTGTGATGGAAGTTTTTTCCGTTTTGGTGAAAATATTTTTTTTTATATGACAAATGTCTTAGATGTCAACAACAGAAAGTGTTTAATATAGCATAATATGAACTTTTAACACTTTTAACACAATCATAATATTCTATATTTGGATCAGTACTTTACAATATTTTTAATTAAATGTAAATAATAATTAATTACTAGATATTGCTCAGTTAAAATATTTTTATGTCAATATTATAAATATTTTATAGTAAAAGGAATTAAAATTAATTTCAAACCGAAATATTAGAGAATAATATCAAAGAAAGAATCAATCCCCGAGGTAGTTAGACGCCCGAGCGCAGCGAAGGCGGCTATGGTCCGAGTTGGAATTGATTCTTTTACAAAAAGAAAATAAAACTAGTAGTTTATCCGAACTAAGTATTTATTAATAATATATAATAATTTTGAATATGGAATTCACCGCGTATTTGTTACAGTCTATTCCGATCAAAGAAGTTCACGCCAAAGATAATATACTAGTTGCGCTAAGTAAGTTCACACTGGCTGTTCAGAAACTCGCATGAAATCAGCATTTTTTTAATTTTTACATATAATGGCACCGCTGACAGTAGTTGTATTATTGTAATTCATTCCAGCCCTTGGGTGGAAAGTAATTTGTATGAGATTTTCCCGCCCTAGGGAGGGAAAAAGCATTTTTCCTAAATATTTGAGTAATCTTAAGTTTATATCACGCGAAGAGACAAAACAAGAGTTAATTAAAAATGTCCGATTATTTGGTTTTTAGTATATCACTAGAAAAGTATTAAATACCTTACAATAAGTCCTCTATAATAATCTATATGACAATGGCAAAATATATGACTCTGGTTCTTGTACAACAAAAGAAATTAATAATTTATTTTAAATATCTTCGTTAATTTTCAATGTAACTTTAAATTGATATGTCTATAATTAAACATGAAAAGACAAAGATTCTAAAGTATATTCTATCTTTAATGTCTCGATTATCAGTCTATTTGATAGCGTACTCAGAAGGTAGGAAAAGTGAGATATGAAAACGGTTTTGACTTTGTTTTCCATTTTATCTAGTAAAATTTGAATAACGGAATAGAAAAATATAGTTTGTTTTTCTGTTTATATCATATTAATTGACTTATGAAGTAATAGATTTTTTATGGTTATAATTTTCATAGATACAACAAGTGCGTTATCTAAATATATGTTTGAATAAAATCGGCAAAAAGGGCTTTTTAATATGATTGATTAGATATGCAAAAACTCATGTATTTAAGACTAGGACATAATCTCGATTGATCTCTCAATAAAATCTTAAAGTCCTGTATTCACTACGTCAGAACTGAATTAAGAATTGAGAAAATATAAAACGTCATAAGAATGATAGGCTGTACTTTAATATATTTATTTATTATGTTTGATATAGTTACAGATAACAGATTAAAACAGATACATGAGATAGTACTTAAGATATTTAACAATAAATCTGCTTTCCAATTACAACAGTAGGCACAGCACTTCAGTGTGTAAAAGATGTAAACACAACTAGACGCAATCAACAAAAGGTAAAAAATAAAATAAAATAAAAAATAAAAATGACTTAAATGACTGCAAAAGGATAAAAAAAAGACTAAAAAAAGTAAGACTAACTACTTAATTCCAATTTATACAAAGACAATTTAAAAGAATTAAAGCTGCTTTTAAACAAATCACAATGATATTCCAAATTATTGTATAGCTTACACATTTTGTGAATAGGATTATTCTGTGATGCTTTATTGGTTGTAGGTGGTATGCTAAATAGCTGAGGTCGACGTACTGATCTTTTGGGAATTTTAAAAGATAGGTTTTCCAATATTGGACAGTCCAGACCACCATTAGCCACCTTGTGTAGGATACACAAATCTGTTATAAGTCTACGGTCCTTAAGTTAATGGAGGTTTATTTTGTGGGCAAAGCAGAGGAAAATAGTAAGTCTCTTCTTCTACCTGGCAACTTCCCAGCTTTATCCAGGGTCTGCCTTACATGTTGTGAATAGTTTCGGCTAATTGTTTCTACGACCGGCCGCCTGCCTGACATCAACCCTCTTTGGGAATGCATTAATCAGTGGTGTCTAAATACTCTTAGAAAGTACATATGACTCGGAAAAATCACATTGGTACTTGCCAGGATCGAACCCGCGTTCTCATGCATGACAGGCGGACCGTTTAACCACTAGGCCACCATTGACTTAGAGAACAATAGTAAGTATTTAATAACAAAAAAAATCATATGAGTCTACGAAATATTTGAACAAAACTGAATAAAAATCGCTTTTTGTATCAAACGCCAATAGTGTTAAATGATGAAGGATTTTTCCTTTAAGTACATGAAAGGAATAATACATTGTGTTTAATTTTTACGTAAATATTTTATACAACTTATACATAAAACTAGTTTTAATTTTGAAGTACCGAAATTGTAGCGAAGTGTAACAGATAATCCCAACTTCATAGGTTTTGTACTTTTGGATAGAACTTGAAGTATGTTAGAGAATTGAATTTGAAACAGAGGATAAGACAATATTGTGCGAGTATATTCACAATTCAAACACAAATACCCGTAATTTTTATTTTTAAGAATCAAAAGTCACAAGAAAGTCTTTGTAATCACGTTAGTATCGTAATAAGGGCCACGGACGGAGGAAAATTATAGGAACTTAATTTACTTAAAAAATATATTTTTAAACTTATAAATAAAATAATAATAAATGTATGTAGGGAAAGTAATATTTTTACATTTGTATATGGAATATTGAATCGGGAATCTTCTTGGATGTTATGGTAAGATGATAGAGGAAACAGTTTAAAACTGTACATAATAATTAATTTGTTTTACTAAAGTTCTAAACTGCATCATCATATAAAATTATAAACAGTAAATTTAATTATCGTCAAATAATGTATTTATATATCGGGGCTATCAGCTTTAATAACGGATGCGACATGAAAATAATTTAAGCCTGTCATCAATTCTTATTAAACCTCATTAGTATTTATGATTATTGTTAAAAGTAAAACGAAATCAAAGGAGAATAGAACTATGTTTGAATCTTGTTATAAATATGACTTCTGGACGCACGACGGCAGACTCCAGAATTGAGAATTCAGAGTTCAGTGAGTGGGTATCATTGAAGTATGTGATTATGAAAATCCTTCTAGAAATACAGGAGCATTAAGAACAATTGCAGTTTCATTTTAAAATATCATGCAACGCTCTAGAAGAAGTGACATTTGTAATGTCAGCGAGGCTGGCGTCTCTCTCTTTAAAAACAACGAATGTGTAATAAATCCGATATATACATTTTTAATAAAACTATTACTTCTATTAAGATATATGTATAGGTATAAGTATCACGAACAGTTTTGTAGGTATAAGCACCTATAAAACTGTTCGTGATTCCATGGAATTCACCTGATTTATTCCACTACAAAATGCTGAGTGTTGAGAGTTCTACATAATCAAACAAAATATATACATATATTAAAAGCAATCACCACTTTCATTTCTATATTTTTAAAGAAAATTAACTTGACAATATAAACTAAGTAATAAATAATATGTTTTATTTTTTAATTATTCATATTCATTAATATTAATATAGTATTTTTATTATTCTCATCACTTATTTAAAATGTAGGCAAAAATTGTAATTTTTTTTCTAAGCTGTATAAAGTATGCCTTAGTCTTAATCTATTTCACTGCTTTCTGCGTTTCTCAAAAAACTATTACTTCAAATTTTGCTATCTAGAGTCAGTATTAGTTTAATCTCTTAAATATGTTAAATTAAGATTTAAATATATGTATTTAATTAAGATATTTGTGTCTGAGAAAAACTAGATCAAGTTATTCTCAGGCACAGACTTTACGCCATTCGAATTCAAATCACGTCTTTTTTACTTTTTGTTTAAAGTAGTGTATTGCCACAAAAAGGAATAGTAGAATTAAAATATTTGGAAAATTATTTGATTATCTTTATAACAAGGCTTAAATTTCTCAATAGAAAACTTATCGCTTTGATGAAAGTCTAAAAATTGTATTATAATAATTTATATCTCAATTATAATTAATTTAATAACTTCTACAAAATGGCGACCCATCAAAAATTTTCGTCTATGACCCATATAAAGAGTTACACCATTTCATTCACGTTACGAATTGTCGATATTAAGAAAGCATATTATAAATTGTATTGCGAGTAACTTTCTTCAATGAGCCACCTGTATTTTTATCACGTGCCTTGTTACGTAGCTGTGTATATATAACGCTGGCTGCCCCAGGGAAGTCACAGTTCATCATCAGACACTGCACAACCCCCTAAACAAACAACAATGAACAGCAAGGTGAGAAAATTTGCTTATTATACTTAAATTTTAATAATAATAACATTTAATAACTAGTTTCAAGTATTACGCAAGGTTCTTCTAGATTTCTATAACTTTATATTCGTATAATATCAATAATTAAACCGGGATATACTCTGATCTGGCCTAGACCGAAGGCAGACCTGTTATTATCACAGAAAATCATCATTTATTCATCATAATTTCAAAGTGGTCCAAGCAACACGCAAGAAGTTAGATAGCATCTAATGTGGCGTACACGACAAGACTTCTGATTGACCAACTCTTGGAATCAGAACGTTTAAAACATTTTATTACTTGAGTAATAATTATTTCAATGATTGATTTCCATCAAAAATTTAACATCGTGTTTTTAACAAGATAAATATTTATAAAATTATTTGACCCAAACATAAATTATACTTAAATTTTTTGACCAATAATCTAATTTACAATATGATAGATGAAATCCTTGTAATAACTAGGTCACTTCCTCATAACATATCTTTTAATATTCCTAACGAATAAAATTGCAAAATTGACCCTTTCTTTTGATCGGGACATGTCGCAAGCGTGTATACGGCGTATGGAGCACGGTAAACGGTACGCGCATTTTAATGTGATCGATGAGTTACATAATTTATAGGTTAAATGTTGCGATGTTATTGAAACAATTATTGTCTTTAATAGTAATTAGTTGCTCTAGTATATTAATAAATCTTGGGCCTGGTGGCCTAGAGTTTAAAGGTCCGTCTCTCGTACATGTGAGCGCGGGTTCGAAACCAGGCAAGTACTAATGTGATTTTTCCGAGTCATATGTACTTTCTGAGAGTATTTAGACACCACTGACAGACGATGAAGGAAAACATCGTGAGGAAACCTTGACTTATTATTTCAAATTATAAGTTTGAAATCACCAAGTCGTTTTGAGCAATCGTGTGATTAGTGCTCAAACCTTCTCCATGTGAGAAGCTATTGCTCAGTAGTTGGCTCTGATAGGATGATGATGATGATTATGAATACAAATATATTTTATATCATCCATTTTGTTTACAGATTGTAGTATTCATCTGCGTCTTTGGAGTGGCCGCCGCCAGCGTTGTCGCTCCAGTACCGGTCGCCCGAGTTGAACCCTTCCCTCAATACTCCTACGGTTACAATGTTCAAGATTCTCTAACTGGCGATTACAAGGGACACCAGGAGCAGAGGAACGGAGATGTTGTCACTGGTTCATACTCGGTCGTCGAACCCGATGGTACCAGAAGGATTGTTGACTACGCTGCAGATTCTATCAATGGTTTCAACGCTGTTGTACGACGTGAGCCATTAGTTGTAGCTGCAGCAGCTAAGGTCATTGCCCCAGCTCCCGTTGTACCAGCCCCTGTGATCGCCAGAGCACCCGTCTTCGCCCCAGCCCCCGCACCCCTCCTCGCCCCAAGACTACCTTACTACTTCTAGATGAAATATTACAATTTTGTTGTGTTGCTGTATATAACTATTAAACGTTAAGGCCCTTTTTTTTGATAATTGTTATTTATGTATTAAATGAATTCAAATTATATGACATTTTATTTACCAATAATTGAGATACGTCAAAAAAATGACAATGGAGAATTTTTAGAAGAATGATTTTAAGCACTATAACCAAAAATCACGTATAATATAAATACGCTTTCATTGAACATTTTATAGTAAATTATTTGGTTACAAATACATAGTTTCTAGCTAACAGATCTGTTTATAAATGGAACAACTTGATTTAAATTCTTTATCTTGAAAACATAGAGATGACATATACGATTTTAAAGTACTAGGAGACAAAGGTGGATAAAAACAAGACTTATTCTTGTAACAAGTTTTGTATAATATAAGAAGAATAACATAGTAAATACTTTATTCGCATTTCAAAAAAAATATCATTTCATATCATTTCATATCATCATATCATCATATCATAACTTAAAGGACGCTTTAAACTTTGGCTTAAAGTTTAAAAATTCTAATGTTAGTAGTTTCTATGTGTCAAATATGACAGTGACATTTCATTTAGTCGCTCTATATGTCAAGTAAACAAAAATAAACCAAAAGTATCCTCCAATTGAGTTTAGTTTGACTTCTATAAATATATAGGTCCATGCAATACAGTAATCCTGTAAAATAATGTAAACAAAGTAATTAATATTAACAAAATATTGTTGAACTTGATCATAACTGACAACAGAAATTATGCCGAATGAGAGCGATGACCGCGTGACGTATCTTCGTAACCTTGCCACAGTGTGTTCAATTAAAAGCGAAAGCAAAAAGCTCCATACTCCAAGTTCATTTACCGGAGCAATCCTTACGTCACTTTCCAGTTGAAAGATAAGCCATCTTCTACAAGGCTTTTCTTTTACACGAATATGATTTTTAATGTTTTTATTGCATCATAATTATTTTGATTATGTTAAACAAAATAATTGTGCTCGACTAAAAATAATTTTAGTTATACGAAAATCGGAAGTACGTATTAGTAATTTTACTTTTTAATTAGAAATTTTTAATTGTTAAACATATATTCTTATATACAGAATTTTTTGTGGCATGAAATTGAAATTGTTTATTAAAATATTAACGCAAGTAGAATTTTTCGTAACACGAAACAATAATCTATATTAATGAAGAAATACGAAATATTCTTGTTATAAATTTAGTACAACCTGTAGAAAATAAGCTTAATATATTAAAACAATGTCTTAGGAATACTGGTAATGGGAACATGAATCCGTTTAAGTCTTTTGGCACAACGATCAACATCGTCTGGCTTGAAGCGTTTGTTTGTGTTTTAAAATTCTACGCGTTGTTACTATTTGACTACAATAACTGTTTTAACATAAGAAATTAATTAAACAACAACAATCTTATCTACATTCATTTAATTATCATTTGATTCCTTAACAATAAAATATTTTAAATGTCGATTTATTTTTCATGAAATTACCGTATAACAATCTTCTTCTTCTTCTTCCTGGCAATTTCCCAGCTATAGCCAGGGTCTGCGTTACATGTTGAGAATAGTATTTTTTTTTTTGGCTATTTGTTTTTACGACCGGCCGCCTGCCTGACATCAACCCTCTTTTTGGGAATCAACATTAATCAGTGATGTCTAAATATTCTTAGAAGTACATATGAGTCGAAAAAATCACATTGGTACTTGCCCGGGTCAGGATCGAACCCGCGCCCTCTTGCATGAGAGGCGGGCCTTTTAACCACTAGGCCACCACCACCGTATAACAATCATACACATATAAAATTGGGTAACAAATATACAAAAAAAATACATACAAGCAAATTGAATGTTTAAAGGTGGTATATACATGATAGATATGTCTCACAACCAGCCAAAAGTCATAAGAAAACAACTAAATCAATTAAATATATAAATGTGTATATATATTAATAAAATTTACATTTCTTAAACTTACTATCTACAGATACGTATGAGTGTACGATTACTCCAATAAGAGTATTACAATGACATCTCATTTCTTGTGTGGTATCAGGAAACTTCTGAATCACATTCCAGGTATACATTCCGCGGAGTCAGCATCTATAATTGTTATATGATATTTATAATATCTATACTAAGGGTTGCTCTGGCGATGCTTGTTCAAGTTTAATTGGTTTAAAATTTGACATTGAATATATTTTACAAATAATTCTATTTAATTAATAACTAGAAGCTTTACTCCATCTTGAGGATTTTTTTTATAATCAGTGTAGCACTATCAAAATATAATTCTTTTAATTATAAAGAAAATTGTGGCAAAACAAAAATTTAAGGTACCACACTAAAATAATATTTAACGTCAATAGCTATTCACGAACTATAGGATGTATAAAATTTTATATATTTTACAAGAAAAAGTCTAGAATAAACGATGATTATTCGTGTTATACTTCTTGACCTACAATTTCTCTGTATAAAAAATGTCACTCGATGCGACGTGAACGAAGTACAAGAAACATAGTACTTTCACATTCATATATACATTTTAGGTAAAAGCCGGTAAAATAATAATCCAAAAATAAATACTAACTAAAATTATATTTTGAACAGAATTAAATCAGGAGTAGTAGTACTAGTAGTAGTCTCTATTAAATCTTAGATCTTATAAAGCATTTTGAGATAAAATAATTTTATTGAATATGTATTAGATGCCTCACGTTTAGTTTATCCTTTATTTTATTTATTTACTTCATGTGTAAGATATATATACAAAAAACCTTTATGCTAATGTGTAAGTGATTTGTTAGCTTCATTTGTAATTTGCCCAAATTTTTTTTTGTTTCCCAAATGATCAAATTTTATAAGATTATTTATTAGTGTACGTTTTATATATACAAATCTGCTATGTAAGATATAGCTCGTAATAATCTTTTATTTATTTTATATAATAAATAACTACTTTTACTTCATAATAGGTTGTCTTTTAGACTTAAAAATTATATCTTCTGCAGTGAATGACTGAAATTATAAAGGAAAATAATGCTCTATATTATTAATAGGTTCTTTTTAGGGTTCCTTATTTCTTTTCCTTCTTTAAAGTTTTTTAAGTTACCGTCGGATAAAAAATTCTTTATTCCATAACATAATTGTTTAATGTGTCACTAAAAGATAATTAAAGATTTAATATTTTGTTTACAAAAGAGACAAAAATATATTAATATGTAAATCTAGTGATATCAAACGTTACATACATTGTTAGTTAAGAAAAGACATTGAAAATCTAAATATCAAATAGTTGGAATCCGAGTGTTTTAGATTTCGGTGGTTTAGGAAGGGAGCGTTCTGGGCCTGGGATAACAGATAATCCTCTTTGGCGATAGCGTTTACGCTCCGCCCGAGCTTCACCAGCTTCTGGCTTACGAGGTAGAACTGAAAATCTTCTACCAGGAGGTACTGTGGACATTCTCTTGAATAATACTTGAGTTTCAACGCTCTGTGGTTCGTCCATAACATTTATAATTTGCCTCTCACGTTGTATTATAGCTTTCCTTTCATCAGCGGTCACAGTCTCAGAGGCCATTTCAGCACATTTAGCTAAGAATGCTTGAACACGTTCGGGGTCTTGTAGCTTCTTTGAAAACTCATAAGCTTCTTCAACTTGTATGCGAACTTCATTAGAATTTCCCTGTTGCATGTCACCGCTCATTAAAACAAAACATCCATTAAGCCACCAAGTCACATTACTAATCTCTTGAGCTTCACGTTGACAACGCTTTGCATAAAACTTAGCCAGAGCATAATTCTTTTGGGTACATAACAACCGTGATAATTCATACATTAACCAACATTTCATTGTTGAATTCTCACACATTTCCAGAGAGGCCATTACTTTTGCAGTGGCTTGTTTTATATCTATAAACTTGTACGGATAGTTAGCCATTACAGAATCAAATGAAGTTGGACGTCCAACTGGCAAACCCATCAGGAAAGCTATACGTCTTCTATTACCACGTTCACTGAGAGTATATGATAAACGATGTTGACACAAATATCCTTCTCCAACCGCTCGATACAATCTATCCGTATAAATTTCTTTATCTGGTAGAGTACGTGGAGTTTTAGCATCCAAGAATAATTGCATTCTTTCAGCTTGTGCAATCAAATCCATTACACGCTCCTCACGCATACTTTTTTCAAGTTGTCTGAGAAGTCTCTCTGCTGTTCGAGCTCCTATCTCCCGTTCTTTAATTAATACTTCGTCTTTATACTTGTTCTGATATTTGGATTCCGCCTTCTCAGCCAATTTAATGGTATAATAAGGACGTTGGGAACGCAACATATCTTGCCTTTCACTTAATGATCTTAGAGCTTCCCTAACTATTTCCTTTAATTCTATACTTCCACCTGAATTAGCAGATTTTAGTCTTGGATCTTCCATAAGTTGTTGTAGGAAAAATTTATCGTATGCCATAGGCCCTAAATACTTCATAGCTAAGACACGAGCTAATGTTAAATGTTTTCGTGCTTCCATTTGAGTGAGCTTCCTTTTCTTTTCTGGCCGCGGTATTCTAGATACGTGTAAAGGTTTTTGAGGTCCATCCTCGTCAACCCTCGCCGCTTCTGTTTGCTTTATTAATGGCAAAAATTCAATCATTACATTGCCAGCGTTAACACCTATGCAGTCTTGAATGGTTTCTACACCTTGATTTATACCTTCTATAAAGTATGGTGGTTGCCGCCGATGTCTGGCACCTCGATAGTTCATTACTACCGATCTTTCGAAATCAGACATTGTATACATAGCTCGTGCTTGCATATTTCGAGCGTTCATGTTTCCGGGAGCAAGTTTAAGAGCAAGTTCTGCGTCGGAATAAGCTTGAACTGGTTGGACGGCATCCGCACATACTTGACTCCTACCCGTGAGCATACGAACATCATCTGGAGCATTCCTAAAGGCTTCATCGTAAGAGGCTTTCGCTTTCTCAAATTGTTCCAAGCGTCTTAGATATGCGCCTCTTTCTCGATATACTGTTAATGCCCCGTAAAGTTGTTTTTCCTCCATTGTTTTTGTTATTTCCTACTTTTTAATATAAATTTCTTAAAAACAGTACTTTTACGACTTTCAATAATAACATTTGTTGATGATGTTTACAGAAGTATTTTAATTGTTATGACAGAACGAATGTCTTTAAAAAAACTGTTTTAATATTGAACCTCATTAGACCAAATCATTTTTTAAAAAAGAAACAATCTACTTCAAACCAGGGCCTAAAACGTAAATTACTTAGCACAAAGTACTAAGTATTCGTATTAAATCAATCAGAATTTATTTAATAAATAGTTTTGAAGTCGTTGTCAAATAAAACAAGAATTAGGTTTAACTATTACCAATTCTAACAACAGAAGTAATTATTTTTTTAAATTACCGTGTCCAGGTTATTTTGTTTAAGTTCTTAATTTTCCTACATATGTACATAGAAGTTTAACGAAAGTATAACAATAGATAGTTTAATATTTGAGGATTAATGAACTTTCAATATTTGATTTCTTAGTTTTTGTTTGTTTTTTTTTCAACATTGAATATCTTGAATACATTTTCATTGTTCTCGTATTATACATCTAAGTTCTGTGTTATTTCATTATTTATTTTCTTTGAGTTTATTATTAATTTGTTGTTGCTCAGTTTACTTGGGACTTTAAAATTATAAATTGCTAATTGTAATCAATTCTAAGTAATTTAATCATACTTACATATTTTACCCATTACTTAGTAGTAAGTAAATTTATCTTTAACGTTTTAATTTCTTGTTTGAAGTCGATTATGATTTTTTTTTAAATATATTATTTTATGTTTTAAACGATAGATAGTCTAACAAGGATGTTTCTCGAAGGAAGAGGCTACTTTAGACGGTGTAAAGTCAAAATCTACTCGATCAATTTGCAAAACATTTGTTATGGCGTTTATTTGAAGTGTAGGAAATGAAACAGATTGGTTTTAATTAAAAAAATCTTAGGAACTAGGCAGTTTCACGAATCACGAAAGGATTTGATATTTCATCATTATTTTGTTTTCTAGGACTTTGTTCTAGAAGAATTCTGATTTACTTATAATTGTAGTCTAATTATTGAGTTAAGATTGACTCATCTACGAACAGAATGCAAAAATACACAATTGAAATGAGCAATCTCCCCCATTTTAAAGTTGGGTGTTAATTTTAGTAGAGAAATAAAAATTTCCTTCTGTAGTCAAAAGTAATTCAATTCGGATAATAGTTTTATGTTTCTGAAATAGGAAATATTTGTTTGTTACATAAATATATTTTTTTAATTCTTATATTTTTAATGATATCATTTATTTAAGAACATATTTATTATCGGTAGATCGATTTTAAAATGTATAATTACGAAACAGACGTGTAAATATTTTCATTTTAATGAAACTTTGATATAAATAAAAAACTGTAAGATTATTATTCGTAACAAAATTTATTGGCCAAAAGGAATCAGTCGGTATTATCCATCCGGGAGATTAAACAGCAACAACCTGTGCAGGAGCATATGGGTATGCTGCTAATCTCGCGTAAGGACTAACTACAGAGGTGGAGTATGCAGAGAGCCTGGCGAATGGGGCGACGGCAGCAGGAGCCGCATACGCTGCCACTTTAGCAACCGGAGCAGCATAAGATGCATATGCCAAGGGAGAAGCGTATGCTGCGGTATATTTAGCTACAGGTGCGGCCACAATCGGAGCGGCAGCAGGTACGACGGGGGCAGCAACAGGAGCGGCAGCGAGCCTTGCAGGTACTACAGCAGGCTCAGCAACAACGGCAGGTGCAGCAGCGACTAATGGCTCCTTTCGTACCACCGCGTTGAATCCATTGACGGAGTCAGCGGAATAATCGACAACGCGGCGGGTGCCGTCTGGTTCGACGAGAGAATATTGTCCTTGCACCAAGTCACCATCGCGTTGTTCTTGTTGGCTCTTGTAATCCCCAGTGAGTGAGTCAGCAACGTTGTATCCGAAACGGTATTGAGGGATATCCAATTGTTCCAGTCTCGCCGCAACCACTGGAGCTCCAACTACTGGGGCAGCAACTGGTGCAATGCCAGCTTGGGCCAAAGCCACGAGGCAGGAGATGATTACGATCTGAAATTATGCAATCATACAAATTTAAGAACATCATAACAATATTGGTCACATTCTAGTTTGTCACATTTGTATTGTACTTGAAATAGTGACACGGTTTTACGAGGGCAAGACTTAGACATTGCGTAAAGCAAGCACGGAGAAATTACTAACAAGTTGGGAATTCAGTTAGTCAAGGACGTGGACGCGGTACCTTCTGAATTTTAATTAGATTAGAATTAGTCACTTCAAACTCTATGGTGTTTATACCTTTACACAAAAATATTCAACCATTAAAAAGTATTATTAAATTTAAGTTGTGATTATTATTATATTTATAACAATGTATTTAATTATCTGTTACTATGATATGGTTTTAAGAAACTAAACCAAGATTATATACTTTTTTTATTATAAAAAAAGTAATATTTGTGATTATTAGAACCAAAATATCTTATTACCTTAAAGGCCATTGTTGTTTGGATGAGTTGGTGATGCAGTCAAGTGTGACTATGCTTCTGAAGAGTTTGTCGAGGTATATATAGCAGTGCGGGTTATGACACCAGGCCAAGTTCTCGCTTAGTATTATGTCGGCGAACTATGGATGTGCGCGCAATTGGAAATGAGCTACATTTGTCAATGGCGGAAAATTCAGCGCTCTTGACTTTAGGCCAAATGTTATGAAATTTAACAGAAATGCATAGGACCGGACTTAACCTAGTTTAAAGTTGTTATAATTATGAAACAGTTTGTTTTATGACCTATGGTTAAGGTTTGCATGTGTACATACGATGTAATCAATATAGTTACTATTAATTCTAAATAAATTAAAACGAGTTAATACCACGGAATTAATATAACAGTGATTACTGAACCTGAAATATTCAATTAAAAAGACTCGAAACACAAAACAAAAACGTAGTGTGATGAAGAAAGATTAATTAGGAAACATGTGTAATTATATTTTTATGGTAGTACAAAACTTGTAATATAGCTTTGTAGTACCAAGAATTCTTTTAAAGCAATTTTAATTAAAGCTTTCATTTTGTATTTATTTTAAACGTAAGAAATAGGTGCGTTCTGAACGATTCAAACTATGTATTTATTTTGTTACGATTGATATTGATAGATTTTAAATAATATTATTCGTTTAAAAAGAGAAAATTGTTTTACAACCTAATCTTCTCCGACTTATAGTATAAATACTTTTCGTATTAAACGGCTATTAGGTACTCTATTTGCTATTGACAAAAAAATTGAATGAAATGATTAAGTAGTAACTTATGCTTAAAACGTAAGAGAGAAATCGTATATAAATTTAAGACTTAAAAATATTTATCCTTAAATAGAAAATGTATAGACTGTAGTAATATTTGTATGTTATTTCTTTTTTTATTCAAGAGATCAGTATTACGTTTCAAAAATTAGCACTTTCAGTTGTAATAATAAGGATTTATAATTTTTTCAAGTCAGTAAAACAGTTTTTTTAAACAAGACTATTTTTAGGCTCTTAGATATCGAAACATAAATTACGGAAAATTAATTAACTATTTGTACACTAAATTGATTTTGAAGAAGACAACGAACATAAGATCTTATTAAATTATAAAAGTCAAATGTAATTTTCCTTTTCTTTTTTCAATCTTAAAATTACTTGGTTATGTTGTTCCAGTGATTATCATTACACATAAAAGTTTTTATATAAACATATTTTATTATATTGCACAGCAAGTTGAAGGATTAAATTATTGTTTTGTCATATCTTTCTCTCAGAAGCTTCACTCACGCACGTGATACGGCACCAACGTCAATGCCAAGGGCAGTCACAATCAACGCTATTTCTTAACAGTACACATTGGCAAAGTAACAGAATTAAGTCGAATTCTTGGTGCTTTGAATCTACAAGTATTTTTAATCAAAATATTTAAATTCAGTCACGTACATAGTTATTCATTTCCCTAGCTCTTACTGTATTAAAAAGCAAAAGTTAATGAAATGCCATAACTACGGACATGATCATTCTCATTATTAGACTATTTTTTTAATAAGTTATGTGTGAAAAAGTGATTCTTAATCCAGACTTCATTCCTAGAGCCGCTTCAAAAAAGTTTTGAACATTAGTCGCGATTACCAGTATACTATACAAACATGTCATCAGCCAATGTTGTGGTTTTTCAATATTATTTAAGATGCTCTTTATGAGTTTGGAAGCAAAGATTCAGCAAGAGCATGCAGTCATCGCTGATCGCAAAGATATCTCTCGAGATTGATTACTTTGATGTCCGACTAATATAACGTTAACTTAAAAGTTTCACTAGTATTGAAATGTTCACTTTCATAAACAATAATAAGGGTCATCCATAACACGTTAATGGGTATAACCGAAGTGTGAAGACACACATTAAAATTTAAAATACTAAAACGCAAAGTTTGGATGTGAATTGAAAATTAACGAACTTGATCTATATTTATTAACAATTTATCATTCTCGCTATGACATAATCTCTCATGCAAAGGATTCATAAAATGTAGGACTTTAAGCTCATTTTACTAGATAAAATGAGTAAAAAATGAAAATAGCTGTTTTCTCTCGATTATTTTTAAATACGTGTAAAAATTTAAAATATGCGACGTCACATCAAGAGGGGGGAGGGGTTCAAAAGTCTTAAAATTCATGTGACGTACTTTATGGATAACCTCTAAAATAAGGTATTTAATTACCTTAAAATAAAACTAAATTCGACTATCCTTACACTGATTATTCACAATTTCTGTAGTTTTTGATTAGTAATTTCTGTTGTATAATGTTAAAACCTCTAATTTTATTTTTGTTTTTAATATTTTTTGTAAAGTAATTAATAATTATATTTCCATATTTAAGGATGTGTAAAAGAGTCAGAAGTCTAACACATGTCTATTCAATTATACCATTTCTTTTTTTCTGCTTGTACGTCTATGAAATATCATCATCATGAGCTTTTTGGTGACTACCGCTGGACAAAGGCCTCTTTTCATATAAAAATCACATTGGTACTTGCCAGGTTTTGAACCTACACCTTCATGCACGAGATGATGATTTTACCCTCTAGGTCACTACGAGTAATAGATTTTATGTGAGTAGGTAAAATATATAAGCAAAATACCGATACCGTGCATATGAATAAAACTAACAACATACTTCCTTTGGCGTCGAAAGATACCAAAGGACAACACATACCTTCATCAAATTTATTTCTCTATACGTTTGTTCAAATAAAAAATATATCAAATAAATGACATGGTGGTGTAAAGCTACTTTTTGTGATGCTTTGTATATCTGGACGCTTGAGTGAGTTACATTTTCACCAAAAACTGTCCTGCATATTATTTTCGCCAGAGTTATTGAACTTTAATTACGAAATTAAAAGAAAATCTCTATTTATTATATTTAGGTATTTAAAAAAGCTGAGGAGCAAAATTTTATAACATGTATGATAGTCCAGGCAGTAAATTTGGCACATATAATAATAATTTTTAAAAATAACTGTCATTATAACTGTCATAATTGATGCAAACAATTTATGATGTCGACGATGTAAAAGATACAAAATAAAAATCCTACGAAAAGAAATATAAAGGTATAACTTTTACGGTAATAAAAATATTAGATTTCCTAATATTACAGACTAGGTCTCCACCCGAGTTTCGCAGGGGTACTTTACAAACAAAAAATAGTCTATGTTGCGTAGAATGCGTTGAGTATGTACTTTCTTTTTGAGTTAAATGAAAACAAATAAAAATTTCATCACCTTTCTTCGTTAAACATGAAATAAGTTTTAACTTAGAAAAACGGTATATTTTTAATAATAGTTTTTTAATATATTAAAATTTCCAAAAAATTGTATACAAAATTATTTACGTGATCATTTGAAAAGGTAAGTTATCGCGTGGATTTAATTTTGGGAATGATTAAACTTATGATAACTTGCAAATGATATGTTCGAATTAAATCATTCATAAAGTAATTTATAGATACTGATATAGGCTTGAATACAAAGTAATTTATTTTGATAAGACTTAAAACTGAAATTATGAAAATAGCTTTCCTATAAACGCTTCATGAATGGCGATTTTTAAAAGTAATAAAATGGGTATAGTATGTTATGCTTAAGAGATAGACATATGCCATCGCGAACTTTTGTGTTGACCTATATTATATCTCAAAGGGTCTTGGTAGCGATTTTGTTAAAATATCGTTAATGAATTATAAAGCGTGGCAACCGGAGGTTCCTGGAAAACTACGAAACATACTTATATGTATATTAAAATACTAATTACATATTAAAAGTTATAACCTATACCTAAGACTACATGATTGCCCCGATGTTAGGATAAAAATGTCATTCTATTGCTTGTACGGTGTAAGGAATCTTCTTGTTCACACGGCTTGGTGTTCGTTCCGCGGAGTCAGCGGCGTCACTCGTTATATGTTATTTTAGCGATACAAAGATGTCGCCCCGGCGATGTTCATCTTTTTCTTCATATGTAGCGCATACGTAACAAATGTACACACAAATCAATACAAAAGTTAAAATAAGTTATATATTAAAACCTTTCTCTAAAATCACGCTATCGAATGGTGAAAACCACTATGTAATTGGTGCAGTAGCTTTTCTATTTATTGTGAATAGACAGACAGACAGACGGCAAGGGGGATGTTATTTTATAATATGTATTGATTATGACAATAAAACTTTAAGTTACAATAAAAGCAGTATGAATGTATGAATATTCAACTGTAACATAAGATGGTAGGCTAACAATAAAATTTCAACATTACAAAAATTTAAAAAGATTTTTTCCTATACACATCTATAATATGTATATAACTTTAAGTTTATTATAACTCTGTAAGGAAGACAACAATAATAATAGGGGATTGAAACGATGTCATTGTTGAAAAAAGTATTACAAATTATTTTAAGAAAACAGTGAAAGTTTTGTAACAAATTCATTATTTTATGTAATAAAATTAATGTTATATTCATATTAAAAAATTCATTTGAAACAAATTGATGACATTATAGTTAAGATGATTTTTTTTTAAATCGAAAAGGATTTTGTTTTGCGTAGGCATCAACAATGTCGAACAAACAAAATAGGCAATACGTTTGTTTTTTCCTTAGAATATAAAGGGATTGATAAAGTTTTTCACTAATAAAAGTTTTGTATATCAATAAATATGTTCATTTAATAACAATTGTCACTAAGACTATAATTCAAATCAGTGGTGATATAAAGGAGCCGAGTAAGCTAATGGAGCAGCGTGTACTACAGGGGCAGAATGATACACTGGAGCGGCGGCGTAGGACACAGGAGCGGCGTGTACAACAGGAGCGGCGTGTACAACAGGAGCAGCGTGTACAACAGGAGCTACCTTAGCTACTACAGGAGCTGCCACCTTCACGCCGATGGCTTCCTTCCGGACTACAGC